GTTCCTCTCAAATTTTCAAAGAAACTTTCACAGGCTACTATTACACTTTTTATAAAACTTCTGGATTCCTTCTGCGTCGGTTTTTGTAGACTAGAACAGCTAACGTTTCGCCAATCATCCTGTTGGCCTCTTCAGAGCTTCACTGAAACTGAAACCAGTTTCAGTCAAGTTCAATCAATCGTCAACAAAAATTAATTATCGATGGTCACACATATTGTATTGAATTTACACTTCACTTCTAGAGTTATTTTTGATAGAAAAAATCGACCTTATGAATAGATATCTAAACCATATTTTTGAAGTTTCTTTCTGCTCACTTTCTGCTTTTAGATCTCAATAAAATTCAGGGCTTACTGTTTGCCAGCAAAAAAAAAAATTAGTATCGCTTCGTCTTTACGGAAACAATACCAAATTAGCCTTTTGTGATGCAGCAAAAAATCTAGGACTTTGGTTAGATGTTGACCTACCCTTTAAAAAGCACACCTCTGAGCGTATTAAGAAATAAATTTTCATTCACGTTCATTTTGAAAGTGACTTAAGTCCATTGAAAAACTTACGTTTTGCGTTTTTACATAACTAAAAATATACCCAAGATATATGATTTACTTGCAATGTTAAATCGCATTAAAAAAAAAAAAGTCGCTATTATTAAGGGTGTAATATGACCTTGCTTACCTTAAAAGCACTTACAAAAAGTAAAATAGCTTAAGTCTGTTACATATAGCTTAAGAAAATATTTACAAAAAAACATTTAAATTATACTTTTAGATAAAAGAAATAAATTTAGTAGGAAGTTATTCGTTAACATTCTCAGTATGCGGGAGTGATAGAAGAAGAAGACCCAAAACGAGATTGCCGTTGTTCCCGATTTTCATAAGCGAATTTTTGTTTAGCGATGAAGCGCACTTCTGGTTAAATGGCTACGTCAACAAACAAAACTGCCGCATTTGGAGCGAAGCTAATCCTCAAGTGTATGTCAAAACACCGTTACATCCAGAAAAACTGAGTGTTTGGTGCGCTTTATGGGCTGGTGGAATCATTGGTAGGTACTTCTTCAAAAACGATGATGGCCAGAACGTTACAGTCAATGGTGATCGTTATAGAGCTATGATTACTACCACTTTCATTCTTGAATTGGATAACCATGATGTCCAGGAGATGTGGTTTCAACAAGACGGCGCAACATGTCGCACAGCTCGTGCCACAAGACACGTTTGGTGACCGCCTAATTTCACGTTTTGGACCAGTGAATTGGCCTCCAAGATCTTGTGATTTAACCCCGCTAGACTACTTTCTGTGGGGCTATGTAAAGTCATTGGTCTATGCGGATAAGCCACAAAGGGTTGACCATTTGGAAGACAACATTCGCCGTGTTATTGCCGATATACGGCCACAAATGTTGGAAAAAATCATCGAAAATTGGACGTCCAGATTGGGCTACATGCGCGCCAGCCGTGGCGGTCATATGCCAGAAATCATATTTAAAACGTAATGCCACAAGATTTTCTTTCGGATAAATAAAATTCATGTCAATCGACTAATCCATCGTTGTTTTATTGCAACGTAAAGTTCTATACATCGAAAAAAAAACACCCCTTACAGGCATATCCTGCGGCGCACTAGGTGACGCAACTAATGCTAGAAAACCTAAAGTTTCAACTACTTAAAAAAAAAAACATAAATTCAAGCCATATCGTACCAGAAAAATCCACCAATTACATGAAGGGGATGCCATTTTGCAACTGGTTTATCGGAAAATGCAATGAGAACATTAATTTTCCATTATCTATTGTTTGGAGTGATCAAGCGTTAATTGTCTCTTGCGAAATATTTAACAGATCGCTTATGGCTGTGTGGGAAAGTGGATGATTATCTAAACATTCCCTTCTTAATTCTTGCAGCAGTATTTATAATCAGCAAGATGGTTGCCCAGTTCACAACGCACGAATTGTGCTAGATGGTGTGATCTAACTCCTCTAGATGTTTTTATGGAAGAGATAAAAATATAATTTTCCAAACCAAAGCACAGATAGAGGAAGCCATTCGAGACGCGTTTGCTTCCATCACTCCTATAGATTAGTGAATAGTTGCCATTCAGTACGAAAAAGATGCGTTCACTGAATTGAAGAGGGCGGCACCCAATTTGAACAAGACAAATTATCATATTTATTGCGGTTTGTTTATTAGGTTCAAAATAACTATAATTTTGTTTTCTAAATAATAAAAAATATTAAAGATTGAAAATGGCAGTTAGGTCTCGTGTTTTTCCTTAATGATATTTCATATGTTATTATTATTATTATTAAAAGTTCCATTAGTCTAAACTTTAATTACTGCCGCCACACTCAATTGTAATTGTCTAAAAAACAAACTCTTTTACAGGAACCCTTAACTCGTCTGCTCCGGCACTGGAAACGCCCAATCTGTGCGTCGGTAACGCAACAAAGCACGAAGAGGAGTACTGCATCGAGTGCATCATAGTTCCGACACTACTGATCACGTGCGTCATCGCCATGTGCGTCAACGTCGTTGTTATAGCAAGCGTTCATTGGATCAGGAGTCCGATGACGCCCAATCTCAAGATAAGCTTAAGTTTAGCGGCAGCGGACGCCTGCAGCTCCAGCATGTACGGAGTGTTTCTCTTCATCGACGTTTATGTCCCTTTTAGTCTCGGAGCTTTGCCGGTTGTCCTCGAATTATTCAGGCTTAGCGGAATAGGTAAGCGTTTCGAGGGAATTTTTATCACTTATTATAAGCGAATATTACTCGGAGACTAGGAAAAACCGCAAAAAATCTGGGGTTCCTTTTAGACTGTGCTATGAAAAACGCTCGTGTAAAAATTTTATATCTCGCTAACGGTAGGTCCTATCGGATCGCCGTTGGTACAGAAATGATCACCGTCAAAAAAAAAATTTTTTTGTCTGTTTGTCCGTTCTCCGTTCTCGACTTTTGGTTTTTTCTGAATAACTTTCGAACCGTTGGAGCTACAAAATTAAAATTTGTCCAATTTTTAACATTCCCCGAGGCACATAAGCTAATAAGAAATGGCTCTGATCCGACGCCGGTATCCATTTTTTTCCCGATTTTCGACTGTGTTTTGGACATTGCTATGAAACACGATAAGCGTCCGAAATTTGAAGCAATCGACTTCATATTTGGCACATATATGCAGCTTTGACCCGTGACGGAACGTATTGCAAATGGGGTGGCTGGGGAGGGGGGTGGGGGAAGTATTCTAAAAAAATCACGTGTGCAAGAGTCTACAAAAAACATAATTTTTCAAAAACCGTTTACGAGACTAAAAAAATTCTTGAACCGCAAGACGCAGAAGATATAAAAAATATAAAATTTTATTCTTGACAATTTTTCAAAAATATCCAGGGTGCGCCGCAAATTCAAAAAAACTGAAAAATGGGTACCCCTAGTATTGAAAATTGATTATAACTGAAAGAGTATGATTTAGATTTCACTTTCTTTTATATTGTGATATAGCCCGCATAGGCAGCAAAAGCTTTTGTATATAAGGTTTTCACCTATTGTACAGGATGTTGCCGATATTCCGTACTAAATGAGAAATGTGTTAAGTGTCTTAAATTTCCAGATATCAACCTCAAATTTAGCAGAGAAGTAAATGTAGCCCTTGTCAAAAAAAAAATCTTCACACATCTTCACATGTTCGATTCGTCAAAAACAATATTATAAGAATACATTATCATTTAGGTTCAAAGAACATGAAAGCGCCTTAAGACTAGGATAAATAAAATCATCAGCAATTGCCAAACACAATCACGAAACCTGCCATCAAATTTTATTCGACAAAACTAAAACTCTTCCACAGAATCTATAGGAATCTATAAGCAACCGAACAATCTTAACTGTGAGTTTTTATGTTTCACCAATATAGGAAACAGTCATCCAAGACAATATTCATGCTTCCACTTTAGTTCCGCCCCCCTTAAACAATATATAAGCAGGTACAATTAAGCTCTAAAGAAACCAACAGTTTGATTTATAAAAACCGATGCAGCAAGAATTAAGAAGATTTGCAAATGGTATCGATTCAACTGTTCGATAACTATCACTAGTTTTATCCCGTCTGGTATAATAATCTTTGTGCGTAGTGCTACTATTAAACTTATTCCGTTCATTTGCAAAATTTTGATTACTACAATATTTTCTCCATTGCGTTTCTCTCTAGAATGAAAAGGATTTCTATAATCTTTTCGACTGACATGTTTATCGTAATTTTCACTACAGGTTGCTCTATTATTTCTATTACTAGCACGACTACTTTGTTTAGATCTATTATGACTTGAAGGAGAAGAAGACTTTTTTTTTGTTTTTTATAAGCTAGATCTTAGAATTTTAGTTCCATGCTGATGAGTTTATTTGTTGTAGCTTTAAGGTTCGTTCATGTTTTTCATGTCTTTGGAAGGTTGTGGTAATGTGGAAATTATTAGAGAGAAGAATAGACGTAAGGTGCTTTAATTCTGGATTCAGTAACTCTTATTATTATATAGACAAGCATTTTCCATATTTTATTTTTTGTTATTTTATATGTGGGTACTCCTAGAAAAATTTTCGTCCAGAATACGGACCAGCTACCGAATCAATCTTGTTTAACAATATATTATGTACTACCGGAGGACTGGTAGATTTTGAAAAAACCTTGTCTGATTTTAAAAATTCCACAACTTTCGGACGTTTAAAAAAGAAGCCCTTAATAGGACGGCAAATTTGTAAAAGTGGTGGAAGTGTCTAGAGGTATAACTATTAACTTGCGTTTATTTAAAACCAAAACCGTAATGTAACACGCTGCCAAAATGGACACTAACTGGTAGCTATTGTTTCCAGTAATAACGGTAGTTCACCTGCTTGCCTTGGGCGTCAACCACTACATCGGTATATTGAAGCCGCTGCACTACAATTCGATAGTGACGAGCAAGAAAGTAGTGACCGTCATCACGTTATTGTGGCTACTACCCACAGTCATAGTGATATCGATGTGTTTCGCTTTCGACGGTGAGGGCACCTTGCTCCACAATTTGACATATAACGAGAACACTCCTGCTAGGTAAGAACCTTGATATTACCGATGCACCTTGCCTTCAATTTATCTTGAAAACATTTTAATTGGCAGTAATTTTTCTGTTACACAATGAGAGGTTACTACCGAAGTTTTTTTCCAAGTGACGTATATAAGCCTACATAGAACAGAATCTTATTATTATTATAATTATTATTATTTTCATATAATTTACCGTGACTTGATTTTGAAAAATCATAAAAAAATGTTACTCTACTTTGTTTCTTTCATATTCAGGCCGGGAAATTTTGGAGCTGCCCTCGTACACTAAAAATGGCAAGACACGCTAAAGTATGTGACCAGCAGTTTCCTGAACACATTTCCCATACACTCTAATTGTGTGATGTCTTCCATTTAGTAACATTTCCGGATTGTCTCTTAACTGATTGATTGACTCTGAAATCCTTCGTCGAAGTTTTTCGTCGTGATTTTTTATGTGTCCTCAAAAGAAAAAATCCATTAGAGTTTAGTCAGCGCTGTTGGCTGGTCAATCCATAGTTGCGGCGTTCCCTATCCAACCATTCCATGGTAAGAAAATTTTTAACTTGCACAACATTGTGAGGAGGGGCACCGTTTTGCTACCATATAATCAGCACTGATATATTTAGAGATAAATCTTCCATATGTTGTTATAATTTGGTACTCTAAGAGTTGCAAATAATGATCTCCAGTTATCTTTTGACCCATATCATACATTAATTGATTGATTGGTACCCCTGGACTTTAATTTCGTGTATTTGTCTAGGATTATTTAAAGACCAATATCGCGTATTTTGTCTATTACAACCCTTTCTTGTAGTGAAAGAACTTTCATCAGTTCATAAAATGTTTTCCAAAAAATTGTTATTCTCATTATGTCTATTTAAAAAATCCAAACACAACTGCATCCTTCTTTGACATTGTTTTGCAAATTTAAATGCATTATAATATTTATGTTGTTTCAAAACTTGTTTTGTTGTTTGGTAATATGTAACACATAAACATATTTTTATTTGTCATTACATAAAAATTTCCTATTTTTGCCGATTTGTCAAAAACGAGTTGTAAAGTGTTTTACATCATATCGTAATCGGAATGAGATACTCTATTAAACTCATATATAATATACGGGGTGTTCCATTAATAAATATATGATGTAGGCTTATATGTCAGAAAATTAATAGTGTTTTGTTTTAAACGTCACTCGGAAAAACCGGCTACGATTTGTTTTTTTTTTTCTTTTACCTTGATATCGCTAAAAACAAAAAAATGTTACAGCCAGTTAAAATGTTATCAAGTTAAATTGAACGCACGGTACATGCCAAGTTATATAAAACTACACAAGGAATAATGGACCTTGACGCAGCTTCTTTCCCAAAAGAAGGTGCAGTTGAAGCCGACTAAACTTATAAGAAACATATAAAACATATTATAACATATCACTTTCACAATAATTGAAATTCACCTTATCTAGAGAACACCATACAAAGAAAAAGAAAAGAAAGAAGACGGGCCATAGAAAAAAAAAGTTTATTTATTTAAAAAAAAATGCTTCGTTAATTAGTGAACCATCGTTAAATGATAAACGTGTCAAAAATTTGCATTTCAAGTGTCTTTTGAATGTGTCTTCTGCAGTTGATAATGAATAGTGATACATGTACATGAAACATTATGTAAACAGAAAATAAAAACAATGACAGTTTTTGTGAGAACACTTTTGCATTTTTATTTGTCAGAGACAGGTTTCTTAGGGCCGCGAAATCAAACCGATCGCCATGTTTACACTTAAACTTGAACCTAACGTTGTTAGTGACCGGGTTTTACTTTATTTAAAAAAAATTCTTTTCTATTTTCAACGTTGCTCTTTTATTTTTGTCTAAAAATCAAATGTCGAATATACAGTTCCGTTAGATTTAGGATTTCGAAAAAAGTTTAATAGAATCAGCCCAAACATTTTTTCCCGCCATCTCCGGACAAATACTCAAAAACTGCACACATTCGTAAAATTTTTGTTTCTGGTTCGATTTAGATAGATATTTTGTACCAAAACCTTGTTTTTTTTATAATCACGATAAGTTTGCAACGACAATTTTGCAGCATAAAGCAGAAATATTAGAAAACACAAAAAAAAAACTACATTACTAAAAAAAGAAGCAAACACATTTTTTAAGGTAATTAATTTACCGGGCATCCCATTTTGGTCACTTTTATGTGGTATCTCGGTTACTTTTTATGATAGAAAGTTGCGGATATCAAATCCCTCTTGGTTTTTGAAATACAGGGTGAAATACAAAACTATCGATTTTGGGATCACCCTCGTATCTCCGTTGTCTTTGAAGTTATTAAACAGTTTAAAAAACATTCTAACCGTTTCTTAGTTATGAAGCAAACATATGTATATTATTTATATTATTTTTTACACTAATTGGAAATCATTTAAGCTTTTCAGTCAGTCATGATTAATGATTAAGCTCAATACTTGAACAGTCAATTATTTAAATATGTTTTATACGTTATGAACTACTATTATTACATTTATTAATACGCATATCGTGTTTTATATACTTCATTTTGTATATAGCAGGTCCAACAACTTGAGGCACCATCTTATATTAGGCCAATGGAATATTGTCCAACAATTCTGGAATAACTTCCTAACTTTGTTTGGTTCTGAATATCTAACAAGCACCCTTTGGGCAATATAATTCCTAGGTTCATTCAGAACCTTCATTGCTCTCTATAAAACATACCAGCATTTTTCATAATTTCAATGCTTAAAAACGTTAAGTATCAAGCAAACGAAAATAACAAATGGACGGCAACGAACTGCTTTTAGTCAATCCAAAAATCGCAGAGAATATTTGACATTTCTTTGTTTTGTTGTCACAAACAATAGCCACAGCCAACTATTAAATTATCATGTATTTGATTGTTTCTGAGAAAAAGCGTATAATATTTTTGAAAAGGTGGAAAAAGATATTTTCTTTAATTCATACATGGTGGTCCATAGAATAAGTAACTTTTTAACATAACCTTATATACCAATTTATAGTTCTATCTCTCTGTCTCTATCTCTATCTAGCTTATTTATAAAAATAACTTCTCAAATCGGTCTCGGCTCTTATGTTAAATGGTTCACTTTTAGAAATGAACGTAAAACGGCGGGGCCGAAAGGACCGATAATAATTATCATTAAGGGACTCAATCTTCGCCGGGGGTTCTGATTTGGTCAAGCTCAAAATAAAATAGGTGACACGGCACGGTAATGGCGAAATCCTTTTAACCCTTCAGGTCGAGAAAAAATTTCGAGGGTCGTGATCGTAAGATAAAAACCGTCCATATTGACCGTAACGGTTGGCTCTAGAATCACTGGAATTGTTTCGAGCCTTCTAAATATTTACAATAGTATTCTGCTCATAAAAGGGTGTCGTCGAGTTTTAAGGCTGTAGTTAAATCTGTAAAAAACGGAATTTGGATTTGCGGAAAAGGTAAAAGTTTGAGTGTAGAGACTTCCAATTTCTTAAACTACAATAGATGCTGGAACAATGGGATTCACATAATTGATAACGGAATGTATTTCCGTTATACCGGGTGACACAAGAAAGCGGGAACACTATAACTTTTAAACGGTTTGAGATAGCGATTTGAACCTTGGAAGGGTTGATATCTAACCAATCAAATAACAAAAGGTATAGTGCTTTGACAAATAAATTGTTTCCGCGTAGAAGAGCTTAGCAAGAAAGACGGGAATGAGCAACGTAAAAATATATTATTTATATAAATTTATTTCATATATATTTGCAGTATTACAATATCTGAACATAGCCCGTCTCAAGAATCAAATAAAAATAAAAATTAAAGCCAGTTCTTAAGATCATACCACGAAGGCATTATGCCCATACGAGGCGATGTTTGGTTGTAACATAAAAATGGATCCTTGCAATTCAAATATTCCGTCTCGTATACTACCAAACTTGAACAGTGAAGATCTTCATCTCGAAAGTACTGTCTGAAGATCCAGAAGTGGGTGAAGAAGATTCTGCTGACTCGCCATCTTCGGTAAACGTCTCTGAGATAAACCTGCCGCGGAACCAGAGTGACAAGCTAGCTGTCATTGAAGAAAATGGCGGCGCCCCTGACGAATTTGGAAATGAAATTAAAATTAGAACTAACTAACATCAAGAGATACCAGGCGTGAATCGATCCAAAACAGATATTCGGATTTTGTTGGCCGTTCGATTAGAAAGAGCGGATAGAAAGGATTTTTGCCAGGAATCAATTCGCCATTTGCAATTTGCAAACAAAATTTTTTGAGTCCCGGTGACGGTGCATCTCAGGAAACCGCAAGAAATGTAAGAAGGAAAAATGCAACTCCATTTCGAAAATGTTCCACAAAAACATGTTTGTGCAGGTCCTATAAAATAATCTGCCAATCTAAATTCATTTTAATTCATTTATTTATAGAGTAAAGCATTTTTAGGCATTGAAATTTTAAGATAACATCACAAAATAACTAGTTTTTAGGCTTTTACGACTAGGAGTTGACGCGCTTTTCTTAGGTTTTAGCGAAATTCGCAGGTGTCGAAAACAATCACGAAATGGGACATCAATTCTTCTAGTAACGAAAAATCCAAGAAGGATAAACTAAATCCAACATGAAAGAATTCTGTAGGCAAATTCGTAGAGAGACAGAAAGTTTCTTTGAGTAGTCACAATAAATTCCTTTTTTTTTTTTCGGAATCGATTTTTACGGGTTCGGTCTGGCAATAAACCGTCCCGCGATACATCAAAATCACTTTAAATTTGTTATTGGCCTCATGAAAGTACGCTTTTGCGTTGTTTGAGTGGATTTTTCAAGTCGGTCGTAAGCCGCTTTTATAACCCCATCATTAACCCCAACATAAAACGTAGATCTCATCTAAAATTAAACTTTTTTATGCAATAATTCACATCTCGGCGCTCACTTTTTAAAACGTTTTTGATGGCGTGCTCATTCGTAAAAAATGTGCCCCGAAAGATAAGTCCATTTTTAACTCTTTGAAGAACTAAAACACTAACTAAAAAAAATCTCTACTAGGAAAGATATTTTTTCCTTCAACTTTAATTTTGAAATATATTTGTGATAATTGTGCTATAAAGGCCTCCTCACTTTTATCATAGTCTTTGGCCAATTTTTTAGTCTGTGGTTCGTAACAGTTTTCGAGATATAGATATAGATAAGGGAGGCATTTTAATAATTTTAACAATAGCCCATTATAAATCAAATATTTTTTTTGCATATTTAAACTCCCTAGTTTGAAGTAAATTTGTGGAGGAAGCGGGATATCCATGATTATCTGAGTGGAATGATAAAAGATTTTTCGAGTTAGGAATATTCAGGTTTGATCAAATGAGCAATATAAACTAAAAGCAATAATGGACCCATAATGAAAATCTAGTTTTTTAAGTAAAAATAAATAACACGGTCCAAGGCTTTGGAGAGGTCACACAGCATTTATTATATTTCAATCTTTCCGAATCCCCAACTATGCCAGTCATTATACGCAATAGTGCTGATTGGGATTTATCAAATAATTAGACCGAAAACAAAAGGGCAATTGAGAATGCATTTTTTTTTTGAAAAAATTCGAAAATATTATTTTTATTATTATTGTATAGCATTTATTGTTATAAAAGGTGGACAAATAAATCAATACAAGTTTCATTCCACAAGATCCTAAGGATACTATTAGCTAAACTATAAACTATTTGGTTTCTCGGAAAGTCATTTCGTTTTTTTTTGGGGAACATGAAAGACAGTTTTCGTATAATGAATAAATATTTTATTAAATTATATATTTGCCATTCTGGTCCAACACCTTTTGCCATCTTCCTGGCAGTAACATAATTCCCCTCTCATAAAAGTTTGGGTCCTTGCTGGCAAAAAACTGGTTCAGGTGGTTTTTGAAATCTTCATTTGAGGTAAAGGTTTTGCCATCCAAAAAATTTTGCAGGGACCGGAACAAATAGTAGTCGGAAGGCGCCAGATCTGGAGAATATGGTGGATGTTGCAGTACGTCCCATTCAAGCTGTAAAAGTTTTTGGCGAGTGACCAAACTTGTGTGAGGTCTCGCATTATCCTGGTGGAACACTACACCCTTCCTGTTGATTAATTCGGGCCTCTTCTCTTTAAGTGAATCATTCAATTTGTCCAGTTGATGACAATAGACTTCTGAATTAATCGTTGTATTGTCCGGCAAAAGCTCAAAAAAAACGATTCCTTCGACATCCTACCAAACGGAGAGCATCACCTTTTTTTGGTGAATGTTGACTTTTGACACGCTTTGAGCCGGTTCATCTTTTCTGCTCCATGACCTCTTGCGTTTAACATTGTTGTATACAATCCATTTTTCGTCCCCAGTAATAATCCGCTTCAAAAATGGATCATTTTCTTGACGTTTGAGGAGCGAATCACACACGTCAACGCGACGACACAAATTTCGCTCCGTAAGGACATGGGGCACCCACACATCGAGCTTCGAGGTTAACCCCATGCCTTTCAAATGGCCATAAACAGTCGAATTCGACAAATTTAATCTCTCGCCGATCTCTCGTGTGGTTATTCGCCGATTTGCATCAACTAATGCCTTTATCGCATCTTTGTCAGCTTCGACCGGCCTTCCAGACCGTGGTGCATCTTCGACATCAAAATTGCCGGATCGAAATTTTGCAAACCAGTTCTGGCACTGGCGTACTGTTAACACGCCTTCTCCATACACATCCGTCAATTTTTTTCTCGCTTGGACAGCATTTTTACCTTTTCTGAAGTAAAAAAGTAAAATATGACGAAAATGCTGCTTATTGCTCTCCATATTTAAAAGGGCACCAACCAAAAACTACTGCGTATAATTAATAGAACTTTTTCACACACAAGCCTTGCAATATCAGCTCTCAAGACATATGGTAATGCGGCTTAAGTGTGAAGTTGGTTTCGAAAAAACGTAATTAAGTCCTCTGACGGGAAAAAACGAAATGACTTTCCGAACAACCTTATACTTGGTCGATCTAGCCATTCTATTATTTTTTGTCAAACTATTGCAGAGATATAAAGGAAACACATCTGTTCTATTGTTTCAGATACCTTAGGTTCGACAGTGGCTCGGTTCATTCTGTTTCTGGTTGAGTAAGGATAATTATAATTTCTAAATGTGTTCTAAGTTTTATATACTTAATTTTATTACAAACGCTTCTCGTTATAGCAATAGTAATTGAAAGGCAAGTTTCAATTATTAGAGAAAATTATACTTTATACATCCAAAATCGAACATAAAGCCTCTACATCAGACACTTTTTTTATTAATACCTATTCCGGTTTTGTTAATAAGTTATATTACCCAGATTAATTAGAGGTTTTCTTGTTATAGATTTATGGACACGTTCGCATTTAGGATGGCTATCACGTCGTTATTCTTTGTACCGATCTTCGTAATGGTCGTGTGCTACACCCACATCCTTTTTGTAGTCAAAAAACAACAGAACCGATGGAACGATATCTCGCGGATGGGCAGCATAAGGACCAAAGGTAATTTTTCACATCCGTTCCAGTCAAATTAGTCCTCAGTAAGGTTTGTAATGTATTGATGATTACTTTATACCGGGCGATGCATTTTTAGGTGCCCAAATATTAATTTTTCAAAGAAACTTACACAGGCTACTGTAATGCTTTTTACAAAACTTCTGGATTCCTGCTGCGTAGGTTTTTGCTTAGTCGAAATTGCCCTCCCCTAGCAAAGTTGTAATATTACTTTTTAAAGCGGCTGGTCTAATTAACTCATATGAATAAATTTTAATATGCCAATCTTCAGTCAATACAGCAATATGGTTGGTTTACAATAAAGACATGCATATGTGGTTTCACACATTCAAAATAAACTGAATATGTAGCGATATCACATTATGTTTTTCTTAGGACCAAACTCATATTCGGTTATTAAGACCTTGATGTTCATTTCATTTAAAGGACCATTTAAGCATCAAGGAAGCTTCAAGGATTTGACCCTCAAGTGTTTTATTGAAAATAATTAAAAATTATAACAAAAATGCGGCTACAAAACATTACTAAAAAAATATTATTTAAAATAACGAACCGCCATAACATTTATTTTTTGAAGATATTCATTGTCTTGGATCCAATACCGACAGTTTTAAACATTTGGTTCGTTATTGAGTGTATTCATCAATGAAACAAATATATTTTTTTAAAAACCCTATCATTATACGCTACTTCTCTTTCTTCATTGCCTTCCCCGGAGATCTTGGCGCTTTTAGAAATTTATAGGAAAAATATTTGCGTTTCCTTAATGAGCGTAACACTGTGGTTTGATGTTTATTTACAGCTTGTCCAGGAATTCTAGTAATAATCATTTTGTTTCCCTCCATACGTAGTAAAATGTTCACATCTCTATTGTCCCTTCCTTCTGATCTATTAGAGACATTTTCAACTGAATATTTGCAGTTATTTATGATGGTGCCTTTGGACTCGAACTGGGTAATAAATAATACGTTTAATTGTGTACAGTTTTGGCAGGAAAATAAATTGAAAATATTTCCATCACTGTACCAGTAAGTACCATTTAATTATGGTAACTCTCTCTTCAATTGAATAAAGAATATTTAGCTTTAATTAAAGTGAATTAAACTATAAAAACTATGACCTAACCTAAACTCTAAAAGTCCTTCAAATTTTGCCATCATATTTAATTCCACAAATGAAGATTGGCTGAAAACATTTCAGACACTGCTTGTTGTCATTGTCAAAATGTCAAAATTTTCTAATTTTGACATTTTGACAATTGGTATTTATAATTGGTATTAAGGGGTCGCTGGTGACCCCAATTTAAAATTGATGTACGAGGAAATAATATTGAAAAAACTGTTTTAATACCGCACAAAATTATAAAGGATTTATTTAGCAAAAAAATAAAAAACATTATTGAAATACAAGAAAACAAACAAAATATTTACAGGCTTCCGCAAAGTTGCCACTAAAACCGAAACTAACATATTCATTCCTCCAAATCGACGTAATATCCACATTTTGAAAAAGTCATTGGAGACTTCTTATCTTTTGTCATTCTTTTTTGAGAAGGAGGTTGCAAATCAGTGACGTCGGGTTGACTTTGTTCTGCTATTCCGAGTATTTTTCTTATTATGTTTGTTATTTCCCTAGGGATGTTCAGTGAGATCCGTTCTTTAAATGTTCTTGCATCGGGGCTTTTCCAAGTACTACATTAAAAGTTTTTCTGGTGACTTTATTTTATAATTTTGCTATATATAGTGTACGGGAGTTTACTGTCGAGATATTTAGCATAGCAAAAAAAACTGATTCTATAGAGTTACAAAATTCATTTATTTCTGGTTTATTGGATCCCCTATTGACCTCATCACTATGGTGCATTAAAGATAGCACTATTATATTACATCCCTGTTTGGTTTTGGGATAATGGAAATTAGTGTTAATGCCTGGATTCGTCGCCAGATATGGAATTATTCCAGTCATCTTGAATATTATCTTCATCTGACAGTTCTAATTCCGATTCAGTGTCGTGGTCTATGTGCTCGCTTTCAGCATCAGACAGATCGTTATCTGAGTCTTCGAAATCTCCAGATACTCTTGGCCCTTCTTCTAGATCACTATCGATCATAAAAATGGCTTCAAGCTCTTTGTCAGTTAAAAATTTGCGCGCCATATTTGATTAAAAATGCTAACGTAACTGGTATATTGGGGTCAGTGTTAACCCCAACAATTTACTATTTTAGGGCGAGGTAGTCACAAAATCTGCCGCGAGAAGAAGCAACTGGAGAGCAATGTCAGAGCGCTTTACACCACGCTCCTCATCTTGGGATCGTGCTTCATAGGATGGACTCCGGCATTGCTATTTTACACCCTGGCGTGCAGCAAAGGCTGCTACCTTCAGGGCGAAGCGTTGGTCGATCTGAACTGCAATCACCGCACGACTGTTCTCATATTGAGGCTTACAGACAACATGCTGGTTATCCTGAAGATGCTGGCCAACCCAATTATCTACAGCATCAGGATGAGAGAGATAAAGGTATTTCTATGTAGTACCGAGTAAGAAAAGTTTTTAATGTCTATATACGAGGTTAGGGCCAAAATTTCCCGACCTGACATAGATGCAACTCCAGTATCACGATAAAACTTTTGTCTTCTTTTAAATATGTATCTTGGTAGGCTGCGAAAAAAAAATTGAAGTTTTGCATCAAATAGTTTTTTATTGACAGCTTTTTAAACAAAATTTGTACGAGAAAATGTCGCACATAACGCAAATTGAGTAAAGAGTAGTCATAAAGAAACGGTTTGCACCTAAAATTATTAAAGAAAGGCTGGATGGTGTGTACGGCCAAAGTTCTCGTTCGTATTCTGTAGTCAAAGAATGGGCAAAACGTTTTCGGATGGGGCAGGAGTCCCTTGAAGATGATTCAAGAACTGGTCGACCAGTAGAGGTCATAACGAAAGATATTGTTGCGATTGTGGAAGAGGTGGTATTGAGTGATCGACGTTTAAAGGTCAAGGAAATCTCAGAAATTACTAAGCTTTCTGATAAAAGTGTTCGTCGAATCCTGCATGATCATTTAGGTATGCATAAGGTTAGTGCAAGATGGGTTCCTAAAAACCTTTCGGCTATTCAAAAGCAAGCCCGTGTCGAGTGTGCGCGGTCTTTTTTGGAACTCTGTGGGTCGGAACCGGATGGAGTGGCGTCGTAAGGGTGAAGCACCTCCAAGAAAATTCCGCCAGTCAACAAAAAAGGTGATAGCCACGATCTTTTGGGATCGTGAAGGAATTCTTTTGATAGATTTTAAATAAACTAACACCACTGTCAATGGTAAATATTACGCAACATTATTATATAAATTGCGAGACTGCATACGTGTAAAACTGACCAGAGGCGTGCGTCTTTTGCACGATAATGCATCTGTGGGTTCCAACAGATAGATCATCCTCCCTATAGTCCAGATATGGCCCCCAGCCACTATTATTTGTTTGGATATTTGAAAAAGGACTTACGTGGAAGGAGATTTAACGACGAAGTTGAGTTAAAAGAGAGTGTTTTAGTTCATTTTACAGACAAACCAAAAGATTGTTTTTTTAAAGGGATTGAGTTGTTAACAAAGAGATCTAAAAAGTGTATTGAAGTTAAGGGGAATTATATTGAAAAATGTTGTTTGTTTCAAATTCAGGTCGGGAAATTTTGGCCCTCGTACACATATTGATACTTACATAGCTAATAGCAAAATATAAAGTCTAAGGCAGTAACAAAACATCATTTGCTATTATAAAAAAAATTAAAATGCAATTAATAATTCAACAATACCATGCCACAAAGCCATTGGTTAATAGTAGTGACATTTACGGCCTCAGAATTTGTTATTTGTGTTCCGCAATAACAGTGAATAACCGCGAACAGCCATTATCGTCGCTCCGTTTTAGTGCCGCAAAAGAATTAGACAACTAGTTTTGGTTAGTTAGTGAAAAAATTAAATATTTTGCAGGACGGCACCCATCGCATGTCGATGGCCTTGCTGGGCGTGTTCTGTCCGTCTAGGAGAGACGACATGATATCCTCGGGATACTACTACCGATCTAGGAACCAAAACAGCACCGGAGGCACCATACAGCTGAGACTCACTTCCTTTAAATCGGCTAACCGAAACGGCAGCCACATAGCGTTAGGAAAAGACTGCGAGAACGCATTTTTGTGAAGACAAACGATTGTAGACGGGTAATCGATGTTCGCCGTGAGAATGTTACGGCGTTAATTTCATCGGGACGTTATAATCGTATAGCTATCAGATAGATAAAGACGCCTCTAACAAAAATGAAAAAAGTAATTAAAAATATGGAGAGCGCTACTCGGATCTGAGTTTTGCACACGATCAGTTCCTGGTGGCCGAGAGGGCCTTTTACGAATTGTTTCCATCCTGCTCTTCTTTTCAAGATAACTAAAAATTCTTGTAACCGTGTCTCAGACCTGGCTCCCGAATCATACTTTCCCGATTTTAAGAATGCAGATTACTTTCTAATAAACAATGCCCTAGGTTCCATTGATCGGGAGGGGTTACTGGGGATCGATCTCTTGACGATACGCTTACTTTATTTTACAATGTTCTTTATACGATAATCGAAAGATTTGTGGCTTTCAAAAAGCTAGTTTCCTAAGTGGTTTGCATTGCACACAAAAAAATCAAACATTCTAATTCTTTTGATGATCATCGAGAATTCAATAGGCTCGGGAAGGCTTGCAAAGATCTGTCTTGCTCGGCATACCGAAACTCTGTCCAGAATTAAGAGTCGAGTCCTCCAGAAAATATTAAATCATCAAATAAGGGTCCTGGCCCAGATTGCATTCCACAGAACTTCGTCAATGTCAGCACCGTTTACTTCGGTATATATAGCGTTTAAGTTGGGTGTCGACTTGACATAATGTTGCTGTTGACATTCTGCCAAAAACTGGCACCAATACGAATAACTCGTCTAAATAGAACATTTTATGTGATATTTAGAACGAGCATTTGGAGTTATTCACTACTGGGAATTAGATTCACGCAAGGATAACATTAATGGTTACCATTCATCGATTGTTTTCAATGTAGTGCGCATACGTTCGATTTTCCATATCGAGGCAAATCATATTGCATAGGGGAAACCCCCCCCCCTTGTGGACAGCCCTTAGTCACCTGGTGTGTCATTTTCACTGAGTGATTCTAAAATTTTAGGGAAGATGATTTTATCGAACGCTCCCTCTACATCAATGAACACTCTGGGAGTCGACCCCCGGTTGTCCAGTGATTGCTCCACGAGCCGCCACCATATAGAGAGCAGTATCGGTTGATTTCCCTAGGGTATACGAATGTTGGTTTCAATGACGCGGCTTTATAGTGAGCATCTCTAATGTACCGCTCACACATGGTGCTTACGGGGCGGTAAGTTTTGGGAAAAGGGTAGTATTGCTTCCCTGATAATGGTAGAAACGCACATCCATTCCCCACAAGGCTGGATAGATGCCGTCAGATTCAGATTCAGATTGTGAAAGCCAAAAATCTGCCTGTGCGTTACTGCGACGCAGAGGATCTATACCTATAGAGCGACATAGGCCATAATCCACAAGGGACTTCTTGGTGTAGTAGATAAAAATGCAGTTACACTGACGTAATGTGTGTATGACTGTTTCCTCGCAGTATACCTAACGGCCTTTCCTTTATGCCTTAGCAGCTCTTTTGTAAATTGGGAATAGAAATGTTTGTTCTCGTCCTGGGTTCATATATTCCAGTTTTAGTTTTTGAATCCAGATTGTACAAGATTACATCTGTCCTTATTTTTGTTCCAATTTGCCAATTTTGCTTGGCCGATATTTGAGTCTTGTTATGTTTAACAATAGGTTTGTGCTGTCTACGTGCAGCGCTGGGACTTCGTCTGCCTTTATTGCAATTATCGGTGACTGCCCTTGCATCTATATGCAACAAATCTCGCTTCTCCTTGTATATAGATCTGTATCAGTGGAATATCCAGTAGAACCACTAGCGCTGCGATGGGCGTTGTGTTCATGGCTCCAGTAACGCACCGAACAGCTACTGCGTACGCTCATCATTGGTCCTACTACTGTTAAGTACTACCGAGTTGTAATTTCGTGACCAGTTTTCTTCTTCTGTACTTTTCTAGTACAATTACTGTTCTAAAGTAAGCCCTTTGGTTAAATGCGACTCCTAATTAGTTTGCATCCCTGCAAAAGTGTGATCTTATTCCATGTACTGCTGGCGGTTTCAATCCTGTGGGGACCTGTGTGGAACAACTATCGGGTTCACTGTTAGTTGCTAGTTTCCGACAGAGTGCTGGTAAATTTGCCTCGTACCACAATGACTCGATCGTCTGCATATAACAGGAAGTAAAAGTCTTAAGCAGACAGCTTTTGCAGTAGGTCGTCAACCAGTATAGCTCATATCAGCGGGGAGAGGACTACGAAATCGAATGAATTTAATCGCAAAAATATCTCGGACTTAAATTGTAGATCATAAAATTATCTACAAAAATGGCTGTTGTGCTTTTTTTCCTAGAAGTTGCATTACAAGCACCCATTTCCAGACGTATAATAAAAAAAACTCATTATGTGTACTACAGAGTGACCCAACAAACACTTTCTTTGTTTAACATTGATTTCATTGCAAAATTTGCAATATTTTCATGTAATTCAGCCAAAAATCCACCAATTTTCATATCGCTACATCTAATTAATTAATTAAAGAATATTTTTCAAGTTTTGTGAGGAAACATTCGTATAAGGCTTAATCGTCCTGGTTTCCCTTTCGTTTCGTATCTAATAGCTATATGATTATAATTGCCATGGGTGATAACACAAACACCTACCTACTTTTATTAAAGATTGAAGTATATGTTGTTATACATACATAGGTATACGATTACTAAGTCGTTTCGCCAAATTTAACCATTCGTACGAATGCGTTTCTGCGAGAATTAAAATTTAGAGAAGCCTGATTACTTGTCCGATCACTTAAAGTCTGGAAGAAAACTATCAAAGCTGAACCCGAAGCGAATTATTCGAAATAGCACACGAAACATGGACTGTGACTGTTTGAGAAGTAGTAATACCTAACTTCTGCATCATCCCGTGTGGCATTGGATATGTCAAGTTCATCAGTTCAGGTTCCTTTATGCCCTAACCAAAGAATTCGGAAATAAGGAATCAGTTTCGCTACGCATCGAGAGATGGGAGTGCGTATATGTATACAGGGTGTCTCCTATGTTTAGCGAGTTGTTTTATGTAGTACCTCCTCCTTTATTCAATTTTAACCAAAATTCTGGCAATTTTTTTTTAACAGTTTAATTTCTGCTCGCCTGAAATATTCGACTTGAAATTGAAATAATATGTTTTTGAATAATTTGAAAGAGATTGTTTTTCTGCATAATTCCCCAAAAAATGCCGATTTCTGAACGTATTATATTTTGCATGTATGTTTTTACATAAAAGCACAAACAAACTGCATTATAAAAAAAACTTGTAATACAGGGTCGTACGAAAGGTCAAGAGACTTTGAGAATGCGAAAAGACACGTAGGTAATCCCCCTAAATTAACATCAAATTCAAACATATCACGTCAAAAAAAACCCTTAAACATCGGCATTATTTAGGAAATCCTGCAAACCAAACTATAATGACACTTTAACTCCCCGTATATGTGGTTAAAATGCTTCGAACGGCACAAAATTTTTGAGAAATAGTCCCGTCAAATATCGGACATTTATTAAATAACACCCTGTATAATTTACCAGCAAAACTAAAGCACGTCGCTAACTTTTTATTTAGTAAAACGTCATACCAAAGTTTAAACAAAAATGAAATTGCTCAAAGAAATATTGTTATTCAGAAGTATTATCATTTGAGGAAAAACGGTTTTTACGCCATTTGTAAGCACTAAAAGCAAATCCCTCGCCTGAAATGCATATACATGTATCGATGTGATTTTTGTCTGATGTAGATGTTCACATTTATGTATATACTGTAATATGGGCAATAAATTTATGTTGAATTTTGCCATTTTCCTCAATCACTCGGTTTATAGCCCACGCAAATTTCATGATATCAAGCTCTGTTCTAATGACACGAGTTATTTTGATTTTATTATTTACTTGCGCAACATTTCGACTGATCAAGCATATCCAGTCGTCTTCGAGTGAATACTAAAAAACTCTTATGGTTACACACCATATATACTATGCCTAATAAGTTAATGATACGTGACAGAGATGCGTAGGTATTGTTTACAGCTGAGTTCACACCATGTGGGTTTCCAAACATTCTCATTATTTAAATAAAAGTTACTAAAACATTTGCCTATTTTGTTGCTTCTTTAACGCTTTTCCTCCTTCAATGATTTTAGGTTTTGTGTTGAGCCCAGGTTAGTTATCTTCTTTCTCATTATTATAATTATAAAGAAAAAAACCATAACGGGGTGTGCCGAAAAGCGGCGAGAATAACTCACGCTCAAGAAAAAAATCAATTCTTCATGCGGGAAGGTCCGAAAACTTGGGCTCGGATAGTCTAAAGTGAAATGCGGCAGCCCTCTTGACCAGGCAGCCAGCGACATGATTTCCTCTGGAATGCGCATGTCTTTTAACCAAACTAAGGATGACCGCATTTCAGTCCACATAAAGCATGTTCCATAAAGAACTAAAACTGCTTGTCTGCTATATGTATAGATACATACAGTTTGACCAATAACTTGGCACCTGGTGATTTCGCTTAGTTTCCATTTTCTTGCGTAATAGTTGAATATATTAGTAATGATGCTCGTAATCCAGGATTGACCCTTCCATTTGCCAGTAATCAAATAAAACGATTCACACAAACAGATGGTTTTATCGAACGCGCCCCCTACATCCATGAACACTCTGAGAGTCGATTTCCGGGTGTCCAGTGATTGCTCCACACGAGTCGCCCACCATATAGAGAGCAGGATCGGTTGATTTCTCTAGTGTATACGAATGTTGGTTTCAGTGACGCGGCTTTGTAGTGAAGCGGTTTTTTAGTCAGCATCTCTAATGTACATTTATATCTCTCCATATCTTTGGGATATACTTTAAAACTAAGGATGACCTTGGGGCCACCACCAGGTACGGCATGAGCACATCCATTCCCCACATGGCTGGATAGATGTCGTCAGATTCAGATTCGGATTCAGATTGTGAAAGCCAACAATCTGCCTGTGCGTCACTGCGACCCAGAGGATCTATTGTGACTCTCCTCACAGCTATAGACCGATATCAAGGTTAATCTCTCCGGTCAGACTTCACAAGTGCGATAGTAGCTTCTTGGTTGTAGCAGATGGAAACGCAGTCACACTGACATAATATGGCTGTTTCTTCGCCAATATACCTACCATTATTCTAACGGCCTTTCGTTAGTGGCGTGGTGTGGCGTGTCCTGTTTCTTAAGCTGTTTTGTATCCTTCTACATAGCGAGCTCTCCCCCTTTCTAGCGCTCGATGACTAGAAAGGTGGCCACAATTACTACTACTGTCTTGAAGACCAGTCTGTTGAAGTCATACAGAACTATATATCTTGATTTTCGCGGTGGTTAGTTTAGCGGGAAAGTCTCTAATGTGCGGTTGCTGAGGTACCTATATAGGTCTTTCTAGGGTCTTTCGCATAAATTGGGTACAGCGCCACACGCTAGATATTCCCTATATATTCTCCATTTCCGGTCCTTTTTGCGAAAATATCATGTATTCTGAATTAAATGATTAAAATTGGTTAATGTCCCATCTGACTCTCTACTTCTTTAACCAATTGCTACTCCCACCTGCCCGGTCTTTGTGACAGTTTAGAATCAGGCAGTCGACTTCCATAAGCTCCTTTCCTGGGCTGTCGTCGTCCTTTTTGAGGATGTCGACAGTGTTTTTTGTCTTTCTTTTGATAGGACTCTGTGGATTCTTGTGAATGCGGGAGTATCGACTACCTTTTCGCAAAACCTCTTCCAAGAGTCCCGTTTAGCTTTTCGTATCTCTTTGTTTTGCTATAGAGGTTCCAGTTTTGGTTTGCTTTGGCTTTGCTGAACAGCCTTCTCCCTATATCTCTTAGTTTGTCAAGTTTTCCGTCCCACCAATCCTTTATGACTCCAGGTTTTTTCTGGACAGTTCTACTGATATCGTCGTGCTCAACAGTTCCACTGAGTTTTCTTTGTGTCCCATATTACTGACCCCAGTGGACTTTCCTTAAGGAATGTCGAGTATCATTTCCAATTTGTGTACCCGGGGTTTGTGTTGAGAATCAGAAAATATCTCATTGCATAGGTATTTATCACTATCCATAAAGTTCAAACAAACACTAACTACATTTTTTTTTAAACACTCACCTGCCATCGACAGCGTCCACTGTAGAAACGTCCAGCCCCAAAACGTCGAAACAATACTGCATTCTCTTTCTTCTGTCCGTCCTACGGCGCAAGTTTATCATGAAGATTTGGTCGAATTGCAACGTGTCCTTGGTCGGCAACCGAACGAACTTTGCGAGTATGTCGTTCAAGTGAAGTGGCTCACCCGAATCCACCACCTTGAGCAAAATGTTCCTCAATTGTTCGTAATCGTAGGAAACGTCATCGGTTTGGTCCATGGGCGCGGTGATGTAGCCGAACACCTCTTCGTTACAGACGTTCAGAGATATGTTGTTGTGTCTCGCGGACAGAGCGAACGCAATTATGTCGTCGTTGGGACCGTCGTAGTTTGGTATTTTGTCGGGTCTATAGGTTAAGTGATCCGATTCGGCCGTTCTCAGATTTATCAAGACGCACGAATGCACCATGGGCACTTCGTAGCAGCTGACGTTGTCCCTGTTTAGTATGGGCCTGTAGCCGTCGGTTCTGAGGTAGTAGTAGTTTTCGTCCATCCCGTGCCAGAAATTCGAATATAGACCATCCGATAATAGCATCGGCGCGACTACTATGGCGTTCTTTTTAATCAGATAATTAAGCGTATCTCGGTTTGTTAGGAATACGTCTGCATCGATAAACTGAAATTATTTTTTTATAAATATTTGTTTTTGTATCTTGTGCAAAGGCAAAAATGCAAATCGATTCATAAATAATGTGCAATAGTTGACCTGGAGATACTAGACACCAAAACGTGACATCAGGAACAACTCTTCCCCTCCCCCATTACGATACATCGCCACTCTTATATCCCGTTGGCCTTTACAACAGAGGAGGCTAGGTTAGGTCCCCATATAATTTGTGTATTGGATATTTGTGAAGGTAATATTGAACAAAACCCAATGAAATTTGATTTTTTCGTTTATCTGTCACACAGTGTACGTATTTCACCAAAAGCGATATTTTGCTCTCCTTACATGAGATGGGGAATCACTAATCAAAGCGAAGGTAACTGTGACATCACACAGCTAAGAGAGGTATGGCTCGTTTCATAAAAAAACTGAGACAGCTTGAAAATTCCACTTTATATTTTCAACAGAGCTTCATTACTACAACAAAAGGTACTATTAAATCTATTTTTAGTACCAGAAACTCTAGTGTTAATCAGCCTACACTGTTTGTTGTGCTTACATAAAATGTTGAGCTACCGCTAATAAGGATCAACCACCTTCTAACTTGGACACAATTCTCGCTTTTAACATACCACTCGTGTGTAGAGCCCTTTTAGATATCCTTTTTGTTTTCTAACGTATTTGTGATAACGCTCACAATTTTTTTTTTATTTGAAATTAGCATGACAACAACATGGTGGCCTATAACACACTGCACAAAACTTTGAGAGTCGTTTCAGTTTTTGATTCAAACATACACAGAAAAAATTCCGGTATACAGTTTTGGTTAGTTTAGTTTTGTTGAATTGAAATATTTTACTATATTTTCACTAAACGATCTCTAAAACATGGCAGTTCTGTGCCCTGGCACAGTCAGAAAATCTCTATAACTGCTGGCAAAATGACGAACACCAGAGCCTCTGACTAGCTTGTCAAATAAATACCGGGTTGCGAACGGGTAAGTTTAAAAATGGACGTACATAAAGGCGACTGAAATCGAGTTTCAGGAGTGAGCCAATTAGAATTTTGACAAGAACAAGCGAGATGTTCAAACCGTCTTAATCCATGTCCTTATAATTAGTAGTCCTTATAATAGTAGAACAACACTGGACTATTATTTCGATAAAAAGGAAGGACTTTCCGTTTGGCAACCTTAAATTTCAGAGAGCTCCCAGAGCGCCACTGATTTTCCATGGGCAAAGCGATTGTACAACACTTCTGAGATATACTGAGTGATATAGACAAGGTTAGTAGTGGAACAGGTTTGTAGTTTTATATACATCTAGATAAACTTTACTTTTGAATATAACCATAACCATAACATTGGTCAAAGACTGAATCTGAAAAACGCGATTAAAACATGCACTCAGAAAGGACTATTGCTTCAGGGGTATTAAATTCATAGACCCGGGTACCACAATTCTGATGAGCAATATGTTTTTGATTTATATTGTCAATAATATCAGATATAAACCAAGGAGAATGTTGCCTCTATCAGTTTTCTCAAGTATGATCACACCGAGAAATCCAGAGAGTTTAAGTTTGGACTCTTTGGTGGCCAAATTCAATTCCACCGCTAATTCAGGAATAAGGAAACTGCACATGTCAATACTGACCATTTCTTCCACGAGAACGATAGCCGTGGCTTCCCAACAGCAGGTGGCGCGTTGTCCACTCAGGAAATTATTACGTTTTTATTCGTGACCAGCGCAGCAATAAGTCTCCCGATCGTTAAATACCACTGTTCAACACAAATCAACCAATGGAATGCTAAATAACGTGGCTTTAAAGTTCACAACAAACTATTTATTGACAACGCAAAATTGGGCCGCAACTCATAAACTGGAAACAGGAATATAATTGTTCAGAGCACCACAGTACTTCTTTGCTGTTTAGTGGACACTTTTACCCAGGACATTCGCCCATTTCCAACACCTGTACTCTTATTGCCACACAGCCGGTTAACGCCAGCATGTGTCAGGATGGTACGGGGCGGCAGCAGGGGAGGCCTGTTTTTTGACATCAGTCAAGTCGTTTTTTTACAGCCAAAAATCAGTTGTTGGTAATCATTAGTATGTTTATACGTGAACGCAATTGCCCTGACTTGCGCACTTAAAAGCAAAGGAGTAGTGGTTATTAAGGGCTGTTTTCAGACAGATTTTAGGACTATCTTCAATATTAACATGTACTCAAGGATTTAAATCGAGATTACAGAATTAATTTTTTTTTGGTTTAATTACTGTGGAGCAGGTTTTAGTTGTAGTTTCTGGCTGTGACCCAATATGAGCTGTTTTCTCATTGGCGTATTGGTCGTTGAGGTGAATTTGTTTGGTCACCAAGACCTTCAAGGTTAAAACTTATGAATATGGTCATACTTGAACAAGGAGTCAGGAATACCATTAGGAATAACAAAGAAGTTTTGTTTAACCTTTAAAGACACTTAAGAGAGCTTAAAATATACATTTGATTTGCAGTTTTTCTATTACTATTACTTCTATTGTTAAATATTAGCACCTTTTTATATTTTAAGTATTCATAAACAGAAAACAGAAAAATCGCACGAACATTTTAAAGGCACATAAGTCAAAAACCGATAGAATTGGACGGCATAAACAAGAGCATCTTTTCTTTAAACACTTTCAGATTTTCATCATATTTCAAAGAAAAAAAAAAGAAATGATTTGATTTATTTAAATAATATAGTAAAACTAGCGCACTCTAGTTTAGCCTAATGTGTTGGTGTCTTAGTATCTCCACTTTAGAGAGTATCCATCTTTATCACCCTGTGAGCAATATGAGCATGACACAGCCTTGAAGCTTTCAACAATCGAAATGTGCCTTTTTTTTGTTAAAATATGCTTAGATCTCATAAAATCATTTTAGAAAACATGAGTAGAAAGAAAATTGTACAAAGTCCTGGTTAGTGTGGGAAATTTATCAACAACAGATGTGTCAGTTTTGCTGTATTTACCGCGCCTTTGACTTGACTTGACTTGATTGACTTTATTGAAGGAAGAGACTAACCATTTTTTTATAGTAAAGTTAATTTTATTCTGGTACTTCAGTTATTCTGGTATTTTTTTAAATTAATAGATGTACCGTCCAAAACTAGCAAGTAACAGCTATCTTACCAGTAAAAAATCAGCCCAAATATGCCTTGCATGGTTCAAAGCTGATTCCCTGGTGCTTATTATGTGCGAAAACCTTTCATTAGACCAGTGGGCGACATTATTTTCATCTGAAAACTTGCTTGTACCTTCTTCAAATTCAGTGTAAATAGAATGATAGGATTCTTTTACTGACTTAATCCATGTTCTTAATATAACGATACTTTTATCAAAATTATGATCACTTCTGATCCTAAAAATGGACGGTTTATATTTATTAAAAATTTTGTTGAAATTCAATATTTTAAATCTTCAATCTTCAAAATGTCTTTAGTAATTAATATACTTGCCACAGTGATATTCTATTTTTGTCATAATTAAGTCTTTCCAGACTCGAAAGGAAATAAGGCAACGTATGTTCCTTGTTTCTAACCAAGACGGCTATCAAGACAGTCGCATTTTTTAAACTGGCTGCTATTGAGGTTATAAAAACGCTCAACGCTATGATGATATGAATTAGTCTCATTTTCTCAATTTAACATCTCTTACATGTTTATTATATTTATGAAATTCGAATTTTTTTTCCTAGGTTATTGTGTACTTCTTCTGCATACATACAGTAATTGCAGTGGGCAAATTATTCAAGATCAATTTCTCACTGTCAACTATAAATCTATTGTGCAAATGCTGAAAAAAGAGAATAAAAAAAGCACTTGAGAAGCTAAAAACACAACGAGACACTCTAATGTAATGTAATGTATATAATGAAACACGAACCCTTATCGCGACGCGGTAGCTTTAACTTTGAATTGACATCCATGTTTTTTTAGACCTGTTCACCTATCTATGCTGTTTTAAATATCAAACGAGACTGTTGCACGTTTTAGGTTAAAACAAATTAACCTCGCTTTTACATCGTCTTTACTTTAAAATTTTTAGTATGTTTTTCCCTTTTTATGAATTATATTATGTACTTAGTGAATTGCCTTAAAACGAAGTTATCAAGAAGCGCGAAACAAATTTTAAATGTCCATAAAAGAAAATACAACGATGTAAGGTTTGAACATATTCCGGAGGTTTCAACTGCCATTATAAAAAAAACTCTTAATGTTAATAAAATGCCATTCGAAGAGGGATTTACATGCTTTATAACTAAATGTATTGGTTGTACAGAAGAGGTTTCAAAAGACGCTAGGTTGTATATAAATAAGACCACAGGTACTAGTACTCTAGTGTCTAGTGTCTAATTTTATACTGTTATGTAGCAAAATTACTTTAGGGATGTATATGTGCAGCTCTTGCACTAAGTGTGGGCAGTGGAACCAGTTGGAAGCTCGACTTTCACTTAAAAAATCAAAACATAAAGTTACCATTAAAGATGAGAATGACCTAATTAAAATTACTAAATTGTTGGACCAAGTGAAGCAAAATACCATGGAAATAAAGAACTTAAGAGAGGAGGAATTTTCAAATCTTTTAAGTCAGTTTAGTCTTCCAGTAGGTTTAATGTGACTTAGATGTCTTATATTACCTATATTTTATTTTTTAGGTTCTTTCTCAATTGGTCTTGGAATGCCTGGATGTTAGGATAAACAAAGATGGCACAATTATGTATTTTCCGCTGGAAAATGTGAAGTCTCAGACCATCGGATATAGAACCCTCCATTGTTCGACCAAAGATGAAGAAATTTTGCCGGACATTTATTGCGGTGGCATTTTAACTGCCAAAGTTGGTCGAAGCAAAGATACAGCGGTGCTAGTTCCAACCATTTCTGATTTTTTAACTCTCTTAAAATCAAAAATTAACGTAAACATAGTGTGTTCCCCGCATGGTGTTAATTTTTTGTCCCAGTATTTCTTGCCAAGTTTCGAACGGTTTAAGAAACTGGTGTTGTGGTTTGGTAGTGATACCAAGTCCTGGGATTCCGCGAGACATTTTTCCAAAAAACTCGGCGAGAAGAGGTGTTTTTTGGTTAAGCCTAACGAACTGCTTCCACATTTAAACGAAAACCGAGACTTTAAATCTGTGATAAACGGTGCATACGCGGTTTGGCACAAGTCTATAACAACTTTTGCGTCTTTGAGGAGTGGAGTGCTTTCAGATCTGCAAAACATTGATAAGGTAATTGTCTAATTTTTTTTTATTAAAGAAAGATTTTTGTAAAATTTAAACTGATTAGTTGTAATATTGTGCGCAGCTCTAACCGCCCAATATTTAAAAAATAAATATATTCAATTCAATCAACAACAAAAAATTACAATTACGAAATAGCAATATTTCGTAATATACCGGTTGCCGCAGTAAGGGTGTCCTAGAAATTTTAAATATAAATTAAGTGAATTGGCCAAAACAAAATGCTGGAAATTATTTTCGATTTTCATTTATAATAATAATTTTTTGACAGAAATAATTTATATTTTTGGAAGAAAAGTACTCATTTCAATAACGTGTTACAATGTAATGGAAATATAAGTGATAATTCTAAATATTTAAAAATAGCTAAGGATGTCTAAGAATGGAGAAATATCTAATGCATTGGCAACACGCTACAATAACCTAATTAATAATTTTTAGAAGAAACTTAAATTGCTCGAAAATAAAAATAAGGTGGTTTCAAATATGGAAACACTAAGTACTTACATTGTGTAGGGCGTTTAAGGGTAAAAGCGATTTCCCCGCATTTTTTTCTCGGGTGAAATAATCCTCAAATTTTAAAATAAGGCTTGCCCTTTATCACTAAATCGTTGGGGCCATTTTGAAACAATTTAATTGTCCGCCAAATTTAAAAATGTTGACCTTGACGCTGCTTTTGACGCGAGTTTCAAAACTGACAAACAAAATTCCTGGGTCAATTTACGACATCCAGTAATGCACTATGACGTAACCCCACAATTGCTCTGACCTCGTTGCCATCATGGGGACACCAGTAAATCCTTACACCAAGTTACCTTTAGTTTAAAATTAAAAGTATAATATTAAATGTCTAAAATTTATGCCGAAATAAAAAATGCAATAATAAAGGATAAATGTTAAATTTTTGCTAGCTACATCTTTTTAAGGGTTATAAGAGGTTAGGAGCTGTACAAATTTGAAATTTTTTAGAAATTAAAAAAAAAATACGTGACACAAATATTTTGAGGAATGTACTTTTTGAGGTTCAAGGTACCAAGTGGAAACGATTTCCGACATTAAACAAGGTGCTGCTAGGGCACAGAAGAGGAGAATTGACCGTGTTCACTGGACCAACCGGCAGCGGAAAAACAACTTTTATTAGCGAATATTCTTTGGATCTCGCCATGCAAGGTGTAAGTTTGATCGTTAATTTCATATATGTGGTGAGTGTCAAAATCGTGATACTCAACAAGCAAAAGTTTAATTTATTGTTTTGACTTTTGGGGGCAATTTTCGAAACAACCTGCCGGTGGCATGCAGACTAAATATTAAGTTACGTCTATTTAGGTTTTTATAAAACGGCATTAGTACTAATACCAATACATACAGTCCCGATTGTCCGAAATAATATGGACCAAAGGATACATACATCATAGGATCGACTTAAAAGGCAATTATGAAATACTATTTACAAAACTTATGGATTCCTCCTGCTTCGCTTGACGTTTCACCAACGATCCTGATGGCTTCTTCGGAACTTAGCCGAAACTGCCGCGCATTTTACTTAGCACCTGCTTATATATTGTTTGAGGGGGGCGGAGTTAAAAGAGGGGCGTGAACATTGTCTCCAACGACTGATTCCGATATTGGTGAAACGTAGCGGTTAAAATTGTTGGGTTGCAAAATTTTCGGTATAAAATTTATGTCCGGTTTCGTGTTTTGTGTTCACGTTTGTCACTCTTTGATATGTGGTCAGTGACGTTTTGAATGTATGGAAGGACAACAGTGGCAAGAGTAGGCTTGCTTTCGGACTCATTGTCTTTGGACGGTTGTGGTGAACATTTAATGTGTGCAATGTGGCAATTATTACGTAGAATAGCAGTTGTAAGGTGTTTTAATACTGCATTAAGACAATTTGACAGATCTGTAAACAAGAAGGTTGATAACCGACGATATTTGGGAATTATCCAATGTTAGGTCTAATTTTCTATTGATAATATCTAAGAATGGGAGATTATAATTAGTTTTTAATTCAACAGTAAAACGTACATTAGGGTGTATAGTATTATCAACGTACCGTCCGTTTCCATAATTTTGGTTTTACATGGAAGATGTGTGAATTTTATAGTCGAGTTGTGTAACGAATATGATCCCCGCGCCGTAGCAACCTGTACTGTCACGCGTCAGGAACCTTAACATGCGGGTAGCTTCACTCATAGCGCTCAGGTCTCACTTGATAACGGCTAGTGATACTTTCCAGCCGAAACTTATAAAAAACGTTTTTAGCAATTGACTAGAATCAGCTCTTTAGCGGAACAAGATACAGGATGTCCTATTTAAAATAATAGACCCTTGGTGATAAGGAGATCTCCTATGAGACGCCCTGTAATAATACTATAGATTGTACGTCGTACAATTTTTTGTAATTTTTTTTTTGCGTTAAAGTAACACCAGATATTTTCTAGATCAACTCAAGTTAGATTTTTAGGTGAACACTTTGTGGGGTAGTTTCGAAATTACAAACGAGAGGTTGGCGCGGACCATGTTGCAGCAGATGGCCGAATTGCCGTTGATAGAGAACATGCACTTGTTCGATGAATTGGCGGATAAGTTTCAAAAGTTGCCCATATATTTCATGACGTTTCACGGGCAACAATCAATCAAAGTGGTTATGGAGGTAAATTTCTCCGGTTGGAAGTGACCACGAAGAAACCGCGCGGTCATTTTAGGCCGTCGAACATGCCGCTTACATATACGACATAGGTCACGTGGTGATAGATAACCTGCAATTTATGATCGGAGTGGCTGATGAAACCAGACATCTTGACAGGTTTTGGAAACAGGATGCGATCATAGCTGCGTTCCGAACGTTCGCTACTAGAAAAAATTGCCATGTTACTTTAGTCATACATCCCAGGAAGGAAAAGGACAGCGAGGAGTTGACCACGGGCTCGATTTTTGGGGGAGCCAAAGCGTCTCAGGAAGCTGATAATGTGTTAATTATACAAGACAAAAGGTTGTCGTCGATCAAGGGCAAAAAATATCTACAAGTAACGGGCCATCTATCAGTCCAAATGTTTACCAAATTACTAAATACGTGTGTTGCAGATCGCCAAGAATCGATATAGCGGCGACTTGGGAGTGATGGCTTTGGATTTTGACAAGAAGGGTTTAAGTTATGCTCAAAAAAAGCTTAAGGAAAAGAAAAGTGTTCGAAATGAACCGCCGGATAAAGACGGCTCGTCAAAGAATGCAGAAATTTAAATGCATGAATTGTACATTATTTACGATTTTTTAGAAGAAATATATTTTGCATTTTTAATCGGTTTTAATATTAAATTAAATTGCCAAATCCGAGTGATAACGACGACACACCCATACGAAGGTAGTGGTTAATTTTGTATCATGATTATATGATTTTAAAAAATACAGTTCAACAACTTTCTGATTTGACCTCGTATATTCTTCTTAGCAAAAACTTATTCAAAGAACATTTATTTTCTGAAATGGAAGTTCCGGATCCAGCCATCCTGTGGTTCACAGAAAAATTGCGAAAACCGCCTCTTTGTATATATATATATCTCCTTTTTAGTCTAGTTAATGAGTTTTAAATGACGTTAATTAAACATAGATCATTAAAAATTTCAAAAGTTATAAACAGTTAAATATGGTAAAAAGTAGTGTTAAGTTTTTTGCTTAAAGTTCCGATTTTAGAGTGTATAAAGTAGATTAACTCTACAAAATTATGGTATAACCTAGACACAAAAAACTGATTCCCCGTTGAATTTTTTTTGTAACTTTCCAATAAAGTGGACCATTGTCACTTAACAATTTTTTCCGGTACTTCCTTTATCGCTGAAACTTTTCTTTTTAAATAATTACAAATTTTTTCTCTAACCAAAAATTAACTTTAATGAAACATTCCAACGGGAATCAGTTTTTTGATAGGTTTATGTTATACCATAATATATTTAGATTTTTTGATCTACTTAATTTTTTTACTAATTATTTTTCAAAATCCAAAAAAATATTAGTTTACAAAATATAAGCAAAAAACTAAACACTACTTTTTACCATCTTTAATTGTTTACAATTTTTAAAATTTTAAAAGTTTTTTCGTACAATGATCTAGACATAATTCCCAATCAAATGAGCTATATCACATAATTTTAGTAATAGTAAGTTCAATTGACGTCATTTATAACTCGGTAAATAGACCATTTTAATGATTATTTTAATAACTATATTAATAAAGACATTCCTATTAGTTTCGGAAAAATCGAATTTATTAATTAACTTATGATTTCTTCTTTTGTTTCCAAATCTTCGGGCATTATTTTTACAAACTATCGATAACTAAATTAACGCAACAACCTACACTGTTACCCTTAGTTCAAAGTATAAAATACTTTTTTTTAATCGTTTAAATTCGAATAGGAATTTTAAACAGCAATACTAAAACCTAAGCATATTTTCAATTTTATTAACATATTTGCTACGATTTTCTGCATTACGTGAAAACGAAGTCTCCTTCTATGTTAAGCTCCCATGGCGGATGGAACATCTCCCCCGGCAAGCTTATGCAGTGGGTTGCCTTAAAATCTTTAAGGTGTTTGCTTGCCTGGAAGATTAAATTATTAATGATGTAATTTTAATTACAGTGCCACCTCAAAAATCCGGGTCTCCGTTAAACCGGATTCTTCAATAATCCGGTTAGGAGGTTAGCAATTTTGTTAGTGAGCTCCACCGTTGCATCATTAGTACTCAACCCTTGAGTGAAAAATAATTTTTGCTACATCCCGCTTTATATTTAGGCGACAGGCGTTTTTGAACTGATAGGGTTCAAATATCATTTTTATTATATGATATGACTGGAGTTAAAAAAGCCATTTTTTCTCTTATGTTGGTAAAATATTCATTAAAGACATGTCACCCCATTAATTTAATAATTACTGTTGAAAACGTCTGTTACAGCAAATAAGTGGGCTAAATTGGTGTAACTAAGAAAGTGATTTAAGGAAGAAAATCCCAATATTTCCATAAGAAAATATCGAAAGCCTGAAAGGAGAGTCCATTGATTAAAAAAATACATGTCATATTTAAAATTAACAACATTAACGCCCAGGCATCGAGAAAAAGGGGTTGAGTTTTGCCATACAACGTCGGAAAAAATTAACGGAAATGATGCTTATTTTCAAGGACGTCAAATTGTAAATGTGTGTAATTTTAAGCAACAGGGCAATAGCTCCTCATTTCTTCGACGTCACTTTAAACGGTAATGGTTATCCAAATGAGAAAACTATATGGATGAGCTTGCATTGGAACAACTTCATTCAACAAGATGGCGCCCGCGAAAAATGAAAAAATGGCCAGCCAACAGTCCTGACCTGACGTCGATGGATGCATTTTTATGGGGAACTCTAAAAGACCGTGTAAACGCAAATACGATCGATAACAGAAAGCATCTAGAAAACCTAATTAGAAGAGAAGTTCAAATTGTGAATAAAGAATATTCCCACAATCTATCATTGCCGCTATAGAAAGATTACGCATCATCAAATGTAGTGAAAAAAATTGGGGACCAGTTAGACAATTCCATTTTTATAACTAATTATCTACACATTGTATTATACCTGCCTAAATTATAAGTTTTAGAATATTTTTTAATCTCTGTCTATAACAACTTTTATATCTAAATTTTTTTCAAATTTTTTACGGGTTATGAGATAAGGTATCATTCTATATTAAAAATTTTCATTGTTATTTTTTTCCTATTCATTATCATTTAAAATATTTAGGTTGGAAGGGTTCATTTAAGTGGTTAAAAATACTTCAAATGTAACCAAATGGCAAAATTCAAGTTTCAAGATTTTATTAGCTTTTTTATAGCTGATAACTTACCAAAAACAAAGCCATTTGTGACCTGTCTCTCTCGGCAAAGTCTTCGCCAATCTTCATCGGAAATGACGTTGAATATTCCGAAATGTACGATTGCAGCAGAGAAACGCACATGTTTTCATCCACATTGTATTTCCGTAATATTTGCTCTACAACAAGTAACCATCTCGATTGGATTTCCGTCAAAAGGGGCACAAAGATTTCAATTTCAATATTACAATTTGAATTAAAGTACTTAGTAGATAGTAGAATTGCTGGGCTAAATGAAGAAGTCAACTTTTTAGTAAAATGTGAGTTAAAAGGACTTGAAAAAGGCTCAGAAGCTTTTCTGATGCAGACCGCCAGGCTATCTTAACTGATTTTTAGGAACTAGGTCCTTTTTTAAATTCCACCATGGACCTGGACAAGTGCCAAAGAAACGAATCTGAAAACTTTTCCTTCTTATAACGTTAAGTATTAGTCTGAACAAAATCAAGCCTCAGTCAATATTCAAAATCTGAAAATCCTTGAGCAAGGTTCTTTTCTTAACATATATCTTGAAAAGTGCAAAGAAAGGAATGTATTAAATCTACTTAAAGAAAGCATTTATAGGTACACCTTCAATAAAGACGTCAAGCAATGCTAAGGTGCAAAAAGATCTTTATTTACGCGAAGGTAGTGTTGATGTCATTTACAAGCAAACTGTAAATGACATTTAAAAAAAAAGTGGGTGAAAATTAAACAGTAATTAAAAATAGGATAGGCTTCAAAATCCTAAAAAATATTTCACAAGTTTTTATAGGCAATTCCACTAATTAAAATTAGAAACACTAAATTCCAAAACTAAAATACTGTCTGATAACTTATGACGATGTTGAACGAAGCGCTGCTTAGTGATAATAATCAAATTTTGGTTTATATATAGATGATATATAGAGTGCAAATAGGATTTCGAGTTAATTGAGAAATCGAAGAAAAACCGGCATTATGTATATATCCTCGACGGACAAAAATTCTTGCTCGGATGAACAATGAAAACTTTGTTCCCATTGCACAGACTACCGAAATAGTTATTTATTTTATTAAATCTTACACAACAACCACATATTTAGCCTTTTCTTCTTACTTAGTTAAGATTGGGAATACAACGTATAATCGACCTCTAAAATACATTTGAGAAAAAAACCTATGTCTTTAAATATAGATGAAGACATGTCTGTAAAAGCACTTAATACCTGTTAGATACTTTAAAAGGTATTTGACGTTGATTTTTTGGAAAACGTTAGTTTGACGCCTATATCCCTTTACTTTTAACCGCCTCAATTATTCTGTATTTATAGAGCCTTAAGCCGATGGGTGAGCAAAAATGGACAATCAAAGTAGACAAAAATTAATAAGTTTGATATAAACGGAGTTATTAATCCAGTCAAATTACACAAAGAAATAAATAAGGTAAAAAAATATCGTATACTTAAATTGAACTGAGGTGGCTTTTACTTGATGAAAATCCATTTATCAAAATAAATAAGAACTAAAAGTTCAGATTTTTACGAAATTATATATTATGACATGACAATTGTTTCGACAACACCTTATCTTTATCAAATGTAATATTTACAAACTACCTGCTACTATATATACCGAAAAATTACCATAAAACCTTAATTAATGTCGTTTTTCGCTACATATAGTAGCAGGTAGTTTGTAAATATTACATTTGATAAAGACACGGTGTTGTCGAAACAATTGTCATGTCATAATATATAATTTCGTGAAAATCTGAACTTTTAGTTCTTATTTATTTCGTATACTTAAATCGAAGATCGTAAAAATATCTGCAAAAATGGTTCTCATACTTTTATTTATCGGAATCAGAACTCTCAACATAACGCGATTCATTTTAAAATAATTAAAGTTATTTTTTCAAAGAAACCTGCACAGGCTACTGTAATACTTTTTATAAAACTTCTGGATTCCTACTGCGTCGGTTTTTGTTGACTCAAACAGAGCTTGACTGAAACTGGCTCGCATTTTACTCTTGTACCTCTTTATAGACTGTTGGAGGGGGTGGGGTAAAGGAGGGGCGTGGACGTTGTCTCGGATGACTGATTCCAATACAGGTGAACCTGAGTCGTGGGTAAGATTGTTTGGTTGCTTAAATATTTCTATGGATTCTTTCTTAGAAATCTATATATAAACGGGTACACAATAGAATGCGCGCCTGTTTCAGTTAACCTCTGAAGAAGCCAAAACAGCTGGCGAAACGTCAGTTAGATTTATCAACAACACTCGCAGGAGACTTGTAAATAGTATAATTGGAATCTTTAAAAAAGTTTTTCTAGGGTTATAATTTTTGTTAATATTTTTGTAAATTATAATTATGGTTGATGGATTTTCTTTGCAGAAAGAGAAAAATAAATTTGTTGTTTCGCTTTTAAAATAGGATTCGCATTATAATTCTTTGTAAAAAACTGGGTTTTTAAATTCAATTCAATTATGCTCTAGACCATTTCAGAAATACAGCAATTTTTACTTATATTAAGTGTCTGATTGTTTGTATACGTGAGATATGAGTAGGTATAATGAAGATTGTAGTTCTTTTTGGAAAATTTTAACTTTTCACCTCGAATAACTTTTTCAGCACACTGAAAATGGACGAGAAGTTTATGTCTAATGGCATATCCAGATGTTCGAAAAACACTTACCCTGCGCAGCTCCGGTAACAGCCAAATAATCATTTAAAAGTTCGAGTTGATGTTCCTCGTATATTGCTGGATAACGATGTTTTAATATTTTTATCAACAGATGATTGCCTCGGTTTGAAGATAAATCGTTTTCTCTAAAAAAAAAAAAAGTTTTTATTTTGGAAGATTTTATTGGATTTTACTGGAAGATTATACTGGTTATCGCGGTTGCAACCTGGCGTTGCAGGAACGTAGCCCTAAATATTTGGTGTAATCTGCCTGTCATGCCACTGGATGATCAATAGATTATCCGATGTCAGATTCAGATTCAGATTTGTTTATTGGTGTCAATATACATAAGGAATTTACACAGGTCAAATGAAAAGTACTAAAATATATTAACCACACATGAAACATTTTAATGTCATAAAAGATCGTATACATAAAATTTAATTCACAAAACATAAATATTCACAATAGGAAGAAAAGTTTTTATATATTTTATTTTGCATTTCTGCGTTCAATATGTTGAAAAATTTAATAGCCAGATAGCCTGGACTACTGTGACATTGAGTTAGTCGCTGACAGACTGGAAGTGGATGGTTTCTCTGCCTGGTATTGTATTCATGAACGTCACTGTGAGTTCTATACAAATCCAACTTTTATTTTTAATTTTAATTTTTTTATAGTGCTCCCCATCTCCAGTTCTCTGAGAAACTGGAGATAGCGACGTCTTGATTTTAGTCTAGCGTCAAACCAGCATTTTTTATAATTTTCTTCTAGAACATTAATAAATTCAAGGAATTTTGAAGCCACATTCAGATTACCATCCTTTATAAAGTTCTAGCTAACATATTCTTTCTGTTAATGGTCTATATACTTTAAATCCACTGTGTATATGCCTGTCCTGTTAATAGAAAGTGCATTTCTGAACCTAAATGATCTAATTATCAGTTGTTTCAGTTCTAAAGGGATCTGTACAGAAATTTACCAAAAAACATTGTCTAAACACGAACTTAAGCTAGAAAAAAAGAATGAAAGCTAGAAGGGATATTAGAAGTTTCCGTTAAAATCACCTATTAAAAATTAAAGAAAACCTAAAAAAAAATTAAAATTGTTTGGTACATCAGAAAATATTTTTTTATGTGAGTAAAATCTCTGTACTTGAAAAAAAAACAAATGAGGGTCTTACTTTAAGCATATCACTTCATCGTCGGTTCTACGGATCAAGAGTATAGGTCCCGGATATTTTGAAAGTTGTTCGAATATGTTGAGATTCACATGTTCCCTGATTGCCAACTTAACTATGGGTTCCCACCATTTAGGCATGTGATTAATCGCCAGGGGCAAAATGTCGTCAAAAGTTGCATCTATCACCTTAAAAACAAAAACAGGCAAGTTTAAAACAGAACCGGCATCGATTTTCGAGGTTACGCAAATCTGTAAATATGTTCATGTTCAAACCTGAGCAAACGGCATCATACTAACATTAAGTTAAATTCTCTCATTCCCAGATCAGCGAAACCAACACCAAATTGACCTTTTTGCTCCCTTTAACATCTTCCCGCCTTTGGTTTTCTATACTTTCAAGGAGACTTCATTTAGTCTTTACGTTTGTTTTAGTTATTAATTTTTGGAGTATTACTATTATTATTTTTAAAGCTGTTACTGGTTTAGAAACCTTACAAAATACAAAATACAAAAAAAAACCGTACAAAAGTTAAAGTTAGGTTCAAGTAAACTAGACAAAGTCACAGACAATTACGAAAAAAAGCGATTAGATACATTACATACAAATATACAACTGTTATGGAAAATGTATTACAATTTTTTTTTCAACCATTTTATTAATAACTGTTTAATTAATTATTCCATTGAATCTCCATTTCCATTGAAATTGGAAAAGATAAAAAAAAATCCTTGACCTAACTTTGATTAGAAATTTTAACAATAATAACATAATAACAAGATCGTATTCAGAAGACAAGAATGTTGTTATTACTGGTTTAACAAATTTTAATTGAAAATTTTAACTGAAAATAATTAAAAAAAAGTTAAAAAAAAATTAATTAATAACAGCAACTGTTTTAAATAAATATGAATATTGAACAAACAGAAATTATAATACAATAACAAAAAATAAGAGTCAAGAAAATTATTTATATTAAAAAAACAAATAAATGCTGCAAATGATCGAAAAGGTATTAGTAATTTAAGTCAATTATTCGTCAATAATAATAATAATGTTGAAAATAAACCAACAACTAAATAAATTCTTGGCAACTAATTATAAACATAAACTTCAAAGTCAACATATTAATGTCAATTATTCAAATTTGTATTTTCTTAATTCATTCAAAATATAACTAAGTTATGTAAATATTCTTATATAAAGTATTCAATTAGGACAAAATTTTGTAGGACTCTGTTAAATCTCCACGTAATGGAATTTGGCCGAGTTTATTTTTTGAAGCCTGATTTCATAGAGCGAGTCTTTTAATAGTGGCCCTTCTCTGCACCCATTTTATTATAGACTCCAGCGTATTCTAGTTAAGGACGAATAGTAATTATGGCGAAAAATAGAAGACTGGTTAGAACATGTGCGTCCATTTTATGTTTGCTTTAGTTATTTACATGGAGGGCCGAAATTGGAGATGCAAATAACTTATTCCTTCCTCTATCCGGCCATACCAAAAAGCCGATTATCGGTCATACCGTTCGCCTTAAGTAATCTTTTATTCGAAAGGGAGAAATATTTTATAAAGTATTTAATTAAAACTCAATCGGGCTGGATATGGAATATTTTAATGTAACTGCAGATAGGTCTGAGGATATTTCACATTTTACTTAAATGCCAACTCTCTCAGGTGAACATTGGCAGTTCATCATAGATACGACATGTCAGAAATTTCTTTTAACAGTAAAGCCAAATAGCCCTATACATCGTAACAATAAATGACGTCATCGCGAGATATAGCGATCTCGACATGCATTTTTTTCAAATATCTCGAGCAGCATGTGCGACAGACGAAAACCGTGAATGCACAAATTGTAGCTCTGGATATGCCCTAGATATGCCTAGTGGTGAACGAGATATTGCATATTCTGAGGGAAGAACACGGGGTATATGCTCAGGCATATGCACACGACCTTATGATAATGACACAGGGGACGGACGTGAGGAGGATGCAGGGGCTCCTGAACGAGGCATTGGCAAGATTCTCACAATGGTGCCTGGACAGCAAGTTGGCTGTCAATCCTGGCAAGGTGGAGATGGTCATCTTCACTAGAAAAAGGAAGGTGGAGTGCAACCTCAACATTTCGATGGATGGGGTGCCTCTTTCTGCAAGCGGAAGTGTCAAGTACTTGGGCGTATGGTTGGACTCTAAGTTGACCTTCCAGGAACATATAAGATCAAGGACCAGGTCGGCCTTTGGAGCTCTGTGGACGTGCCGGAGAGCGGTAGGGGGCACTTGGGGCCTGAGGCCGAAGATCATGCAGTGGATTTACGGTACCATGGTGGTGCCTATACTCACGCATGGGGCAGTGGTGGTGGGACAGGACCAAAAGAGCGGAAGCAAGGCTAGTTCTTGACAAACTGCAGAGATTGGCTTGCCTCTGCATAACGGGCGCCATGAGAACGGCGCCCACGAGGGCCCTAGAGGCTCTGGAGGCGGCCAGGACAGTTGTGAGGCTGGCGAGCTGCGGGCTCTGGAGGGAGGGAACCTTCAATCGGGGTCCGTACGACATTTTAGAGGGCTGTCGCGGGGATCGCGCGATCATGGGCATGCCGAGTGACGTCATGATCCCCGAGATGACGTTCTTTGACAAATTGACCTTTTTCTTTCCATCAAGGGAAGAGTGGAGAGAGGGCAGAATCGGCTCCTGGGATGGACTTATCTGGTACACGGACGGGTCCAGAATGGGAGATCTGGCCGAAGCTGGAGCGTACTGCGAGACAACGGGATCGAGCTTGCCGGTCCCTCTAGGTCAGTACTGCACTGTGTTTCAGGCGGAAATTTTCGCTTTATTGATGGCGGTCAGAGAGATGCTTCGGCTCAACCACGGAAGCAGGAGAGTCGTCGTCTGCTCGGATATGCACTTATGGCGCTGAAGCCAGTGCGTACGCGCTCCTTGTTGATAAAGGAGTGCAAAGGGGTACCGAGAAGGGTGGCTGAGGAGAGGAAGGTCACGTTGGTCTGGGTCCCGGGTCACACCGGTATCCGAGGCAATGAGGCAGCGGACGCCTTAGCCAGAGAGGGCTCCTCGCATAGGCATAAAGGGCCAGAGCCCCGCTTGGGGATCGCCCCGTGTGTGAGGCGGGGAGCTCTCGAAGCCTGGGCGAGAGACCGGGCCGCGGGGGGCTGGAGAGTTGCTCCGGGAATGAGGCAGGCGAGGCTTATGATGGATGGGCCCGCCCTTCCTCGGGCCAGGGAGCTGCTTAGACTGACCAGAAGGGAGTGTAGAGCACTAACAGGGGCCTACACAGGACATTGCAGGCTTAGGAGGCATCTTTGCTTGCTAGGCATTGGAGATGACCCGGTGTGTAGGTGGTGCATGGAAGGGGAGGAGACCCCGTATCATCTGCTCACCGAGTGGCCTCCCTTGACATGGGAAAGATTGGGAGTCTTTGGAACGGCCCTGATCGATCCGGACTCAGTGCACGGTATTGGGCTAAAGAAGTTGCTGACCTTCTATAGGAGGGGCGGCATTCTGGACGCCCTCTAGAGCGGCCTGGGGGCACAACGGGCCCATCTGGTGGCCTATGTGCTTGGACGCACGCGAGGGCGCCCCCCTTTAATACCAATACCAATACCAATGCCATATTCATACCAAATTTAGATTTTTTTACATAACTGAAATACCCTGTATATAACACTTCCTGGTTCAACGGTGAACATTTTTCCAGAAAATATTTTCTTTCTGAAAGCCCAAATAACCCAATAAAAAATTCAACATTTTTTAAAAAATACTCAGCAATATTCTATTGCGCCCCATTTCAACAGCTTAAACGTGGGTTTGGACGTCTACCTCACCGAATCCGAAGTCGATAGCAGCAAATTTAATACAGCACGGAATATCGTGAACACTCTATATATTAGCGGTTGTAGCTGTCTCTACAGGCTATATCGCCGTTTAAAAGAGAATGACAACTTAAAAACAGTCTTTTAGCTGTGGTCAATTTTCATTTTTCAGTTTTTTGCGAAATAAAACAAAAAAGAAAAAAACTCTACTCAGTAAATTACAGAATAAAGTATTTTGCGTCTTGGGAAGAGAAAGAAGAAGCAATATAAATACGTACGACTCCCTTGGCATCGGGATAGTTCATGGCGGCCCACGAAGTTGCGTACCCCCCAATACTCCATCCAAAAAACAATATATTTTCAACCTCAAAACTCAGTTTATTTATAGCGAATTGCACCAGCACATCTATGGCGTTTTGTTCTTGAGACGGATAAGGCATGCCCTAGATAAAAATTGGACATTTCCATTTTAATCGACTTAAAGTGGCCTGAACTTACGGTACTGCCACCGAAGCCTGGATGGTTCCAACCCAACACTGAGTATCCCGCTTCAATTGGGGTGATTATGGTACCAATTTCATAGAACCCGGCATTACCCTCACTACAGATAACCAATATATTGCCATTGGAAGATATGTTCCTCTTGTCAATCAAGATACTATCGATGAAGTTGCCGTCTACTGCTTTTAACTTGAACCTTTCTGCCCGGTGTGATTCTATCAATTTAAATCTGCCTTGAAGTAAGCTTTGTTCTACAATAGAAAATAAAATTTCACACAGAAATATGAAATTGTCACAAAATTACCCAGTATCATTTGCAACATGCCAATACTTCCCGGGTATATTAACCTTATGCCAAAGGAATGAACAGCGAGATAGGCGATTACGCGAAAAGGCAACGAGGTGATATATTGAAAGATATCTTGGTGCATTGTGGGTTTGTGAATTCCTATATATCTCATGGTATCTCTAAAAAAAATTATAAATAGGATGCAGCTAGACCCAGAACTATGTAGAACATTACATTTTGCTGCTAATGTGATATTCTACAGGCCAAGCTGAAAATTCAAACTCATACTTCATCAGTTCAGGTTTAACGCTGCGGATGTCCCGCTGAGCCTGTTCCAAGACTCCCATAAATTGCTGATACAAGGGATTTCGGGATCTGCTTATGCCCCTGATACAATAAGAGATTACTAAAATGACACTCACACCAGTGACTACTTTCGAGAGACTCGTCAGGCCCTGTAGTTCAAAGTAGCCCCGCTGGTATAAGATACCAACTAAGAATGGAGATGTATATATTCCTAATTTCCATATTATATAAAGCTGAAATAAAAATTATTTAAACAATACTGGTATCTTATGCCGGCAAACTTACAGAATGTATTATTTGGTCTCCCCACTTTTCCAATAATTGGGGCTCATAAAACTGCTACAACAAAAAATAAAAATGGAAAAATGTCTCTTTCCCTATATTACCAAGTATACCTCGACAGGACCGTTGCCATAAACTTTTATTAATCTTGGGGAGAACATACACTTCCACACAAACTTAAGGGTTGACATTTTTTGCAATAGAATCTAATTCAAAGAAACAATTCACTTAACCTAAGAGAATCGAGACTGAAACGCTAGATTTAAAGAGAGGACATAAATATTTAAAAAAATGTTATATTTCAGTGTTGTTACCGTTAAAATCCTTTTGTATTTACCTGAAAAATTATTGTTTTTATTTACATTAGACAGAAACCACAGAACATAGATAATTAGAAATTGCTAAAGTGATCATTGTGCGCTTAGTTAGTTTCCCATAATTTGTAAGAGAAAACCTTAATTACGTATTGATTACATAAACTAAGCTAAAAGAAATCTAAATTATTTTCGAAATCTTCTAAATAAAAATAAAAAGTAATAATGCCGTGACGCGATTCACGAAAACAGTATGAAAGGTGACATTAAAAAAAAATACCATTAAAAAATAAGTTGAGTTGTACCAATCACTCAAACAATGATGGTAAACCAAAGAGAAATTTGCTTCACAAGAGCGCTTGTGGCTGACTGTAAATTGGAAGTGTAACATTCTATTTCCCTCAATTAAAATATTTGACCCGCTGTTTCTGTTGTTCACGCTTGTCGAAAGCAGGCCTAAGCGAGAGCGGTTAAATGTTTTTTTTTGGGTCGGTTCAATTTTTTTCTTGATTTTAGATAAGGAAATGCCTAATCAAAGGATAGTACGGTTCGCCGGTGACCAATAGGAAAAGTCATTGAAAGTGTCTGTGATTCAAACAACTGAAATACTCAAGACTGTTCACAATGGGCGAGTGTCCATAGTGCTTATTTTGAAAGCAAAGAAAAAGAGGAAATTGAATACTCATTTTTATTATTTACATCTGGCTAACTCTACAATTGCTATATCTGGTCCAGGAAATGATATGAATACATATTGAAATAAATATTCATTCAAATCTACTAACCCTAACCTATGGCTGACCGCTACAAAAAATCAGTTCCAAGGTCTGATAACGATTGCAATGGAATTCATAAAAACTATTTTGCTGTAGTAAATATATGAAACGTAAAGTAGTGCCATTATGAGTGAAAACTTCGTCCTTCTAACTTTAAAAAATGGTGTACGGACGATTACATTAAACCGACCAAATGTGAAGAACGCTATAAATCAGGATATGTATGAAAAAATTAAAAAAACCATGAATAATGATGCTGTGAATGATGAAGTTGTAATAACTATACTAACAGGTACTGGAAATTATTACAGTAGTGGGAATGATATCAAAAGTTCTATGGAAACAGTGTCCGACCCGGAAAATCAGTTTCGGCTTGTGGAAGAAATGATTCAAGCTTTCATTAACTTTCCGAAGTTGTTAATTGCTGTAGTAAATGGCCCCGCTATAGGAATAGCTGCCACAACTGTTGCCTTGTGTGATATCATCTATGCTTCAGAGAATGCAGTTTTCGATACACCTTTCTTGAAAATGGGATTATGTGCCGAAGGAGGATCTTCATATACTTTTCCCTTCACATTTGGCCGCAGCATTGCATCTGAAGTTATAATCTTAAACAGGAAGTTGTCAGCAAGTGAAGCTTATCAATTTGGGTTAATTTCAAAAGTTGTACCGCTAAGTGAACTTCAGGCGTTTATGGAAAATCTGCATGAATATGGAAAACTGCCTCTTCAAAATGTTAAAAGAAATAAAGCTTTAATTATGGCTAATTTTAAAAAAGTATTGATTGAATGCAATCAGAGAGAAACCAAAGCTTTGAAAGAATGCATTGAGTCTGATGAATTCATTACTGCTGCTATGTCATTTCTCAATAAGAAATCTAAGTTGTAATAAAACAGTCCTATATATTTACATTAAATAATTTACGAGGTTTTTGCTAGTTTACTTAAACCCTAATAATCACAAAAATGAAAACCGAATTACTTTATTTATTTATTTAATTACGAATTTACTTTTATTCAAGTTTCAAATAATTTTACAGGTAAACAAGAGAGACGTCATAACATTAATTTAACTATCCTCTTTGAATTGAATCTGAACCATAGAGGAAAATAATTAGTTTTCTCTATGGTCTGAACTTTCCAACCGTAACTTGGACATGTACAGCAAGTGTCAACGATATCCAATCAACGTTTTTTAATTTTTTCAGCTGCTAATAAATCAAATTGATATCGATTAGACAGCTTTACTGTTATCTTGCCCTCACTAATAACTCGTAGTAGTCGTACACAAAGTACATATACAAAAACGTCTCTGTTCTAATCTTGCTTGAGGGGATTAATAATGGGCGTATGGTCCTAGTGAATTTCCCACCGTTCGAAGAATTGTAAACGACGAAGAACTTTCTATCTATGCATGGTTTTTAAACTTAAAGTTTCACTGTGTAACGGCTGAGGGAATTGGTGGTAGTTTTCTCGCTGTGCTAGTGGCAGTTGAATTGGATTTTGTTGATAATTCCTTCATGTTTTCGAAAGACGTGTCTTAAAAGCTAGAGACCCGAGCGTTTTTTTATCTTGGAACAGGTACGGGATACAAAATGTACGATCTAACTTAGAGGACCGCTTTAACCAATGCAGTGACCTTGTTCAGCCCAGTAAAAAAGTGAGTTCAGTTTTTTGGTTTTGCTTTTTTTTCGAAATTTTTTCTTTATTCGCAGTTCACATTTTGCTATCGTTGTGCACGTTGTTTTATTTAATGGCGGCGATATCTAACATTATTCATGTATTTTTTTCTGTACTGGCAAAACTATAGTATTGATTATGGAATATTTTTTAGGATGATTGTGTGGAGGTGTATCTTCGAAACAAAAAAGGTATATCTTTTGCACACCTCTATAGTTTAACAGACAACACGTTAACATGAAAAGTGGCGGCCAAAGGCGAAAGTGTTAATAAAAAATATACTTTCACAAAAATATTCGGCCCCTATCTAACCTAAGAAGAATTATTCAAAGATGTTATGAAATCCAAATTATTACATTTTATTAATGGGAGGGATGCAACTGTATTTGCATACGGTGCCTCGGGATCTGGTTAGGTTTGATCGGAGAAACTCTTTTCGAACTGAGGGTCTTTTATTCCAGGTAAAACATTTACAATGGTTGGGACCGAAAATGCGCCTGGTGTAATACCTAGAGCATTTGAATACCTGTTTCGTAGTTTGCCCATATTACGTGAAGATCCCAAAGCAAAACCGTTGCCAAATGGGACAGTAATGGAGCTTAGCGCTTTGCAGAGCGAAGAAGAGAAGAGGTATACCCAAAATCTGTCCTTTCATGTTTTCGATTGCATATTCAATGTTCAAACTAGTCTCCTCAGTCGCTCTAGTATTGTCGATTGCAACATAGTTTCCAAGAGTTTCTTGCTAAATCTGACGCGGACGTTACTTGATCCGTCTTTGATAAAATACCCTGATGTAGAGGTTAACATACTGATGTATTAGGCAAGAAGATAATTTTTATGTTTTGTAATTTAACCTCACGGGGGGGGGGTGCGATGCTGCGTTATCCAAGAATAATAAATTTTTTCGCCTTTTTAGGTCTGTCAAATTGTAACAACCAGTCATTCATAATGTCTCGTGTCATCCATGCTTTCTTGTAAAATTTCCATATTGCCGGTAAATTTTTAATTGCCACATTTTTGAATGGTCGCGCAGCCTTTCCAATCACGAGCAAATCTTCTTTTTGTCATGCCATATTAGCACAAAATAAAATTGTAAGCCTCTCCTTGGAAGGCTTTCCACCACTAAGTTTTTCAAATTTCAAAGCAAGTGTTTTGTTAGATAAGACTCGGAAGAAAAGGCCAATCTCTTCGGTATTATAACATCGTGTCGCCGCTATCCGAGGAGTAGTGTGGGCAACTTATCTTTAGACTGATTTACGTCTTCTTGACTCACATCTGCTGATTCTCCATTAATTTGAAACATTAAGTTTTTCTGCTATTTCTTGAGCCTTGGCCTTTACTAAGCGCGATATTGGAATGTATTTTCTGTGCAATAATAGATCACCGTGTTCCTTAATGGTATGCGGATATTTAATTTGAATGACAAAAATATGATCATTTGGTAAATAAACCATTTTCCTAAAACTCAACCCCGAGGGACATCATCCTTTAACATGCAATATTTGCTTCAACTTTTTCCTGCTGATACACGGAATCTACTTTTTAAAACCCTAAAACATCTAACTATTGGTCTTCTCGTTCTAAATTGCACGTCGTTTTATAGATCTTCTACGGCGTTCGTGGATTATGGAGCACTCGCCAAACTCAGCATTTTCAAAACAGGTTGAAAAAAATTAAATAAAAAGGTTTCGTTAATTCGAAGTTTAGCTAAAATTGTACCCCTCAAAATGCTCGTTTCATCTGGCATCAAAACAAAAAAGAAATATCAAAATATTTAAAAATGTAGTTGGCTGTGACATCACAATCTTTTTTAACGCATTAAGGTATAAACAAACTTTGACTTTTTCATCAAGGCAGCCTTTTTAGTTAACTTTTTTTTATAGAATTATAGCAATAGGTTTTATTTGCCAACAAGTGACTTAATGTGGGCAGCTTTAAATTCAACAAGAATTTGTACGCGTGTTATCTCAAAAAGTAACTAACATTTAAATATAAAAAAAACATAACCTCAATTTCTGCCTAAGTTATTGAAAATTCGAATAGGAATTTTTTTAGAAAGTGACCTTTATTTTGACCGGGCAGGTGAAGGATTCAAAAAATGTCGAAATATAGGGGGTATTTTATTTAAAATAACAAAGATTATGTCGAGGGGTGGGGGAGGGACACTTTTGAGACACCCTGTATCAACAAAATTATAATATTTTAAATCTTCAGGAGAGTCCAAGAAACTTTTCTACGAAACTTTTTTTCATATCTCACATGGTGTACGTATTATTATTAATAAAAAAGTTGAAGAATTTTAATAGGAATTCGAAACATTTTTATAAACGTATGTTTTATTCGTCTTTCTTTTGTATTTGCCATTTTCTTTATTTTCCTCTATACAAAGTGAAATGAGTTCTGAACGAGCCAACAAAATGATCCAGAAGAGTTAGCTTGTGGAAGTTGGTTTGAAAAATCTACATAAACGTAAGAAAACTTCTGGATTCCTCCTGCGTCGGTTTTTGCTAATTCGAACCAGCTTACGTTTCACCAATCATCCTGTTGGCTGCTTCAGAGCTTGACTGCTCGCATTTTACTCTGTACTTGCTTTTATATTGTTTGAGAGGGACGGAGCTAAATGAGGGACATAAACACCGTCTCCGATGACTGATTCAAATATTGGTGAAGAAACCTGAGTCGCGGTTAAGATTTTAATTTTATCTAAATTCTTGCATGTAATGTAGAATTGATTCTTCTACCAACGAAAAATCCGAGAGTCTATAGAAATCTATAAGCAACCTAATAATCTTAACCGCGACTAAGGTCTCTAGCTGTCACCAATATGGGAATCGGTGTTTATGCATAATAACAAAAAGAATATAATAAACTATGGACAGTAAAAGAACTGCACATCATTCAAATGGCGCACTATTTGAAACTTCATTAGTTAACGTGTTGATAAAACACAATCTCGTGCTACATATCAATTTAACAAAATTTAATCACTTTAATTTGTTGGTATTGTGTTGATTTGTAAAGCACACCAGCCTATTGAAAGGCATATTCTATTAATCACTACAGGAGACAAAAGGTGACTTCCTCTCAATTCTCTAGAACGGACGTGACAATTAAAACTTTACAAAACACAAGGAGAATTAATCGCCACAGTGATAGAATGACAAAACATAAATCCAGAAATTTTCTAGAGTCCTCGAGAGTAGCCAGTCCATGAAAGCCTCCCACTTCAATGATATCCACTTGTAAACCAATCTGGCCCATCATATATCTTTCTCTGCACAGCTTCAATTCGGTGTTTATGAATTTCATAAAATGGAGACCAGATTATTGACCCAAGATAGTACGGACATATGAACTGAACATCCCAAATTCTCAAAATCTTCAGGCATTCTCCAGACATGACCCAACATACGGTTACCACGGCTAAGGGTGTCCTCAAAGTGCCGGTCAAAACGTAATGAATGATACCGAAATCATTTATTGCTGGTGCTCTCTTCAACATACACTCTTCCATTCTATGTGAGCAATCAGTAGAATTTTTAAGTCGAGACAAAACCGTACAGGTACATTTTACAGTGCTTTGTAAATTGTTCATCCTATACCACTCCCATAGAGAATTAATGTCTCTCTGTAGCACTGCACAATCATCAACTGATTGTACGCAGTGGTAAATTTTTAAATAAATAATCATTTTTGGGCCCAGATTAGACATCTGTGTTGTCTTCTTCTTAGCGTGCCTTGTCCTATCGAACGTTGGCGATCATCAGCGCAATCTGGACTTTGTCCACCGCTCTTCTAAAAAGTGTCCTGGCGCTAACACCATACCACTGCCGCAGATTCTTCAACCAGGAAGTTCTGCGACGGCCTGGGCCTCTCCTACCATCTATCTTGCCCTGCATAATGAGTTGGAGTATTTGGTACTTTGTGTTGCGTAGAATATGTCCGAAATATTCTAGTTTTCTCTTTTTGATAGTGTGTATGACTTCTGTTTGTTTGTTTAGTTGATTTAATATGTCTATATTTCGGACTCTGTCAACCCACGAGACTCGCAGCATGCGTCTGTATGTCCACATTTCGAAAGCCTCCAGTCTTCTGCACATGGTTTCGGTCAGCGTCCACGATTCGGCCCCATACATGAGCACACTAAAGACATAGCATTTGGGAATGCGAATCCTCAAAGCTAAATCGATATCGCGGCTGCATAACACGGCCTTCATTTTAACGAAGGCGCCCCGGGCTTGCTCTATTCGGGATCTTATCTCTTGTGTGTTGTCCCACTCTGAGTTAAGTATGCAGCCTAAATATTTGTAATGTTGGACGCATTCTATGGGTTTTCCGTCGTACTCCAAATCACCCCACACATCTCTATGTTTGCTTACTACTAGCCATTTAGTCTTTTTGATGTTCAGCTTGAGTCCCATCTCCCTACTTCTGTCTGCCACGCAGTTCAAAAGTTCCTGCAGGTCCTCCAGCGTACTCGCGAGAAGCACAGTATCGTCCGCGTATCTGAAGTTATTTATAACTGTACCGTTGAGAATAATACCTTGGTGTTTCTCGTATAATGCTTCTTCAAAAATGCTTTCGGAGTACAGGTTAAATAACAGAGGCGACAGCACGCAGCCCTGTCTCACACCACGCATGATTCGAACCTCATCCGACATCTCTCCGTTCACTACTATTTTTGCTTTCTGGTGCCAATATAGATTTGCTATTATTCGCATATCTCGTTCATCTAGGTTTTGTTTCCTTAGTATTTCAATGAGTTTACTGTGCTGGACGGTTTCGAAAGCCTTCTCATAATCTATGAAACACGCAAACGCATCTACGGACACATCCCGGCATCTCTGCACCAACACCTGCATGCTGAACAAGGCCTCACGTGTACCCATCCCATTTCGGAAGCCGAACTCTGTATTGCACATCTTTGTTGGGGGAGAAGAAACAGCTGACCTGCTGAGTACGGCCCTGCTGATAGCTCGATAGCACCGATAGAAACTCACCTCTAATACCAAACTTTTGAAGTTTGTTCAGTAACACTCCTTGGTCCAGCAAATCAAAGGCGTTGCCGAAGTCAGTTAGAAGTTAGTGTTTATCTGGAGCTTTTATGCGCGTTTCTAGATAGTCCCAGACATGATCGATTGGGTTTAGGTCTGGACCAACTTCTGGCCAATCTAAAATTTGGATGGCAAGGGCACTACATTTTTCTTAAGAACCTCTCTTATATACCGATCAGCTGTTAAAAAAATCCCATACGTAACACTACTAACTTTGCGTGACCTTGAAAACAGATTCCTCCTCGAATTATTGTTGAATCACCTCCAAAATTTCTATGAAATCCTAAGTCCAGTCGTTAATTAACATGTTTTCTTGTGAACCTTAACCATAACCTGGTTAACAACGGGCAGTAACAGGCATTATGGGCCTTATTCCAAATTCATCTAAACATTACGGTCTCTGGAGAGACCGATTTGCAGGTGCCTGGATGTAACATGGCCTTTACGCAAAGTCAGCTGATGCATGTTAAAAATGAAAGTCGTCTTTTTTTTTCTCCTGAACAAAAAAGCTGCATATCTAGAATTGAAGCTAAAAGGAGATCATAGGTCACAGATTCAGCAGACCTTGCGAAACCTTCCAGAACCAGTCTTTTATCATGCGCCTAGGCGCAAAGCCGACATTGGAAGAAATTCCGATAAATACTCTCGTGAAGTTTTCACTCAATTAAGTTTGACTCAAACATAATATAAATAAATAAATAATGTGCTGCTAAAAAATATATTTAGTTTAAAAATTAATAAAACCAACCTAAACAGTAACCTGTTAGTGTTCAGTTCTAATGTTAAAACAAAAGAGGAAATACAAAAAAATAAAAAAATTGGCAACAATGTATCGAGGTGATTTCGTTCGTTTCGTTTCCAAATTCTTTGCAAAGAATTGAACATTTTCACGGTTTTACGTTCACACCCTGTATAATGGGAAGGGGTTATTTTATCCCGATTAACAAGTTGTCTACATTAGGAAGAAGCAACGCTATTTGTTCCAGTCCGCAAATTGCCAGAGGGAGATGGGATGATTCGCAGTATTGAAGGTACTTTAATTAATATACGTACAGTTGTTTAATAAGGGTTCGATATTTTACAGGGTTGTACGTAAATATTTTGTGTGTCAAAGTTTCATTTCATTAAATTGGTATCTGTGACTTTTGTAACATGAGAAACTTGAATTTGTTCTCCGTCAATATTGAATTTATTTATTAAGTATATGTGATACATTTATATTGTACATATGTTCTGTAAAATAAATTTAAGCAGTCAATTTTTACTAGAAAAATACTTCACATTTCTCCCTGTGAAATATCAAGCTTCTATTAAATAACGCCATGTATATTTATTTAGGGTATTTCTGTTTCAGAGCAACCAACGAGCAATAGCGATTTGAAACTTGGACTGCCTGAACAATTGTCAAGTTAAGTTAATTAAATCCTTATATCTTTGAGAATTGAAAATTTTACTTAACATTTGCCGTTTTCCAGTCGGGCTTACAGTAGTGGGGCACCTATATTATCTAATAGCTATATGGTCAAGCCCCTAAATATCCAAATGAGTTTGAAATGAGAGAATGGTGACGACATGGGCGACCGGAAGAATTAATAATTATCTAGGAATGCTCTGGTACCACAACAAATTTAACAGTAGATTTTGACAACTTGGTTATGAAAATTGGTATTTTATCCAATGGAATAATTTTTACAATATAAAAAATTATTTGAGGTTTTGGGTTGTGGCGTCGTCATACATAATGAATCTTCTTTCTTTAATAGACGTGTATGGTCGGTTACATTAGGCAGTACAGTAGAGACTTGATAATCCGGACTAATTAAAGTAAGGGCTAACTCAAACTATAATATACATACATGATGAAAAACAGTAAACGGGTAAACTTCATTCTCAAAGTCTCATCAAAACAAATATAATGTAGGTAAGAATAACTATATCAAATGTTACATTATTTAAAATATTTAAATATTTTACTTTGCCTTTTAAGTGAAATAATTGAAGAATGCTTAACTATACCTTTTTGTTATAATATTTTAATTTAGAGAAAATTTTCTCCAGCAATTCTAATGTAAATGTCTGAAGCTTCATGTTCAAGATCGCCATTCTCTAAGACATTCTCTGCATTTTCCAACCACAGTCAATTTGTGTCAGCAGTTTAGAGGAATTAATTTTAGTCATAATCAGGTAAATTGCCGGTTTGTGGTCACTTTCTGCTATGGCATATAGAGTAAACTGCATCAATAAGATTTATCCTCTTAATGCAGACCTTTCTGATAATACAGCTAGAATAATCTGATAGCATTTTGATCCATAGGTTGGATGAAAACTGTACAGGATTTCTAAACTACATAGAGCAAAATCGACTTACTTAACATGGCCGAGATATAGGGCGGTTGCCAATTTTCGGCCCTTCAGAAAATTGCCCATAACTTTTTTATTTATGAAAATTTTGAAATGGGATAAAAACATTATTAAGGCATTCTTTAAGGCAAATGCAGTGGCGTACTCAGATTATGTCTACATTTCTCCGTTTTCTCATAAATAAATACAATTTTCTTATTTTATATGATAATCATAGTTGACTGTAGGCTTAAATTAGTGTTCGTGGCGAGCCTTTTCAGCTATAGCAACCTTTAAAAACACGAAACTTACGAATCATTCAATATTTTAATTTTAGATATTTTTAATATTTTAATATTTCAGATTATTTAGAAAACAAAATTATATTTATTTTAATCTAATAAACACAACAGTAAATATTAGAATACAAAATCTTAAAATTTATCCTTTAGCATTAATTATATTGAAATATTTTAAAGCAAATGTTCAAATTGGGCGCCGCCCTCTTCAATACACTGGGCGCACCTTTTTCGTACTGACTGGCAACTATTTACTAACTTTGTATAGGATTGATGGAAGGAGACGCTTTGGTTTGGAAAATTCTGTCTTTAAAGATAAAATCTTTTATTCTTACCCATAAAAAAATCTAGACGAGTTAGATCACACGATCTCGCAGGCCACACAATAGTTCACTTACAATCGTCTTGCTGATAACAAAAACTCAGTCCAAGAATTAATGGCACGTCTTCTAAAACTGGCTGTCAGATTTTCATTAAAAAAATAAGGTCTGACAAATCTACCTCAGGAAATTGCTACGCATAGCGAAAGGAACTGTTTCTGTTAAATATTCCGGAACGCTTCATGACTCGAAACAATAGACAATGGAAAATTAATTTTCTCATTGCATTATTTGTGACAGAACACAAAATTCAGTAAAGAATAAAAGTTATGTGCTTAACTGATATTGACAGCTACATGCACGGCCTACTAATACGTAAATAATACATAAACAAATCTATGTGGCCGAAAAGGAGTCAACACTGGCATTTTTTAAAGACCATAGACAACTACAATTGCCATACAAAATAAAAAAGTATATAATTATGAGAAAACGGAGAACTGTAGAAAGGATTGCCCTAACAATGTTTTTATCCAAATCCAAAAATAAATTACAAAGTTATGATCAATTTTCAAAATTGAAAACGCCCTATATCTCGGTTGGTAGTGGAAGATATCGCCATGCGGTTTTAAGTAAGTTAAGTATGGTGAAAAATTTTCCGTCTTCATTATCAATCAAGCATTTCCCGAAAGTTGTTGGTCTTTTAAGTTGTTTGCAAAACGATATGTCAAAGCAATCCTTAAAAATGGTAGAAAACATCCATGCGTTACTACTAGTAAAATTTGGTTCTTGGATGCCCTTGATAAACCCACGTCTTTTTTTTTTAATGAAGAAACCAGCCTCTACTTGCCACAAATGCACCTTTTTATAAATGTTCTGGGATAGTTCTCGAGCTACAATATAATACAATACAGAATACAATTTTATTTCCTTTTCTGGATGTTCTGCTTGCTGTAAAGTTTTAGTCCTGAATGGTTAATTCCAATAAATCCAAAATATTGAAGAGTAAGGTATTATTATCAAACAGCGTGTTGCAGAAGGAAATAAGCTTACCTTTTTATTTTATCTTCCCTTTTTCGAATGTCGGAAACGGTCGCTGTGATAACGTGACTTACCACAAACACGATTTTTCAATTTGTCTAATATTTCACCTTTTTGTTTTAAAGATACAGTAATATGGCCATTTTTGCACTATATTCGCACTACACGTCCAGTTGTCAAATAAGATGAAATAGCGTCGCGTTTAAGACATGTTAGAACAATATCATTTATCAGATTCGGATTATCGAATCTCTACTGAATGTTGTACAATTTTGGTCGTCATTGATGATCATCAAATGAAATTTATATACTTGGTCTTCAATATCAACTCTCTTTCCAACAGTTTCCCAATGCACTTGATGAACAAAATGAAAATCACAGGTTAACCTTTCCCCTTTACCTCTCTTAACGAACGAATTAACAGGAAATCAAGAAGAAGACAAATACGTCATTGGTTTTACTCGGGTATGATCCTTACGCAGTAAGTTTATAAGTAATGAAACTCGCAAAAGAGAGAATATGTTTATTGGCGAATCCGCAATTAAGCGGTCTGTTTACTGCGCAAATGAATATAAAAATAATTCCGTATCTCAGTCGCTAAGTTGTTTATTAAATAATTAACAATATGCACAGCACATCTTCGTTCTGGGTTGATTTGTCGGTTTATTCCTAATACCGCTGCTTTAGTGACGTCTTAACCTTAAACAGAGACGTATGTTTCGCTTTAAACTTGACCCCGTCTTTCCATTTGTATTTGACGTTATCGGGGTAAGTTTGTCTAAACTGCTGCCAAGGGTGCGCGTCTTCTGATTCGTCGGTTTGCACTTGTTGTAACCAAGTTTTGTGCCGGGTTTTAAATATTTCAAACCATTTTTGTTGGGAGTTAGATAATTCCTAAAACGGTTGTCCCAAATTAACAAAACCGCAATAAATTAAAAGAAAATCTAAATATTAAGATAAAAATCTCACTCACATTCCTAAAAATAGATTGGCTTCTGTTCCTGTGTAACTAGACAAGTTATTATATTTATTGGTAATTAAAATTCACTACATTGTTCGTGAACGCAATAAAGATACCTATGTAAATATATACAGGGTGTAAATATATACGACGATGTTTTATGAACGAAGTTTCCAAAAATCTCCTCAAGGGTTTGTTTTGAAATTTGACTTCGTTGTTGTTAGTTTTTATATACTAAGACGTGAACCCCACTTATGGCTTGCGCGATCTCCGGATTTAAAACTTCTGGATTTTTTCCTGCTTAGCCACCCAATACCATTGGTTTACGTCACTTCTGGGTGCTGGTCACTTTCAACAGCTTTTGTAATTTTTTGTATGGCAAATATTGATTTATTTATTGAATGTTCTGAAATATTTTTATGGTAAATAGAAATGCAATTTAAGTTTTTTTCATTTTAAGATACGAAAAAGTAGTAGTTTTAGTAGCTCAAACTCAGGGAAGTGTCGAAATTAAATTAAAGTGGTGCGTACACTTCTATCAATACATTTTATAAAGTAGCCCCCGCCCCCTAACGCCAATGTTTAATTTTTATTTAGTTAGGGCCAAATCAGTCCCCTATCACTAGAAATAAAAATGCCAACTTTCAAACAAATCCGTGAGAAGATATTTGATTTAATTTAAAAAATATTTATAATTTTTTTTTTCATAAAATCATTTGAGGAGTCGGCACCTTAAATATTGCTGCCGAAACACCCTGTACTTGAGTGAGTTATAATTAACTTAAATTATTAACATCTTTTTCGATCATTTACAGCGTTAATTTCCTTTTTTTAAATATCTAAATCATGTCTTTTATTCTCAATTTTTGATAATTATTATCATTTGCTAAAAATTTAGTTTCTTTGTTATTATTGCTATAATAAAATATTACCATTTAAATTTGCAAAATGTGCAAAGTTTCCTAATATCATAGAGCAACTGTAAACAAAAATTCAAAATTTTACATTAAATGTTTTTTGCAAAATTTTCTATAAAAACAGCCCTAGAGAGCTATCACATATGTTACATAGAAAGTTTCCGATTTTTTCTAATCTAAAAATGTAACAGCGTAAAAAAAATGAGAGAATCAATGATCACGGCCTACAAAGTACAGTATCTCCCATATTTTGCAAAATTTCGAAAAGTTATTGGTTTTGAAATATTTTATACGGGGTGTTGCGCAAAAGCGTGACAATTGAAAAATATATATATTTTAAATGTTTTCATGCGATGTTCCTAACTGTTGGGGAAAATATGTCTGTTAGACGTTACAGGTCTCGGTAAATCTTGTTTTGACCCGCAATTAATGAAAATAAATTATTTTGTATTTAGTTTTGGTTAGTGGAAATTATTTATTTATTTTCCGTTTGACGGTATTGTACTCGAATAACGTATTTTAAACATGACTCACTAGACGTTTCATAAATCTCAAGGTAGATGGCGCTCGAGTCGTATAAATTCAAATCCAAAAATTCGTTAAATTTAAAAGATAAAATTTATTCAACCGGAATTCAATGTTAATTTAAAATAGAAATAAATCATCATCAATTTATGAGGTAATTAGTTTAAATCATTTATTGCGACAAAAAAAAAGTAAAAACGTATATATAAATTTTAGAGATGGACGTGACACGGTACTGACATTTAGCTGATTTATTCTAGGTTCCCACTGAATGACAAATTATTTTAAATAAAAATTATGATGATATATGTTCATGATCATCTAATTAATACAAAAATTCCATTATTAGGTTATTAATTAACAACCACACATAAAAAATCATAGTTAAAACAATTTGACCGTATATGAAATATATGAAAAATAAACAGATTCATCAATATTTTATTATAGTAAAACCTCCATTATGAATTTATGGCTATTGCTATTAACTAGCACTTACAATCTCTGCTTGATATATCTTCAGCTTATAAATTCAAGCTTAATGAAAATTTCCATTATGTGGACGAGACTATATAGTATGTCCTGATTCACGGTTTTTTAAGTTATTAATTGATCACACAAAATAGGCCAATGCAAAAATAAAACCAATGTATTCCTATGATAAACGCACCAACGTCATCAAGTATCTAATTTGATGTCAAACATCCCTTAAGATTCTGTCATTTGTATGTCAACCAAAATAGGTAAATTAGGAAATAACCAAGGTCATCAAATATCTGGCGGATGTCAAACATCATCAAAATAGGAAATTGAAATCACTGAAAATCACCCAAATAGCTTAAAATAGTTACCTACTTTTTTGTCCGATAAGGTTTTGCCAACACTTTTAAACCCTTCCAAGTGCTGTAACAGCTTTTTACTGACCGCGATCCCTTCGCCCAGGCATAATTCCATCATATGAAAAATATAAGGGAAATTCCAATGATGACAAGCCTGCGAAAGCATAGCTCCAACTATAGCGGAATTTAATCTGAAAAATATGGCAACTATTCTACACTTTTTTACTTAATTATGGAATATTCCAAATTTTACTATTATCTATCACTATACAGTTGATGCAAAGGAACCTAAGAAATAAAAGTTGTACTGACCTATATTTTGAGGATTTCATTTCATCTATTAATTCGAGAGCTTCTTCTTTGGTTTTGCAACTCAGGGCTAATGTACCATAGGTCATGACGTTAGGCTTAAATTTTTTTTTCAACAATTCCAGCACTTCCCTGGCTCCTACATAATCAAACCTCATACTTCTCTTTTTAATTAACATATTGTAAAAGTCAATATCAGGTTGAACTCCATGTAGTCTCATCGACTTGAGCAGCTCAGTTTCCGCCGCATTTGTGCCCGGTATGGAATCCAATAACTCGGTAAACGTCTTGATATTCGGGGCGCACCGGTATATTTTCATTGTCCTTAGAAAACCCGAAAATCCGCCTAGGAGAAGTAATCTATCTTCGGGTTTTCTCACCTCAGTTAAAGAGATGAGATTGTTTAGATTTGGCACTGGCGCCAATAGATTTGGTCGAATATTATCATTTGAAGAATCCTCGTAGTTTGTTTCAAATGAGCTTTGTTTAAGATCCGTTAGATTCACTAAATTACCACTATATTGACCAGGTTCTGCCTGTTTCGGTTCTAACAGTTGCACATTCCGACAGGCACCATATAACAGATTACTTTTGTTTTCTAAGCTTTGACTGTCTTTAAGTATTTTCTCAATTACATCTTTAGCAACACTAACATCACCTAATTCACAGTCCCGGACACATCTCAACAACAAATTAAATGTGAATATACCAGGATGAATTTTCTTTTCCAAAAGTTTCCTCCAAACCAGCAGGGAATGTCTAAAACCAGCCTCTTTGTCTGATATACAGGCTTGTAACAAAAAGTTCATAGTCTCTGATTTTAATTTAATTCCATTATTGGCCATTTCATCGGCTAAACTAAAAGCCGTTGTTAGATCACCGCAACGACCAAAAGCTTTGATCATAGCGTGGTATGTTGTGTCATTTGGTGTGTATTGTTTTTCAATCATAATGTCTCTTAAACGTCTCGCTCTAGTTAATCCATCCTGAGGCCATGGACTGTTAGCGCAAGCATTAAACAATGCAGTGTACGTGCCCCCCGTAACCTGCAAGCCTCTCTTTTTCATGTCATTATAGAGCATGAAGGCTTTTTTTGAATACCCAACTCTACCACAAGCACCCAAAATTAAATTAAAGATGTAATTTTCAGGTTTTACTCTATCCTCTTTTAACATCTTTATTTCTAAAACGTCTATGGCTTCCTTAATTTTCCTCTCTTTTATATATTTTTTTATTATATCGGCATACTGTTTAGTTCTTAATTTTTGTGTGGCGGGTACTTGTTCCGTAAAATGTTTTTCTTCTCTTAAATCTCCTTCATCTAAAGTGTCTAGTGAATGACTGTCTCCGAAAATGTCCGGATCATTTTTAAGCCGCACCATGAAATCTCCATCATTTGATGAAATTTTGTCGCCGCTAATACTCCTGCTATTACATGCTATTCCGCCTTTGCTTATTCTGAGTAAGGAATACGTTAACCAGCTATTTTCATTCAAAGACGCATTACTTAAATATTTTATTAAAATAGTTCCAAACGCAGATTTTTTACCAATAGATCTAAGAAACATTTTCAAAACAATAGCTATAACTAACCTAACTCTTCTTCTTTGGGGTTTCAGGCTAACCGTCAGCTCTATTCTAGGGTAAATGAAGATTTGCCCTTAGGCAACAGATGTTAATTTAGATACATACTCCTCTTAAACAAGATAAACTAAATTTACACGCTTGCTTATGATACCATAAATTTGGATTTTTTTGCATCAAGCATTGGTTTGTTTTACTGTATGGTTATGGGATGGACTAATAACAATTACAAAAAAAAAATACTATTCGACTAGTTCGATACTTGGCAACTATTTCCTTCTTAGCCTTCCAACTGCTAATGAAGTCGACAATTTCGAAAAACTTTTGCGTCTATCTAGAAACCAGTTAAATTTCCAAAATCATGTAGGCAGAGAAATAAGAGATCCATACAGAAAATGAGTAAGTTCATATCCATTATGCAGCCTATGCTATATGATATCTGTTAAATAAAAAACCTAAAATTTAGATCCTGCTACAAAAGCAAAGTTCTTTGGGAAGAGTCAGAGGTGTGTTCAACAACTTAAAATCATGATTATATATGGAGTCTATATACCAGCACTGTTTTTTTTTCTTTAAAAATGGAGTGCTCTGTTCAGAAATATAACAAAGGGTGGAAGAAAACTTTCAAACATATAAAGAGAGTTTTGTCAAAATTTAATTGATATGCCACAAGGAAACAACACTTACATTCCAATAAAAGAAATTGTGCCATGATGGGGTTTGTTTTATGAACTTCTGTGGTACCGGTCGTACCAATAAGTGCCCTAAGGTTTTAACTTTTCGTTCACCCATAAGTCACCTCTGGACAACAAAGCTTTAATAATTGTAGGTAACTAGCAATGCTAATAATGCAATCAATAACAAACCAGAGAGCTATATACATATCTATATTAAATAAAATTTACAAACAAGGCTTATGGAATCAATCACTGCTTAATGGTCTCCTTCTTTATAGAATCTTAAACCGCAATATCCACAAATATGATTCCCCGGTTTATCCTATAAGAAAGAAAATTAGAACAAAAAATAAAATTGAAATAACCTTAATTCACCAAATTGATGTAAACTCTAGGATGTCCTTCTGGGCCACTTCCGCCATCACACCATACCACACGTTCTTTACAAGGTTTGGGAGGTACTTCTGCTATAAGATTAATTCCAAAATTGGGATTTACGTGTTTTGGTCTGTCCACGAACCGAGAAAGCCTATAATCCTTTTCGTCCCATTTCTAAAAATAAAATTTAGTCAACCTTCCAGTGGACTATTAAATCTCAGAACCTGTCCAGTGTGGGTTTCGACTTCCTTCGGTACCCAATCAGCTACGTATCTTAACCCTAAACAAGAAGGAAGGTTCTTCCTGGAAAACGTACAAGAAATATTTAATAACTTTGATTTCCACATTTTTAAAAACAAATAATGTGACGTAATAGTTCGAGACTGCCCCTTATAGAATGTTTTACATATGGATGTTCTTTACTTGTCTTGGCCAAAATTACTAGGATCAATTGACTAAAGGCATTCTCTGTATATACAAAGACCAAATAATTTTCGTGGTCAATGGCAGTAAAAAAAGAAATATTATAGCAAACGGAAAGAAGAAGAATATTTTTTAAAAACGTATTCTGTGATATTTATTTTTAAAATATGTATATGTGTCGAGATTGTTGATATTATTTTGAAGCCGCATTTGGAACGTTTTTCGATTTTGTAATTTTTACGATTTCATGGAATGTGTTTAAACCTATATATGAAAATGGTTCTACGTTGCTTTGTGTGTGGAATAAACCGCTATGATCATTCTAACCTAACTTTTCATAGGTAAGAAATCAAGCTATTCCGTTGAATCAGGAATTTACTTGTGTTGATCTAGTTTTGAAAGACTGAATCCACGATCTTAGACTTGCCTGATTGCAGAATACTGTTTATCTTAACCAAGCATGTCCAATTGCCTTCTCTCATATTTGTAAATGTGTATTATGTTTATGGTTTTCACTGTTGCTTTATAAGAAGCCCAACGATTTTGTTCTAAACGGCACTTGTTTAACATGTTTCAGGCTTTGTGACAAATTTTTTGGAATCTTGTATAGAAAGCACATTTTACTAGCAGTTCATATTTACAATAGGTATTAGGTATTATGCTTAAAATAATATGAATTTGAATCATTTTCAAAACTTTCATGTTATAATATCTACTTTTTTTTTTTTTTTTCATTTTATCGGAACTTCAGATTTTGCTGGATCAAAAAATGTATAAGTGGTTATTGCAAAACTTTGGAACTTTGTCCTTGTTTATATGTCTTAGATTAGGGTTTCACAATGTCTAAGATCTTAAGGTTTCTAGCACTAATAATAACATTTTCCTTTGGAATAGCCTATGGCAATAGTTGACCTGTTTTTGTGGAAAATCGCATTCTGACAATTTTAGGCATGTCGGCAAATTAAATCTTTTAGCTGAGAGATCTTACTTCACCTATATTCAAGAAAATGTCAACTATTCCATAATTATAGCAGTTCCCTAAATTATTGAAAAAATGTTTGAAAAAAAAGCATAATTCATAATAATAATAATAATTTGTTTTGCAAAATTCCTTTCATTCATTGAATGAATTCTTTGGCTATAACTATAAATCAAAGTTAAGATAATATATTATATATATATATATATATATATATATATATATATATATATATATATATATATATATATATATATATATATATATATATATATATATATATATATATATATATAAGGGTGTTCGGAAAGTCATTTCGTTTTTTCCCGTCAGAGAACTTAATTACGTTTTTTCGAAACCAACTTCACACTTAAGCCGCATAACCATTATATGTCTTGAGAGCTGATATTGCAAGGCTTGTGTGTGAAAAAGTTCTATTAATTCTACGCAGTAGTTTTTGGTTGGTACCCTTTTAAATATGGAGAGCAATAAACAGCATTTTCGTCATATTTTACTTTTTTACTTCAGAAAAGGTCAAAATGCTGTCCAAGCGAGAAAAAAATTGACGGATGTGTATGGAGAAGGCGTGTTAACAGTACGCCAGTGCCAGAACTGGTTTGCAAAATTTCGATCCGGCAATTTTGATGTCGAAGATGCACCACGGTCTGGAAGGCCGGTCGAAGCTGACAAAGATGCGATAAAGGCATTAGTTGATGCAAATCGGCGAATAACCACACGAGAGATCGGTGAGAGATTAAATTTGTCGAATTCGACTGTTTATGGCCATTTGAAAGGCATGCGCTTAACCTCGAAGCTCGATGTGTGGGTGTCCCATGTCCTTACGGAGCGAAATTTATGTCGTCGCGTTGACGTGTGTGATTCGCTCCTCAAACGTCAAGAAAATGATCCATTTTTGAAGCGGATTATTACTGGGGACGAAAAATGGGTTGTATACAACAATGTTAAACGCAAGAGGTCATGGAGCGGAAAAGATGAACCGGCTCAAAGCGTGTCAAAAGCCAACATTCACCAAAAAAAGGTGATGCTCTCCGTTTGGTGGGATGTCAAAGGAATCGTTTTTTTTTGAGCTTTTGCCGGACAATACAACGATTAATTCAGAAGTCTATTGTCATCAACTGGACAAATTGAATGATTCACTTAAAGAGAAGAGGCCCGAATTAATCAACAGGAAGGGTGTAGTGTTCCACCAGGATAATGCGAGACCTCACACAAGTTTGGTCACTCGCCAAAAACTTTTACAGCTTGAATGGGACGTACTGCAACATCCACCATATTCTCCAGATCTCGCGCCTTCCGACTACTATTTGTTCCGGTCCCTGCAAAATTTATTGGACGGCAAAACCTTTACCTCAAATGAAGATGTCAAAAACCACCTGAACCAGTTTTTTGCCAGCAAGGACCAAAACTTTTATGAGAGGGGAATTATGTTACTGCGAGAAAGATGGCAAAAGGTGTTGGACCAGAATGGCCAATATATAATTTAATAAAATATTTATTCATTATACGAAAACTGTCTTTCATGTTCCCCTAAAAAAACGAAATGACTTTCCGAACAACCCAATATATACATACACATTGCATATATATATATTCTGTATCCCTACGTCTAATTTGGATAGATAGATGACCCTTTGGAGACGCTCTGTATTTCCATTTTCTATTTTTAAGATTTATTTTTATTGTTGTTTTTATCTATCTATTCTCATAAAAAAAAATACAAAAATATTAATAAAAAAAATTGAAATTTACCCAAATAAGAGTGAAGACATAGCAGTCAAGTATTTTGGTTTGAGCAAAATGGTTTTCTGAAAATGTGTACAATACCTTCGAGAAAAGTTGTGTTTTAATTCTGTATACTTATGTGGGTGAACACTTAATATCATACTGGGCAGTCAAATTATTGTAAAATTGTAATTTTATTATTTTTTTATTCCCTTATAAGGACCAAAGCGAATGAAGAAGTTTTTAAAATAATATTAAATAATTTTAATTATTTTAGTATTTCGACGCGCTTGTTTCGGTCACCTTGTATACACGCTAATATTTTCCTGCTCTGATGAGTAGTATAAATCGCTACTTGTGTGTTTTTGCTACAAATGTTTTGGAATATTGACCAATGAATAATAAAAATGTAGTTTTTTTAAATTAAGCGAATAAAATTATACAAATTACTTAGTTGCGGTCACGGTATATTTATATCATATAATTCCTAAAATATCCATTTTTAAAGCCACCACCTACTTTTTAAGCATTCCATCTAATGAGAGTGAACGAGGGATATGGTTCAGTCTATTGGGATTCCTGACAAATAATATGCAACGGATGCCGAAGCGGCCACGGATCTGTTCAAATCATTTTGAAAAAGCGGATTTTCATTATAAACGCAACGGCAAAAAGTTTTTAAATAAGGGCGCGTATCCAAAAGCATGCGAAACGTTCCAGGATGACTGGTCGAATATTTCAAGGTATGTCGAGAATTCAATTTGTTTTGAGGATCGAGAACACAAACGGCCAAAATAATTAACGTTTTTTGAAAAGTGCCAACGTTTATTTCTAAATTTCACTCTCGCATTAAACTTCGCATCGCCGTTCCTACCCGAAAAATCGAGATTAAATCTGGTTGCCATTAACCTTACTAAAAGGATTAGGTGATGAAAGAGATCACCTCTAGAGCAAACCCTGAATAAAAGAGCCTACATTACAGCCCTATTGATTGACAGGCGAGGAATTTATTTTAGGGAGGAATTAATGAGGAACTTAGGCTCTAGTAAAATGGCAGTTTCCTGGATGAAATATATTTTTCCTTTTAAGTATAACCTCAAAACCAACATTTTAGAAACTTTTCGGCCTGAAGGACTAAATTGTATTTGATAATATAAATTGATAAAATTTTATGTTTTGTTTAAATAAATCAACATACTCATTTCATATTTCCTATGTAGTAACAAAGTGGCACCTACCTCTCACTCTCCTTAGGAGAGCAAAAAAGGGCTATTTGAATTTTATCGGCTATTACTCACATATTCATTGTTAATCGAACGAATCTAAATAACAGGGAAAGGTCAGTGTAAAAATTTTAAAAATATTGTTTTTGCATAGACCAGCGTCAGCTGAGGGGACAATAGAACACAAAGGTCAACTTCTGGAAGACAACGAAAGGTAAAGTTACTGGTAAATTGTTTTTTGAATTGTTATTTTAATTTATATCTATAATTATTGAACTTTTAACGAGATCTGGGCATATTTTGAATGTAATGCTGAAAAAAGGACACATCCAAATTGGCTCCTATTGAAATTATGTACTGTCTGTTTTGAAATGACAAGCGTCATCGCGCATGCGCATATTGAACGGCTCTCCTCAACATGTATATTCATCGTGGCTTAAAAAATTCTTATATTATATTATTAGGTAGGGCCTTTATACATTCAAATGATGGTTATTGGTATAGATGTCAGTTGTTTTTCTTGATTGATGATTACAATATAAAATGTTTTTATTTTTAACCACTACTACTCTTCTACTAGTTCTTCGATTACCGATCCCGCCTCGTCAACACAGGTGGAATCAACTCGAAGTTCTATTTCAGAGTCTTTGGGATCGGTGAAAAAGGCAAAGGCAAGGTATAATCTGTACTTCTATTTGTTTCTATTTGTACTTTTATCGCATTGCTTTTCAGGCAGGCTTCCCATTTGCCGCATAAACAAGGTAATTTAGCTCTTGAAAAGAAGAAGAAGAAAAGGTACAATATTGAAATTAAGCGTGTTAAAAAAGAATAAAATTTACTTCACATCACGTCACATTTTAGGAAAGTCATAATGTATGTTGGTAATTTAAGTGTGGACGATTTTGATTCTCCAATCAAACGACAAAGGAATTTAGACTTGGTGAAACGCGCGATACTGGAACAACGGACAAAAATCGACGATCTTTACAAAACTATCGGAACCCTGAACGGCAAAATTATCAATTTGAAACATCGGTTAAAGCGTATTTGAGAGGCCTTGGCGGCATCTCAGCCGAAGGTGATTATCTTTTTTTATTTATAATATACATGCTGTTTTATAATTTAATGTTAATAATGAAGAGAGCGATTTTTTATCTATTTTAAAAAGAACACTTCACATGAACATATGTCCCAAACGTGGCGGGCGTCACTGTCTATTTTGAAAGGCATTGATGGTACGCCATTGATTACTCTTAAAATAAAAATTAATCTTACAATCTCCAATCATTTGTAAAAAAAAATAATTTCTTGTTTTTTTTAATCTGATGTACGGTTTTCGTTGAAAAAAATAAAAACTTAACAAAAGACCAATCGCAGTCCACCCACGTTAGATAGAGGCGTGGAAAATCCGCCTTTCGAAAATTAAAATTGCCGTGAAGGTTTGTAGCAAGATTGGAAAGTAATGTTGAGAGTGATTGACAAATCATCCGCGAAAAGTAGATACCGCTGCACAGCGTTGCCAAACCGTTATGATTTCTTCGATTTCACGGTGAAATTATATACTTGCAACTTAATATAAACTGGATTAAGTTTGTTCTAAAAGTTGCCCAATGAGATGAGGAATGGGAATGGGAATTTTGTTTACCTTTTTTTTGTATTTATTTATTTTAGGATAATAAAATTAATGTTAATTGGAAAATACGACATAAAAATTAAATAAAACTTAACATAATGAGACATGTTGGTGGCCACCAATTTTAATACTACTGCATGGAATTTAAGAAACCATGTTGTTGGTGGCTTTATGTTTAGTACTCCACACAATTTTTTTATGTATTTAATTGGTTATTCAAGGCCCAACAAAGAAGTCATTCATAGGGTTATTATTATTTTATTATTATGTAAATGCTATATGCGTAAATAAAATTTTTAATTTTAATTTTAATTTATCGAATTCAATATTATTCATTGCCGATAGAACCCAGACAGGGACGGACTCCTTACTATACTCGTTACTATACTAATACCATTTATAAATCTTCTGATTTTCTCTTGTATTGGTTATTGGATGAATGGAACTTGGTGACGTTTCGCCAATCGACCTGTTGACTTCTTCAGAGCTTAAATAAAACATGTTTGCATTTTACTGTATACCTACTTATATATTGTTTTAGAAGGGCAGAACTAAATGAGGGACATGAATATTGTCTGATATTGATAGAGAATTCTATGTATCATGTTTGTCACTTTAAGAGATGATTTTTTCGCATAGTATTTATATTTTCGCTGATGAGGGTACGGCTGATCCAAAATTAAATCACAAACACAGTGTAAGTGCTAAATATTAATAAAATTTTAATTTTAATAAAACGAGTTTTCTTAATTAGAGAAAACTTTTTTGATGGTCATTTGTGACCATCCTGTATAATATATTTTCGCCGTAGATAGGTCAAAGCATTAAATATTAACCACTTCCATGATTCCGTGATAAAAATTCCCAATTTTAGGTTTCAAGTGTAAAAAAACATATAAAACAACATTGAAGATTTGTTTCGACGCTGCACGGCTTGTCTTTTTGACTGACTGACCAGGGCGTCGCGTTTCACTTCTATAGAACGTAGCTCGCGATGGAGATCCAACATTCCAGAGTTCTTGGAACCGTTTCCGTCATCGTCAAAGGCTTGGTGTGGTCATGCGCAGCCAAAGCCCTTAGACTATAAGAGTTTGAAGTCAAATTTTGTCTAAAAAGACAAATGAGCACTAGTAGAAGTTATGAACTTGCCAGAATTCCCGGCATTGCTCACGCACAGAAATATGATTTTATGAAACTTTTCAAAAAGGTGACATAAAATTATTTATTAAGTGATTGTGATGGTACAATTCTTTATTATTATTATTATTATTATTATTATTATTATGTGATATTAGATTTTCTATTTTTGTACTGACCAATATAATACTTTTCGATATGAATTTTTATAACTGTTATACCCGGAATTGTAGTCTGCGATTCATGGTTTAATACGAAAATCCAAGAGATTGTGACATTTTGTTACAGGAAGCGGTTTAGCAAAAAAAACTTTCAAAAGAATACAAAAAATGAACATTCCAATGATAATGATAAACTTATTCAGCAGTGGCACCAAAAAGAAGAGAAAATAAAAGGAAAATAAAGAAAACATAGTTTGATCACAAGAATCGCAAACGACCAGACAGACCAGATCTCTCACCATGAATGTACGGTGGTAATATGTCGTTGCATTCGAAAGTATTGGTTTATCGATTAATTTCATGTACACATGTATGAAGTAGAGTACCACGTTACTTTTGGTTTAGATTTTCAAAATTACACAAGTCACTCCGCGTAAACCTTTATTTCGTACCAATAATTTATATAAAGTTTATGTTGTTGTTTATGTTATGACGCGCTGCACGGTTTCCCTTTCCGACTGACTGGCCAAGAAGCGGCGCTTTGGCCTATATACAACGCAGTGCCGTATTCGCGATGGGCGCTGGACTTCCAGCCCTCAGGCACATCACCATAGTTCATATAGAATGTCTGATGGGTATAAGACCTTTCTTTATTGTCTTCACAATTTTTTTTGGTAACAAAAGTTACTCAGAATTTTGGGTGGTATCGTCTGTTTCGACATGAATTGGCAACCCTGCAGGTGCGTATATATATTTCAAATAGATCTATCCGCACTATGGCTATACACCAGACCTAAAAGAACTATTCAGTTCTACTTAACTTCTAATAGGATACTCGATGTGTTTGGTACGTTAAATGAATTTAAATAAAATTTCAGGCCAGTAGTTTTAAACCAATCAAAAATGATTTTTTGACAGCCATGCCAGCCAACGCATTTCCTTATCCACAATATTAATAAGTGGAACGTTATCGACTTTTCGGCATTATTTAAAATTAATCGAATTAACTTAATGATTCGACAACCTAATGTTTGCGACTAACAGTGATGGTGGACAATGATATTTCACGTAAACTTAAATAAGGTTAAATGAGGCGGTGCTTATTATTTTTTTAAACTATATATATTTTCGAGTTCCAACATTTAGCGAAGCACTAATGCTTTTCTTATTCGTGAACTTGAATTGAGGTGGCTTTTACTTGATGAAAATCCATTTATCAAAATAAATAAGAACTGAAAGTTCAGATTTTCACGAAATTATATATTATGACATGACAATTGTTTCGACAACACGATATCTTTATCAAATGTTGATGACATTTGATAAGGACACGGTGTTGTCGAAACAATTGTCATGTCATAAAATATAATTTCGTGAAAATCTGAACTTTTAGTTCTTATTTACTTTTCTTATTCACATACATTTTTATGCATTTTTTGGACTTTGATGATTTAAATATTATAAAATCGTTACATTTTCTCACCAAAAAAAGGCAAAAATTGGTGAAATTGTATTTTTGAAAATTTTATATGAAAATAGTTTAATTTGCTGATGATGTTAGAAGATTAAATTATTGAATTGAATTGACATGTAGGGCGGCATTTCAGTAATGTCCATTTTTGGGACACCCTGGAGGCTTTAGTATCAAAGTCGTTGCTCATTTCTAAAAATATATATATATATATATATATATATATTTTCGAAGTTACTCAAAATTTTGCGCAAAACCAGAAACCGTACTAATACACATGGTATCTATCCCATTGGTGTCTGCTGTTTCCAATTGAATTGGCAACGCTGCATGTGCGTATATATGGATTTCAATAAAAGTTTCACATCAGTAGTTTTTAACCAATCGAAATTGATTTTTTCGTTGTGCCGGGATTATATCCATTTGTAATGACGTCATGATATTGGTTACCAAAAACGAATATTAGCTGATGATTACAAAATACGGGTTGCTAATTGACAGGGATATTTTCACTATAGCTATATCTTACCTTAATAACATTGGCCCCTTTGATAAATAAATAAATGCCCGTATCCACCAATATAAATACCCACTAACGCAATTTTACTCATAAAGCAGTAGTTAAATTAAATGGCAAATGTTGGACAGTTATTAAGATAATCAGACGATTATTAGCTTGAAAAGTGAGGTTAAGATGTCGTGGTAAGGGTTATTTTAAAAAATCAGAAAAAGCAGAATTGCGATTTGTTGAAATGGACATAATGAATGAGATGTAGAATGGTGACTTAGACATCCTGGATGTCGTCCACAATGGATTTCCACGGCGCAATGGGAAAGGTCAGATTACTTCGAAGAAGTGAAGAAATTTGGTTGTATTTTTTTTACTTTTAGGATTCTATTAAAAGAAAAAAAAACATAAAAGTTGGATTTCATTCGCTTCCTAACTCACTAAAACACTTAGGTAAACAACATAATGCCTAAATTACTAATAGCCCATTTGTTCTTGGAAATTTGCTTGTATGCAAAAATATGTGCTGTTGCAGGTCAACAACGCAAAAAAAAAAACAGCAAACAGGTGACACCGCAGTTTCTAACGTATGAAATGCCCAGGAAAAATGACACTTTTGAGATTTGTCATGAGAAGTATATTCCAAAATTTACGTAAAAATGCATTTTTTTCTAGATCTGCTACTACATGTAACCTTAAATAAAAATTTGGCGGTTATCTCGTGCGAGAAACGAAAAAGAACAAGCAAATAATCTTAAATTTCCGTGCCTAAATTAATCTCCGGAAACTTTTCTACGTAAACGATTTTTCCAAAAATTGACTTTAAAAGTTTATTTAATTAAAATGATCATATTCGGGTGTACTTGTTTATTGTTAATTATGAAACCAATTAAAGTTTGATGTGGTGCAATTTCCTGTTTAAATCTTCAAATTTCAAAATCTTTCTAATGAAGAAGTCTCCATATCTGTGGGCCACCTTGGTGTCAGCTATATGAATCATATCATTGTCGATATAGAAATCCAGCTGCAAGAAATCAATTATAAGCGGGACGTTCTCGGAAAACTCCGTGGACATTACCTCTGACCCGCTCTGGAATTTCCCTTCCAAACCGGACGCGCCCTTCAACCACACCACGTTCTTCATCTTGTGCTTAAAACAAAGCAGATGGATGAGCAATGTCTGGATCTCCTTTTCCAGGTCCCAATTCCCGTCGTTATTCCTATTGTTCTGGGCCATAAACGTGGCGAGCTTGCTCAACGGCAGCGTGGTATAGAGTTTCAGGTAACTCCTGATCGTCGGCAGCATTTTCTGCTGCTGCACTTCGTCCATAAACATCTGGGTCTGATGCCGGATCGCCTCTTTCGAATAATCGTCGGGAACCAGCTCGGTCGACGGGGGACAGGGAGATAAAAATTTTGGACACGCGTAAACGAAACTATTTTCGAATTCTTGCAAGTCGCCGTATTGCATTTTGTACATTTTCTCGTGATACGATTTTTCCCTTAACGTGTGCTGGATGCTCTCGTCGATGCACTGCGGATGCAACACTAAACAGATCGCGAGCAAGTGATACATCTGATCGGTCTGCTTATTAATTTGATCGTGCTGGTATGTTTTGGACGCGAAAAGCTGTTTGGTCCTTTGTATGTAGAGCAAAATGGCGGAGAAGGTGCGAATCGCGTCCGAGTAACGCCTCATCATCATGTAAGCGAAACCGACGTAGTAAGACGTGGAGATTTGACAAGCTGGGATGTGGGCATACTGCGACTTTTTGTGTACCTCGATGTTTTGCAACACTTTAATGGCCTGATAGTAGTCGCCCAGCAATGAGTGCAGCCTCAGAAGTCCGACCAGGCTGAAGTAGCCCAACATCTTATACAGCGAATGCCTCCCGAACTCTCCGGCGACTGAATCCGGGTCGCCTCCGCTCGCATAGACCTCCAGTTGTTGCTTAATGTTACTTTTATCGACGAGCGAGTGCAAAACGTTCAAAACGCAGAGCACGTTCCACACCTTATTGTTTGAATTCAGCAGCTTCAAATCTTTGGCCGTTTTTTTCTGCAGCCTCGCCCTGTACTGGGCGAACGACTGGAACTGATAGACGAATTCGTCGATGAGTTCCCAGAGCCACAAGTCGGGCAGTTCGAGCGGAACCGGCTCCTCGGCGCTCAGGATGTAGTTAAAGAGATCGCAATAGTTGTAGAACGAGTTAAACCTTTGCTCTAGCGTCGGCCCGCGTTGCATTCGGGCATAAATGTGGCGAAAGTAGAGCTCTTTGTATAAGATCATGAAAACCTAAACACAACGTTACAACGTGTTGTTATTCTCTTAAAGTATACTCGGACCAGAAATATAATGCTTTTACAACCAATCCCGTGATTATTACTACGAAACTACAGCCACTTATAGAACACCTTCGAGGACCGTCCTAGGAATTTATCTACTACACTAGCAATTTATTACGTTCTATTTCATTACATTACATTAGATTGCATTACAGCTTCGCCACTAATCGTTCTCAATAAATATTTTCTTCTTTTATTACTCGTTTTTCACAGTTAGACCAGCTTTGTATTGATATTTTACCTACGTCTTGCTGAATTACGTTTATGGTACTATAACTAAATTTTGATGCAGTGTTATTTCTTCTTATATGCTTTCAACTCAGACTAAATCATCTTAATTGGGTTGAATACACAATCCCAAGATTTCATGTCCGTTTTGTTGAGCTATCAAATCGATTTTTGTTTTATTTTTAATAATTCCAGAAGTTCTTTTTTCGTGTAGCTCTCTTCAAAATATAAACCATTTTCGTAGAGAAATTCTTTAATTTTTTCTTTATTTGAAGAAGATTGAAAAAACCAAGACTGTACAGATTTTAAGTTTAGGTTAAATTTGATTAAAATTTAAAAGTGAAATTGGAAACAAAATGTTGTTTCCTATTTTAAAAAATCTCTTTTAGATTTTGCTTTCAAAATAAAGAGCCCATTTTTGTTTAGAATTGATCACTGTATCTAAATTTATTACCAAAGTTGCGAGAAACTGTTAGCAAGGTCTCACAACCTTCACCGTTTAAACTTATACAAGCTTATCTATGCTACACATTAGTTTTTAAGAGGCAATAATAACTACTAAGTTCAAAAGCATAAAACAACACTCCAAGAAATAAAGAATTACTGTTAAATGAACAATTCCATTAAGTCTTCAACATGTTTTTGGGATTAATACTCATTCAAAACATAATTTCTTGTATTTCATATGGTCACCTGACCAGGATATACTGCATTTTCGCTACATGTTTTCCGCAATTTCTGATAGACCAAAGGATGAGAGTAAATTAGGTAATTAATGTCGTTAGTACACAAGCATTTAGTTTAATAATCAGTAGTCTTTTTAAGTTATCATAGTCTTATTAATTTATGGGTATTGATTTTCCTAGGTTTGTAGAGTATAATTTAACATTGAACTTGTTCCCAAGAAAAGTATGGAATACATTAAAAATGCATAAAATCAATAAAATATTGATTATTAAATAAGAACAAATAAAACTCTGTCTGGAAATTGTCATATTTGATTTCATTTCCCCGGAGAATACCTACTGCAGTTCACAAAGTGGTAACAAATAAAATAATATAAAATAAAGGATGGAACACTATAAACAACAACTTTTACACAAGTCAGAACAAGTGAAGGAGAAACTAATGGAAGAATTTAAAGAAAAAGGAGATCAAATTAAAGATACCTTAAACAACGTCTCTCAGAATGTACATGACATAAAAGATGAAGGTAACGAACACTAGTAAAATTATATTTAAGTAACCATCCATAAAACTTACGGGATCTGCATCCACAATACTGGCCACTTGTAATTCATGGGGCCAAGGACGTTTTTCAAAGTAATCTTCCGTCAATTTTGGCCAAGAATGTTCATATAGACCTTGCAATTCGAAAACTAACCCCTCATTGACATTGTTCCGAAAATATACCAAAAAGCTTTTTACACTCTCTGGAATTTCCTCTTCATTTCTATTGGTATCGTCCAAATTGAAATCACCACCATCGTCATAACTGTTGTAATCGGAGCCCTAAAACCAGCGAAGCAAGTGCGTCCTTCTAAATTATTAGTCTTTTTACTTCAAATAAATTTGACAGCTTTAACATAGAGGTTAATTACTTTTTCTGTTCAGCTACTGACAAAAAATTAATCTTTTAAAATGCTTTGCTTTTTAGTACCTGTTCGTATTCATCATCCATTTCGTAATTTTAATACAAATTTCTAAAATAATCTGCAAAAACACGCGGAACTAAAATCCGAAATACTCAAAGCGTAGAATAACTGGAATCACAGAATGACAATAAGAATAGAATAAGATGAAACATAGAAATTGAATATTGTGATCAATAAACGTAAAAAGAAGAAGAAATTGCGTCATCATAGAATATAAAAGATTTTAAAAATGATAAATATATAACCAACAGTAAACAAATAATGAGTTATGAAATATAATTGAACTATAATGTAAGTTAGAATTGAACTGGCTGGACTGTACGTACATAAGACCCCATAACAACCTGCAAACAATCTGTCATAAGTTTTTTTGAGGAAATTGTAATTTTTTTTGTTGGGGAAAATTCTAAAAGTCGAATATGTTCGCATTAGATGGTATATGAGTCACACTTTAATTTTAAACAAAATAATTTATCCAAATTTTCCTTCCAGTAATTCTCAACTTTCTTGGTGGGAACTGTCCTTGTGATAAAGTAATCGAATGCAGATCTGATACATTCACACTAAGGGAAGTCGACATGAGAGAAGATGGACTTGTTATATATTTACCAGAGAAGAATATATCTAACAAACCTATCAACGAGCTTGTCCTGCACAAGCCTTTAGGAGAAACTCTTGTGCATAGTTACAGGTCTGTTTTATTGTTATTGTGTCATAGATTCCTACTAATAAGGGTGCAAACTTTTAGTTTATATCGTTCAGAAGATATAGAGGAATGTCGCAAAAAATTTATTTCTCTCCATGACAAACTACCTCCATTTATCGAAGTGGCAAAAGAGGTAAATACTACATCAATGCAATAAGTTATTTTATAAAGTTTATTAAGCATATGCTTACCTAACTGCCCACAGATAGCAATGGGGATGTCCTAAATTAAAAAATTTAGAAGAAATTCTAATGAAGATTTTATATAATCATATATATTTGTAAAACGTTTAAAACACCTATGATAAATATTTTTTTATACTCCCGTCTGTAAAATACCTAATTACACACCGATCTAGTATGCGGGAAGCATCACTCCATATCAGTTTCGTTTCCCACGGATCCTAGGCTGTTTGGACATTTCGGGGATTTTACCACACGGGTTTGTCGTTTGTCAATTCTGACAGTCATGTCAGTGGATGTATTTGTGTTGTTTTGCGAAAATGTACCCAAATACTAACGGACGGTCGTAGAAAAAGTATAGCATGCAACACATTCGCTAAACTTTAAAAAAAAATAAATAAGAACTAAAAGTTCAGATTTTCACGAAATTATATATTTTGACGTGACAATTGTTTCGACAACACCTGTGTTTATCCAATGTGACATTTGATAGAGACAATCAAAGCTATGAACAGATATGTAGGCAATAGTGGGGTCATTCAGTTTTATTGTTGAGAAGCCAAGACAATTTGACTTACAAACGTTCATTGTTAAGTAATTTTCTCCTGCCAACTTTTTTCTATGATTTAATAGAGCATGTTCAGCTTTTACTTTCATCTCACCACTTTTCTTCATTCACGACTATGACGATGTCATCTGCAAAACAAACAATGTCTCCCTGTTCCTTGGATATTAGCTTTTTCATTTTTATAAGCAAATTTTGGTCAACCACTGTGTCAAAAGTCAAGAAAAATTTCCATATGTTATTGTTGCCGAGGCCCACTCATCATTCATAATAAATCTCACCAAAATGATTTCAGAAAAATCTAAAACCAGCTTTTATCGAAAGTTTAAACTGGCTCTGTTTCTATGACCGTGACTGCATGTTTCGTCGAAAAAGACCTGTAAACAAATGAAGATCTCCGCTTATATTAAACATTCTTTGCAATTGTTAAACGTAATAAAAAAGTATATCATTGGCGTCTCTTAATTTAATGAAATTAAAAAAAGCTTTAGCTTCCTGTAAGCCTTAAACGTTATTATAATTTTCCATACTTTTTGCCACTTTTTGCAATTCCGTACGTTGTGCAGCAGATTTGATGTTAGTCTTAAATCGTTAAACTGTTTTCTAGATGTTTAATGCACAGGGACTCCAAAAAGTTTGCGATGTACTCGCCGTTCATCCGCTCTGGACTACAGCTCACTTGGCAGCCTATTTCGACCTTTACGAGTCATTCGGTAATCCCAAAATTAACAGCTTAATAAACAGCAGTGACGAAAAGGGCGTGTCGCCGTTGCAAGTGGCGATCCAAGAGCACAATTTGAAGACCGTACGAACGCTTGTTGCTGCTAACAGCGCGCTCGACCACGTTGACCATGATAACAATTCGATTTTCCATTATGCCGCCACTACAACTAAGGACATTATTGCGGTACGTAGAGGGAGAGGGAGGGAGGGAGGGAGAGGGAGAGATTGGGAGATAGAGAAGGATAAATGGGGAGGTAGAGATGGATATATGGGTAGGTAGAGATGGATAAATATTGAGATAGATAATAGGGAGGTAGAGATGGATAAATAGGGAGATAGAGTTGGATAAATAGCGAGATAGAGATGGATAAATGGGGAAATAGAGATCGATAAATGGGGAGATATAGATGGATAAATAAGGAGATAGAGTTTTATAAATAGGGGGATAGAGATGGATAAATAGGGAGATAGAGATGGATAAACACTGAGATAGAGATGATAAATAGGGAGATAGAGATGGATAAACACTTAGATAGAGATGGATAAATAGGGAGATAGAGATGGATACATATTGAGATAGAGATAGATAATAGGGAGGTAGAGATGGATAAATGGGAAGATAGAGATGGATGAATGAAGAGATAGAGATGGATAAATAGGGAGATAGAGATGGAGAAATAGGGAGATAGAGATGGATAGTTGGGGAGATAGAGTTGGATAAATAGGGAGATAGAGATTGATAAATAGAGATAGAGATGGATAATTAGGGAGGTAGAGATGGATAAATAGGGAGAGAGAGATAGACAAATAGTGAGAGAGTGATAGGCAATAGAGATAGAGACGGAGCGAGAGAGAGAGAGAGAGAGGTAACAACTTGCTAGCATAGATGGATTCGAACCATGATAAGCAGCTATGTAATGTTTATTCAAATTTATAATTACTTGCTAGACTCTGAAATGATGAAATGAAAGCAAACTTAAAAACTCAATCAAAACACTCCTTATACTAGTTTTGGTTAGTTTTTCTGTTTTTCCCAGATTGAATGATAAAATGATTGCTGAGGGAGTGTACAAGTGATGGGAGGGAAGGAAATTTTTATATTTTTGATTTTATCCTGTATTGTTTCTGTATTGTATTGTTAAATAAATAAATATATTAGATTCTAGCTCAAAGCTGTCCACCCAAATGTCTGAATCTGAGAAACAAAAATGGACACAACCCGTTACATTTAGCATGCTTAGCAGACAAGCCGGATTGTGTCAAAGCATTGCTCCTCGCTGGAGCGGACGTAAACAAGAGTGCCGACGATACAACAACTGCAGGCGATATTGGACCAGGATATGTCGGTAATTTTTTGCAGGTAATAACTATTGATATTCGTGTTTACTTTTGCGTTCTTAGAAATTGAGGGTAGAAGTTTATCACCTTGTTGAAAGCTATAAAGTTGAATAATTATATACTGAGTGTCCACTTTTTCAATGGGATTGTTATGGGTGACTTTTAAATTTTTAAAGATGAAGGATCTGTTAAATAGCATAAAAGTTATAGGATTTCGGTACTGGCACATTTACTTCCAATTCCAACAAAAGTTGTAGGGTTCATAATGAGTTTCTCAGGAATTCACTTGTTCTGGTCGGCGGTATAATTTTTAACGGCTACTAATTGTATTGAACTTTACAACGGAACACTGTATATTTTTAATTTTGTCATAAAAACTAAGCTACTGGTATGTTAATAATAATAATAATATTATAAATCTAAGCTACATAATAGTTCATGTCTATAAATTATTAAGCAAGAAAACCTTGTGACTTTCACAAAACCAATGAAATCGACTTTCATGAAAGTATCTATGGTCACTGTTGTCTGTTCTCCGTCACGGACCTTCGGGAAGTTTTTGAAACCGGATTACATTGGAGGATTGGACCCATGGGTTTCAAATTTTCCTCTGTACTAAAACTGGGCGACGCGCAGTGACCCTCAAAATATTGAGTCGGCCGCCATTTTGTCGACTATTAACGGTTTTTGCCTGGAAAATCGCTATGAAACAAAATAAGTGTGCGAAGATATCGCGTTGAAATTGAGTCTTCTTTTAGAGTTCCATCCACAGATAAAACCCATAAAAATTGTTCTGTATCGGAAGCTACAAAATATATTTTTCTAAAAATTTGAAAATTTTTTTCGGTACCGATAAAAAATTATTTTCTCAAAAACGGTATATTCGATAGAAAAAATTCTTGAACCAGGGGATGCGCGAGTTTCGGAGTAATAACCCAAAAATACAGTTTGGTCAAAAATATACAGGGTCTTTGAGTTATGCGCAGAAAACTCATACGGGGTGCGCGATATACAGGCTACAACCCGATCGGTTGGAATTAAATATTACCTGGTAATTTAGCAATTTACGCTTTTCGTCTGCAATACTGAATGCTCGTAAAATAATTGTTTGTTTGTGATAGTGCGGCGGGATGTCAAAATTATACAGGGCGAATCAAAGATCCTTTTACGGAACAGAAAAATAAAAAAAAATACGTTGATAATGATTTACAACTCTCGAAACACAGCAAAACTATGCAATATACAAACACACAAAGTGATATACCGCTGCTGTATGTCCGTTTATGAAGAAAATGTCTTTTAATAGTCCTTAAAAGGTAAGTTAGAAAAGTGCAAACCGTTGTTACTTGACATTTACTAAACTGGTTTTGTATTATAAGATGAGCTCAGTTTTAAATTGCAATATTGTTAGTAGAAGTTTAAAATTGGCATGTTTGATGTTATTTTTTTTTTGTAAAATCGAAAATACGTATGTTAAGCAAGCAGTAAAATCAATAGACGATTTCTTTTGAGGTTAGGTTCAAGTAAGCCACAGCGTAGCCTATGACGTCACAGCTAATGTAAGTAAGATTTAGTAAACGAAATAAATGTTCTCAAAGGTCGTCCTGACATAGGTCCACTCAGGATGAATGTAACTCAGCTCTTTGGTCAATTGCACCCTTGAAATGTATATTTTTGATTTATTTTTTGCAAGGGATGGAGTTTAATCAAACTAAAATGTCGGAATGCAACAGAGCGCTGAACTTTGTGATATTTGAAAATTCGGTGAGTGTGTCGTCCTATCGATCTGACGTCAGTTGTCACTTTTTTAAGTCACATTAATTAACTTAATTTTGATATCGTATTATGTTCCAGGTAAGGATGAATGAATAATTTAATTTTGGTTGTCTAATCGAAACTGCGTTTTTAATATTTTAAAAGTTACCCATACAATCAAATTGAAAAAATGGCCACCCTGTACATCTTGGTATTGAAATAAATCGTTATCGGTAATGTCATAATGAATCGGTTAAGAAAATTTTGATGTTTCTATAGCAGACTTCGGTAACTATAACTATAAGTTTCATCATTTTATATCATTTTGTGAGTGACCAGTGCGAACTGCAATTTTGAATATTTAATTTGACTGTGACTGAAGTGACGTTTATCAAACTTGTTGCTTAATATTCTATTTTGGACTGGCGCACTTTTAGCAGTGGGCAAAGTATTAACATGTTGCACAATCGTAGAAAATAGTATATTATGCATACTAATGCGAATTTATTAATATTTCAATAACAATTATAAAAGGATATTTGTAAAAAAAAGTCATTTTTCTCTTCTCATTCAATTAATTTGTTCCTATTAATACATTTAAAATCACTGCTGATTCTTTAGTTAAGTGAACTGTTAAGATTTAAATATATTTTGGTAAAAATAACAGCCATATTATAAGTTCACAGAAAAAGTAAATAATATTAAATATCTATTGCACATCTTATTTTTAACTATTATTATTGCGCAATAAATAAATAATAAATATCCCTTTCAACTTGTTGTTGTCCATTTCTGTAGGTAATGTTTGTATAAAAATTCTTGAACTTCTCGATGGTAATGCATGGAGATTATATCTCATTGTTATCCACTTTTTGAAGAAGTTGAGGTAAATGATTCTGCAAAAAGTTTAAATATCTAGGCCCCTTGTTAAGAGGTTAATGGTGGACATCTTTAACATCCAATAAAATAATTTCTTTCACATGCCATGTTTTTATAAATTTTCTCTCAATGTACCGCGAATTTAGATAAGTTTTGCTATGGCTAAACCTCTAAGAAAATATCTGACAGCTTAACACTCATTGGTTATCTACCAATTAAACTTGCAAAACAACCTCGACACTAAGGAATAGACTAAAAATTACTAAGTTACTGTTTGCTCTGATTGTTATGCAAATCAACATGTTCTCTTCCGAAAGGTGGGGCTAAGGCAATTAATAGAGTGCAACAACCACCATATATTAAAAAAAAAAAATCTGTAAAAAATGTCGATATAAGTAGTAGCCGACACGATGTAATTTTTCATCTTAACAAAGAATGTTATGGCTCTATTTATATTTATATTAATTTTTAGACCAAGATCATTTGGCAATAGTAACAGTTTGCCCGTGCAGCAGCTGCGACCCTGCCATTACTCAATGTCATGGCCATCCACCCACCCCGCTAAGAATAACAGTACGAAAATTAACCATCATTCCATTTGAACCGAAGAAGCAGGTTTTTCTGGGTTTCAAGCTCTCAATTGTTTAGTTAATGTGTAATTGGTTTAATTCTAATAAAATTTTTAATCTCTAGTCGGATCTTTAAAAGGCACGTTACGTTTTTGGTCCAACGCCATGCTGAATGTTGCGTAAAATAACAAAATCACTACTAACTACAGCTATTTACAGTTCTAATCATTAACATAACCTTCATTCTGATTTACGCGGCTTACGGTTTCACTTTTCGACTGGCCCGCCAGGGAACGGTGCTTCAGTTTCATAGTCTTATCGCGATGAGTGTCGAATGGTTGAAATTTCCGGCGATTGTAACTACTTACCTTGCCACCAGATGGCGGTTTCCGATATAATCCCAATAAATATCATTTTCCGCTACGATATGACTTGGTTACGTCATTAGATGCTCAGATAAGATAGCCAGAGCAGACGTCATCGCATAAAATATTAATAACATAAATTTGGTGAAGCATTTATTTACCAATAATGTCTACATAGGTACTGAAGAATGATTAGCATACAGGGAAAAAGAAAAAGTTTGTTTCTTGAAGTATATCATCCTATATAAGAATTTATTGTTCCTCTTAAAATTCTAAACAAAATTCATGTAACGTACATTAAACCCGTTGGACAAATATTCGTCTTTTAGTCGTTTAAATGTTTTGTTTTTGTTTATTTAAGGAAAGAAAGTAAATAGGACGTACCAGAACACTTATTAGTTGTTAGTTACTGAAGTATCCTATAGAAAAATTCGAGTGCCCAGTAAAGGGGAAACGGACGGTTATAGAAAATTCTGGAAGTTATTTTCGAGTTTCCGGAATATAAGCCATTTTGAAATGTTTTTTGCTTAATACTCCCTACTCTATCTCTGGGAGGATAGGGAGTACAGGGGGTGGGGCTTAATAATAGTCTTTAAAAAAGCAATTTTTTTATTCTGCCCATCGTGTTATTATGACCAGCGCGATTGCAATTACTTACAGCCAGATGACGTCTTCTGACAGCATCGCAAAAAAAAATCTCAACTGCCTGTGAAATCCGCATCATCCTAACCTAAAATATGAATAAAAGAAAGCATTTCCACCTATTTTTTCATTAAAAATGAGAATTAGCTAACTAACCAAACATACTATTTACAAAACATTCTTCTTGCGTCGGTCGCTGTTGCTTTCTGCTTGCTTACATGCTGTCGTTTCGCCGATCATCCTGTTGGCGTCTTCAGAGCTTAACTGAAACTACTCTTACTTGCTTATATACTGTTTAAGGGGAAGGAGCTATAGATCAAACGCTCTAAACCAATGATATTTGAAACGGAATTTTGTCTTTGACGGATCGAAGATGCCGAGAGGGCAAGCGGTTAATGGTTTGTTGTTATATTTCTTAAGAACTTTTGACATGTAGTCAGTGATGTTCTGAATGTAAGGAGGAGGGTGAAGTGTATTTTGCCATGCATCGCTTAATATCTCTAATGGGGAAATTATTCGAGAGAAGAGCAGATGTAGAAATCTCTAAACAACCAAACAATCTTAATCGCGGCTTACCCTTCACGAATATGTGAATTAGTTATCCGAGACAATGTTCATGTCCCTCCTCCTTCACCGCCCCTCCCCACCCCCAGTATATAAGCAGCTTTGTAGAAGCCACCGACTCAGTAGCCTGCAGAAGTTTCTTTGAAAAATTAGTTGTAATGATATTTTTAATGGGAACAGTAACAGGCATTGGTATATTTCAAATCAAGTTTTAGCAAGAGAACGCCAGCAGTAAGTAATTTTTGAGTGTAACGTCCCTTTATACTGGAATAAAGATTTAAGTTCACATTTACAGTAACAATTTATCTTCAAAATTGTTATGATCTCTGAATTGATACACAAGAACCGGTAAGTTGGTCTGTTAGGTCGCCTAGAATATAAAATAATATATTATATATAATAACACCTAAATTCCATGACAACGTTATGTTTTTATTATAATATTGCGTTAGTTTACTTCAAAAGTGGGATACACCATTTTACAGAGAAAAAATGCGAACTTTTGGGTATGTTTCGAAAACGTAATGTGTAAAAAAATGACAGTACGTAAAAATGACGCACATTTTTTTAACCGTAACTATAAAATGTCATCAGGATAATCCCAATACTCTTTACCACGATGACATGAAGTACGGCGGTACGCCGTTGCACTGGGCCCGATCTCGACAAGTTGTAGAAGCTCTATTAGAAGTCAATTGCAATATAAATGTAGGTAATTTCGACCAGAGTACCGCTTTACATGTCATGGTCGAAAGAAATAGGTATGAGAATTGCGTCATCTTTCTGCCGGAATTCTCGACCGTCTTATTTTTAGGTTAGACTGTGTGGTTACTTTGTTAAGTAGGAACGCAAACGCTGATCTTCCCAATAAGGACGGCAACCGACCAATCCATCTTGCGGTCAAAAATGGTAACCTGCCTATCTTGCAAGCGCTGATAGTATTTGGTGCTGACCTGAACATTTTAAACAACGCAGGGGAGTCTCCAAGACATCTTATTACCGCAGGTAACATAACATTAACGCTAATTTGTTTCAAAATTTGAAAAACTATCGATACTTTTTTTGAAAGAAACGTTCACAGGCTACTGTAATACTTTTTACAAAACTTCAGGATTCCTCCTGCATCGGTTTTGAAACGACTCAGGTTTGGACTGTCTACTGTGTTTTTAACAATATTATGCAAAAGATGCCACTGTATATTATTCTCCTAACAGATAATTTAGATATGTGATACTAGATTGCAGTTACATCCAGAGCTCATAAGAAAAATAAACTTTTTTTTCAATATTTTCAACATGTTTACGATAATGGGGACTCCATATCATAGGCTTTATAGAGTATGATGAGCGATTTGGAATTTTGAAATTGTTCGCCAACCCTTATAATAAAACATCAGTTCTTATACGCTTGTTTGGAATGTTTCCAATATGATTATCAAAACTTAGTGTGGTGTCTATTTACAAAACTTTTGGAGTCCTCCTGCGTGGGTTATTGGTAAAGGAGAAGTAAAAACTACACCAAAACTAATCAAAACCAAAATAATCTTAAAAACAACGTAATATAATTTTGAAGTTTTGTGAACAATAAGAGGAACGCAGAATATTTTTCAAAAAAACTTCCAGAGGCTACTAAAAATCCAAAAGTTTCGTAAACGTAGACCGTGGAAGTTTCTTTGAAAAGTATACTTCCTGTTTTCCTCTTATTGCTCCCAAAACTCCAAAACGATATGTTGTTTTTAAAATTATTTTCTGTATTTGTGACGTTATTTTTATTGCACTCGGGGCAACTCACTATTTGTCACATCGTAATTCATTTTCAAAATTAGAGGATTCTAGCGGCTTTGTTTCAATTGAAGCATCAATACATTCGTGTTGAGTGACTCTTTATCTCACTAAACACCAAGTACAAGAAACCTGCATTGTCGTTAGATACGCCATTAAATTGGTCAGAATTAATCAAATTAACTCACCGTAAGACATATTTTAGGGTACATAACAACTCTCACCACAGTCAAATACTCAATTTAACAAAATAACACACTTGTTTGTAGGACCCATCTGCAATTTCCACCCCCAGATCTAGAGTACATTTTTTTCGCCACTGCTATCACCATCACCATCTCTTTTGCTTGATGACCGCAAGTTTCGATTGAACCGATAAATTTCATAATAGCCGTGGCAATTAATTATCCACCCGATCACTCAAAGTAGACAAATAAAATTCTTGCAATTTTGTCATTATTGTGAAAATATTACCATAGTTAAAAGATATAAATAGGTACAATGGAAACAAATTGCGCGTACTGTGCTGCCAATGTGATTAGAGTGTGAACTAAATTTTACCGTCAAAATTTAGCCCAGCCTTATGAAAATTCATTAAGTTAGTGACAACAATTCTATAGATATGTTCACAACAATATCTGCATGGACAATTGACGGTGTTAATTATAGGTGCCGTTCCATGAGCCATTATAATTTTTTTGAAAATTATAGAGCAAAAACGTGCACAAGGTGTGAGCAGAATTAATTAAAAAAAAGATAATTGAATATTTGGCAACAAAGGACAACAAATGCTATAAAGTTATAATACGAACATGAGATATTTGCGTTCCGTTCGATGGGTTATTTGACAACCATCTGGCAGTGAGATGGCCCGATTTGGACCGAACAAAATTTGAATTCGGTATCAGGGTGGGGTCCAGATTCGTCAGATTATATGCTGTCACTGCAATAACACCCTGTAGAATTTTATGGTGTTTGGTATTTCTTTTTAATGTAACGTTTTGATTTTTTATGTAAACGGGATGGGGTTAGACAATGTCCCCGGCATTTCGTGCGCTTCATTGAACAGTGTATTAAATAAATAAACGAAAATAAAAATATTCAAAGAAACTTCCACAGGCTACTGTAACACTTGCTGTCAATCATTCTGTTGCTTTCATCAGAGCTTTACTGAAACTGGCTCCCATTCTACTCTGGGCTTCTATATTGTTTTACGGGGGCGGAGCTATGGGAGGGGCATGAAGATTGTCTCGGCTGACTGATTGGTGAAAGGTAAGTCGCGGTTAAAATTGTTTTATTGCTTATAGATTTCTATAGATTCTCTAATTTTTTATTAGTATGAGAATTGATTACATGCAAGAATTTTAGTTTTATCGAATAAAATTTGATTTTCGAAGATGTTGAGAGGCTTTTGGACAAGTTGTAAATCTGGTTTTAAGATATCGGTCTGTTAGGTCGGATTTTCTATTGATAAGGTTATCTAATAATGGGAGATTATTATTAGTTTCTCTTTCAATAGTAAAATGTATGTTGTGGTGTAATGGAGTTTTGAATGGCTAAGAAAATCTTGGAGGTATGATTGATCATGAGGCCAAATAATAAAACTATCACTGTAGCATTTCCGTAATTTTGGGTTTAGATGGAAGGTGTCGATGGCTTTCTTCTCAAAGGCTTCCATAAATATATATGCGATGACTGGTGATATAGCAGTTCCCGACATTTGTTTATAAATTTGACTAAAAAATATGTCCCGGACAAACATTTTTCCATTTAAATTGTCCAAAAATCTCTTAACCAAGATACAAAGATACATAAAATACCAAGAGTTTAACAGCATTCCATGCATATGCGGTAAAAAATACACCGGAGAAACTGGGCGAAAAATGTCAACTATGCTCAAAGAACACTAAACAACAATAAACTAACCAAAACTGAATGGGAATCAGTCATCCGAGACAATTTTTATGCCCCTGCTTTAGCTCCGCCCCCCTAAGACCGTGTATATGCAAGTACACAGTAGAATGTGAGCTAGTTTCAGTTAAGTTCTGGCGAAACGTCGATTAATCAAATACAAAATAAAAATTTTTCGAAATATTTTATAAATCCGTGTCATTTTTTTTTTGTAGAACAAGAACCAAAACTACTGTACTATCTTCACGTAGTCGGTGCTAAAAGATGTCCTCCTAAAATCGCGGGCTGTACCGACGGCTGTGTGGCTGGTGGCACTTACGATGGTATTCCTCCGCCAAAGGTATTTATTTGTTGTTTCATTATATTATTACATTGAAGCTTTACCGCATAACGCTAAAAGTGTTGGTTACACACAAAAATAGCTAAGGTCAAATTTGTCCCAACTAGTAGTTTTTGTTTTAATCATTTGTTTATATTTCGTCCCATGTTATTGTATTTTCCTTTGGTTCTTAAGTTGACAGAAATGGTTTTTTACTCTATTATGAGAATTTATAGAAAATTATGCTATATTTTATCATCCGGTACATTTTCAAATGTAATTTTGGAAAAAATCGGAAAATTAAAATTGCAAAACATTATTTAATTGCGTATTTTCGGTTTCAAACTTCGGTGATATTGCTTGAAACGCGATATTCTTCCTTTTTTTTGTAGGTATTTATGTCAATTCCATACCGCGTTCGCTAGGTTGAAAAACCTATTGTTTTATATGGTGTTATATGGACTGACTAATATTAAACCTAAACCTAACGTCAATTTGGAATACTTATAGTTTTATAACTTACCAAAAAGATATAAATGTCAAATGTCAATTATGCAATCATAATCTCACTGAGAAGTGAAGTGTTTTTGATGTACTTTTTCACTACGAATAAGGAAACATTGGACTATGATAATTTTCTATAAATCTTGGAGTTATCATATCTCGAAAATTTGGCTCATTTCCTCTGGTTTGTTGTCGGATTCAGTTTTTTTTTATCTAAACTGTGAGGGTCCTTTTTAAGCTCCAGTCAAGGTATGACTCGCCCGCTTTTTTTTGAAATTATTTGGCAGCACTGGTACTCCTTGAATAAAATGTATTTTTCTGTAGAATAGAACGAGATTTAAAATTTAAACTAAGCAAGGACTATGAATAAATGAATGATTGGTAAAAGGTAAAAACCTAAGGCGCGGTTAAGATTGTTTGTTCGAGATTTGAATGCATGCAAGAATGTTGGTTCATGATTGTACTCAAAGCTGATCTTTTAACCTAGTTAATATTTTTCGTCCTGTGTTCCAAACGGAATTTTGTCTTTGATTTACCACAGTGGCAAGTATTTGTCTAACATTGAAGATATTGTTAGCACAATTGGTTCTCCAACCTATTCCCTAGCAAAATATTTCGCTTCCATATTACACAGCTGATAGTTTTGAGCTTAATTATTCCGACATAGAGTCCATCTTTACCAAAGTTCCGATTCTTGGAACTCGCAACATAATTTCAGAAGAAGATGAAGCAGTTTTGGAATTACATAGAAATCTCTAAACAGCCAGTCTTAACCGCAACTCAGGTCTTTACCTTTCGCCAATATGGAAATCAGTCATCCGAGACAATGTGCATATTCCTCCTTTAGCTCCGCCCCTCTCAAATCATGTATAAGCAGGTACAGAGTAGACGCAAATCAGTTTCACTTAAACTCAGAAGAAGTCAACGGGATAATTTATCAATAACCCACCCAGATGAAATCTTCAATCTTGTAAAACCCTTGAAAAGGGGTTCCTTTATCTGCGTTCAACTGATAAGATACGTAGTGGAAATAGTTATCTATTCCAGAAAATGTAGGGTCTTGCAAAGGAAACTTTAAAGAACTTATTGTCGTAGCGGTAAATGCAGTGTTCTTACATGAGAGTGTCACGCACTTTTTTACTCCTAATGAATCACAAATCACAAGAAATTTTAGTTTTGTGCACAAAAATATTCACTAACGTATCAGAATGGGATATACAGAAAATTAAAACTTAAAAATTTAAAGGCATCAAGTTTTAAGATTTTAGTCAGAATGGAACTGTACACTGTGGAAAAATTTTACACCAAGATACGAAAATTGTAAATATTGTTAATTTGACACCATATAATGTATCTACATATACTTCAAATGAAGATATATTATTATTATTATCCCCAAGTATACCTTCAAAAATCTTAGAGAATAGAGGGAATTTTTGATATTGCACGATAGTTTTTTATACCGGATTTATCCCCGTTTTGGAAAAAGAGCGTGACAAAAGATTTTTTCTAAGGTGTTGGCTATGGACTAGTATTCAGTGACAAATTAAAAATGTTACAATTTTCTGGCCCTGCACCTAGACTCTGCTTTAACTTTCAGATTCTGTCAAAAACATCCAGTAAAAATATCTATGGCTATCTCATAACTGGTAGTTTTCGATCTCAGTTGTAAAGACACCATGCTAGGATAACAGAAGATAGTATTCTACCCATGCAAAGACATTAATATTGTCCGTTCTTCAAGCTGATGTTGATTATTACTATATTAAGTGCCCTTGCTGAAGAAAGAAATAAAAACATACCTTCGGTTAAAATCTCAGATAAAAAACTGATTCATTTTCACTTAATCTTCTTCGCATTCTCTCATATAACGTACATAAATATCTCTACGTCTATGCTGTTCCATGCATCGGGTTACAGCTACTCATATGTAGATGGCGCCAACAAATCGACACTACTGCAGACTTTTCACCACCGATGAAATTTGAGATTGCGTTTGGGACCTTTTGTTATCGTCTAGGTTATTGGTCCAGCGAATCGTGACATCTTGAACCAACTACTAACAGCGGCCGGTATAGAAGAAGCGTCAAAAAAGCTCAAAAACGGCACTCTTCCGAAGAAGGGTCGTTTGTTGTGTTTGGACGGAGGCGGCATTAGAGGTCTGATTTTGGTGCAAATGTTACTGGAACTCGAAACACTTTTTCAGAAACCAGTGAGTTTTTGTTTTGATTGGTTGGCAGGAACCAGCACCGGAGGGATTTTAGCGTTAGGTATGTTATGTTGCTTTAGATGCTTTACAAATAGGTACGGAAAATCCACAGATGAGAGTGGAATTGTCGCTTTTCAAAAACATACCTCTTTAGTCTGTTGTATTGTCGTCTCGATTGTTGCTAGTGAGAAGAAATGTACAGGGTGACTCGGTTATACAATTTCTCTGTTAAAGTAAGCAGAAAAATTTAGACGGGATAGTTGTTCATTCATTGAAGATATTACGAATATTATTTTCACATTAGGCAAATTTAGGCAATAATTTAATTTGATAATTTATTTAAACGGAGACGAATTTTCAGTCATCACATCTCAATCTAATATCTAGTTTTTCGTTGGATATACATTGTCTTCAATTCCTCATACCCTGCAATAGTTTGTCGAAATTTTGAAAAGTTCTTGAACCTGTCTTTCATTTAGCGATCATTAACATTTTATTTATTGGGTTAATTTCTGGGCTACAAGATAGTCACTGTTAAACATCTATGGGATCGTCCTGTAGCCATTCAGTGCTTGAGCTTATCCAAGTAGTTACACACTTAATGCATTCATACTGATCCATTATCCAGTTATTCTGTAAAGTGAACCAACACCATTCCAAGAGAAACAGCCCCATATCATGAAACAGCCACCTACAAATTTCACTGTTTTCATTGTGAAGCGCGTATCATATTGGTTGTTTTATATTTATTTTTATTTTCCATCAGAAATAAATTTGTTTCACCCTGGATTCTGCAATCATTGTTGTGCGTTTGAGAGGGAATTGGAAGTAAAATCCTTTACGAAGCCCTGCGTGGAAAACACACAATGCGGAATCCAGGTTTACCCGTTAAAACACCCCAATCTACAGCCTTAGCTGTCAATCTAGCATTACATACCCACTCATATGTCCCTCATCTAATCATCTAATAACAATATTTTCTATATATTGTTAAATATATTAATGTCTTTTAAATGTGATAGTGTTTGTTTAATCTGTTCCTTCTTCAAATTGTCTTTAAAATTTACGACGAGGTTCGTCGGTCGGAATATGTTTGTATGTAAAAAGCTCATACTGTTTCCATTCTGCAAGGTGTTACATTCAATCCAAACGTTTTGGCAGTCCTAATGGTGTTTTTCGTTAAACAATTGTCCGAACTGTTTTCTTCCTGTTACCAGTTGTTTTCGTCGTTATTTTATCAGTTTCCTTGGTAGGTTAACCTCAATTTTCTACTGCCAAATGCCCTTTGAGCATTGAGCTAATGAGCTTTTTGTACAAAATTTGGCAAATCGTGTTTTTTGACATGAGAAATCCGTTTTCGTTAATAATTTTGGGGTAAATTGTAGAGGAACTTTTCGTCCAACTTTTTTGCTCCTCAGCGTTTGCAAATTCTTAATAAAGATATAATTGCTTACACTTTTTTTTACACAAACAATTCAAAAATGAAATCCACACCATGTGTCTGGGTTAATATCGTTTTGGACTACGGTAAGTTTCGTTAAACAGGTTATCCCGGGATCAGACGACAATCAACGAATTCATGATTAGCAGGCACACCAACTGAAACCACCTACGTACCAATAATGACGCAGCTTTTTATATGTTTTTAAGGTATCGCTACTGGAAAAACAATGAAAGAATGTCAAAATATATACTTTCAAATGAAAGATCATACTTTCGTCGGCAACAGGCCGTACTCGTCCGAAAATTTCGAAAATATCATGAAAGAAACGTTCGGTCACGAGTCTGTAATGTCCGACATCAAACACACCAAGGTATTCACGAAATAAATTCTCGTTTCTATTCGATTAATTAAAGTTTTTAGGTGATGATAACGGGCCTGCTGGCCGATAGGAAACCCGCCGAGCTACATTTATTTCGAAACTATACGAGTCCGAACGATATTTTGCGGGTGAAACACGATTCCCCGTACGAATTGCCGCCCCCACCAGAGCAGCAGTTCATTTGGCAAGTTGCCAGAGCGACCGGTGCTGCCCCCACTTACTATAGGTATGCGAGTGTGAATGGTATTTATAGGCGCCACGATTTGTGATGGCATAGTCGGCAATAAATTGGCAGACAGAATAAAATCGATTGTTCATCTTGATTTTACTTATGGTTGTCCGCTATAAATGTCTATCTGATCAATTCAAGACCCCCGTCACTAGCGATCACGATTATATTACTTGGGAGAAAGAGAGAAGATTTCCTTAGTACGATCATAGTTAGAGATGGATTCTGTATTTTCTATGTAATAATAGATCGTAATTTAGGCAAAAAACGTTTTTTTTCGATAAAATGTTTTATATCTCAGTTATTCATAATTTTCAGAGATTGAAATTTATAGGTTACATACTTCAGTCTTTTCTCTATTCAGTGATACCAAAAAGTCTCACACAAGTTGTACCGTTTGCTGTCGGGAACGGTTTTTGTGTGAGGCCGCATTTTAAAAAAAAATTAACAATAATTATTAATTATAATTAAATTATGGGGACTTGGGGGGACGTTATGGTATCTACGGATAGACCTCATTGACCTTTTCGAAGCAACTTAAGTATTTAAAAAAATTAAAAACGAGAATTTTTGAGAAAAATTATGACATCCATGAAAACTATGAATGATTGAGGGGGCTGGGGGCGGACTTAATGGTATCTGCGAATAGACCTCATTAACCTCCATCTTTAATAAAAAATTCAACCCTCTCGGAGCAACGTAGGTACTTTAAAAAAATTAAAAATATAACTTTTTGTAGAAAATCATAACGTACATGGAAATTGTGAATCGAGAATATTAATCGAAAATTGAGGGGGTTGGGGGGGACTTTATAGTATCTGCGGACAGACCTCATTGATCTCCATCTTCAATAAAACTTTCAACCTCCTGGGAGGAACATAGGTTGAGAAATGACCTTAAAATCTCATTTTAAGTGGAGAAACAGGCTTAAAAATCAATGGTGGACAATTTTATCTCACTTATACATAATTTTGGGAAATTTATACGTTAAATACTTCAGTCCTTCCTCTATCCAACGACATCAAAAAGTTTCACACAAGTTATATCGTTTGCCGTCGGGCACGGTTTTTGTGAGAGGCTGCAAATTTTCCAAAAATTACCCTTTATGGTATCCGCGGATAGACCTCATTGACTTCCATCTTCGTTAAAAATTTCAATTTCAAACATGAAAATATTAATTGAAAATGGGGGGCAGGAGTTGGGGGATACACCTCATTGCATCTGCATCTTTAATAAAAGTTTCAACCTTGTCTATGTTTCGCTTAATGATAAATAAACGGTTGTGCGAAAACTCTGTCCATGCAATGAAGATTAAGACAATACGTAAGTGTCTGGAGAGCTATCTTTCAAATAGATACTATTGCAGTATCATCACTTACAATATTTTTGTTAAAAATATTTTGCACCGGTAAGAAGGCAATCTTAAAACTTGGCAAGTTGTTTTGTAACGTTTTTTTTGGGCAATTAATCCGCAAGTCGCACCGGCTATATTATTATTTTAGCAAATCGATTTAAATGTATGACAAATGTCGAAAAGGTTAAAAAAGGCCGTATATAGTCCGACATACGATAAAATAAAATAAAATATTTTGTTGTGTTGGGTACTGTAAAATTAATTAGTTGTCACAATAGTTTTAATCTGTGCTATCGCTAGCATTCAAGGATATAATTAATGGTTTTGCAACATTTTCTTGTTCCTTTTTAAGTTTACTTTCTCTGAATTTCTTAAGTAGGTAACGATTAAAAAAAAACCTTAGGGGAGGTGTAGAAATTGCAAAAAAACATAAACTCAAATCTGTTTTTTTTTTAACTTACTAAATCAATAAAAACTAAGCAAAAACTATAAATTACATTTCGTGACCAGCCTGTTGATGAAATGCTCAGTAAGTTGTAGGCCGCTTCAAGATCTTCCGGTGTTGAATTCTCCCAGGATAATTATACCTCATGCTATTCCGTCCATATAACTCCTATATAATTCAAATCGCTGCGATAAGATGGTAACTCAAGGGTATATTCGCGGATGTTTTAATGACCTCTTTGACTTCTTCTACGAAATAAATTTTATCGTTCGATTTGGTTATCAAAACTGCAACTAGTTGTAACCAAAAAGGGTTCTAGAATATCAGAGAAAATTCCCTGTTCAAAACCCAAATTTATTGTAGGTTGAGGATTGGAAGTGTTATTTTCAAAATTGTAGGGTGTTTGATCTTATTCCATCAATACTAGGTGATTTATTTTTATTTAGCTTTTCGATGATTTTTTATTAGTTTCATTTACATCTTGCTTCGTGTAGGAACATTAAATTTTCTTCCGAGATATTCTGTGGATTGCTTTAGTTTTTCCACCTAAACCTCAACCTAACTTAAAAGTTTTGTTACTTGAACAACCAAGTCTGTAATCCGGACGAGCATTTTTCTCCAAGCCCTAATGTAAAAATGGACTTTGTTACTGTACATTAGAATAAATCAATTTGTAATACTTTTTACAAAACTTCTGGTTTCCTCCTGCGTCGGTTTTTGCCGAACTTGTTGACATTTCGATAATCATTGGCTTCTTGAGAGCTTGACTGAAACTGGCTCGCATTTTACTCTGTACCTGCTTATATATTGTGTGAGGGGGCGGAGCTAAATGAGGGACATAAACACCGTCTCGGATGACTGATTCCCATATTGGTGACAGGTAGAGAGCTGAGTAGCGGTTAAGATTGTTAGGTTCTCTATAGATTTCTATAGATTCTCGGATGCAGGTGCGAGCCAGTTTCAGTTCCACTCAGCAAAAACCGACGCAGGAGGAATCCAGAAGTTTTGTAAAAAGTATTACAGTAGCCTGTGGAAGTTTTTTGAATAAAATAAATAAATAAATTAAAAAAAAATTGTAGCGTTCAAATTATAATCCTGTAAATTACAGAGTATTCCAGAGGTACCTGGACGGAGGTCTCATAGCGAACAACCCGACTCTGGACGCTATAACCGAAATTCAGGAGCACTGCCTGGCGTTGAGGGCATTGGGCCGTGCAGACGAGGCGAGTCCCGTATCTTTAGTTGTAAGTTTGGGCACCGGCGTCATTCCAGTCACGAAATTAGAGTCGGTGGATGTCTACAGACCTGAACGTTTGTGGGATGCCACGAAGTTACCAAAGTTGTTCGTCGGTCTTTCTAATTTGGGCACATTATTGGTCGATCAGGTACAACGGCTTATTTCGTATCAAATCAACGAAAGGTGCGGCACTATGTTTTATAATTTTTGGAATAGTTGTTTCAACCATGAGGAGGATCAAAAATTTTTCGGTTATTTTCAATTAATTTTTCGAAAAACTGTCAATTGTCACTTCTGAACAAATGATCGCTGACATAAGCGAGGCACTCTTCGATCTAATATATTCACAGCGATGCGATGTTGCCATTTTTTTGAAAAAGTAGCATCAACTTTGATATTTTGAGTGGAACACTCTGTATATTGAATTTTACGTTAAGGTATAGATATATACCTATCCTTAGCGGTTTTCGATAAATTAATTGTTTTTCTTTATTACAGCCATGTTTGATGTATTTATTATAATTTTCAATCCGTTTTTTTACTCAACACCTGGGTGGGTCTTTCAGGTTCTGCCAATTCGCTTTAAATATAACAACGCTGAGGTTTAAATAAGGCGAGGTCATGGTCGCCATCTTGCTTCGATGTTAGGTAGCAAAAAATGGTTAACGGCGGTGCTAGGAGCAAGGGCAATTCTTGCTTTTTCTTACAGTAGATCTGTAAATATTAATTACAGTGGAAATTGGGCAATCAAATTTCACCAAGTATTTAAAAAAAAGATTTTTTTTTTGGTTATTTTGGCTTCCAGAAAAATATGCTCTTCTCCATAACCATTCATCGGATCGTCAAAATTTTTAATCTCGGAGGCGCGGAAGATCCAGTGCTATAACATTTATTTCAGGCATTTTTTCGATTATATACAGGGTTTTCCAATTATACACAAAAATTTAAATGACCAAGAGTAACCTATTTACCGCTCATCAAAAAATCATAAAAAATATAGCCAATCGGTTCAAAGAGTGTCATAGGCCGCATCAAGATCTACAGTTTTCGTATTTGCGGTTTTCGTCTATCACGAGCGCTGCTCGGGATATTTGAAAAAATCCATATTGAAGCCGTTATTTCGGGGGCTGTCAAGACGCGATGACGTCATTCATTATAACAGCGCACTGCATGCGGCTCCAGCGCCGATTTTTCGAAAGCGATCTTGTTTCTTTTTCTTTAGAGCAGACAGGTACAAACATTCCAACTAAATAAGCACCATTATGGATAAACTCTGTTTTAAAATAACGGAAACAGTGAAACATAACCTTTAAGTGGTATGAGTTGACTGAACTGTGAAATGACATTTTGAGACGTCAAATAAGTTGACGTCAGTGCAAACTAGGCTTCATTAAATCTTCATAAATTACCTCACGAGTTTTTTTGTCAGTGTTAAAGTAGTATTGGGAATTTAAACAAAAAAATCACTTTTGGTCCTGCGAAGTGGCGTACTTTGTTGGTAGGAGGGGCTTTGGGTGGAGGGAAAACTGTGGCAAAACACGTCAAGAATTAAACACAGTTTTCTTTTTAAATTTCAAGCCATCATTCTGTGGCCAAACCTTCTTTACTTTGGTTGAATTAAAATGAAATTTGCTAAGACATGATGTTTTAGGCCACTCAGAGTGACGGAAGAGTGGTGGACCGAGCGAGAGCGTGGTGCTCTATGATCGGAGTGCCTTTTTTCCGGTTTTCGCCCCAGATATCGGAAGACATACCGATGGACGAAAAGTCCGACGAAAAGCTGTGCAACATGCTGTGGGAAACAAAAGCGTACATGCACGAGAACGCGAGTACCATGAAAGAACTGGCCGATGTATTGTTAACGAACAATTGAGGGGCTCGATACTGTCGACATTAAAATTTATTTCGTTTAGTTAATTCCAATCTGTTAGTTGCTAGTAAAATTAAAGAGGTAGGTGCTCCAAGTAAGGCCCTGGTACCGAAACATAATTTTTATTTCTTAAAACTCATAGAATGCGATTTAAGGATACAAACTATACCTATCTATTATTTTTCAAAGATGCTACAAATATATTCTTCATCGTCTGAGGCAATACAACCCAAGCATTCATCATGAGGCCTTTCAACAATTTTTGATCAAATATTTTTTCCTATTGCTGCAGATTCAGCATATTTTTCAGAAGTTTTCTTGGATACGCGATCATCGAATAAGATTTTCTGGGCGTTGGCATCAACTCTTGAAAAGCAAGAGATCATTTTTTGAGTTCATCTTCACCCCATGTTCGATTTCAAAACGATAAGCGTGAGCAACAAATAAGGTGCATGCAAAGTTTGGTTATTTTGCAATATCGCAAAAATGAAATTTGTTCCTAATCTTATAGCCAATAGTACATGTATGATTCACCTACCTGATGAAGATGAAAATACAAGAAATTGTATTTTATACACAACAAATTTAGTAAACAAACAGCAAAGACAATAAGGAGTCTAGAAAAAGGGAGAAATTCCCAAAAATCGCGAATTTGATAACTTATTGTCACTCGGGGGCCTTATTTGTCGCACCTACCTTAACATTATTAAGTGTGTAAACCATATCTAACTCAATATTTATTACTAAAAATTTTCAATAAATGTTAACCTATTTTCGATTTTTTTTTGGGGTTTATGTATTAGCTAGCGGCCGGACAGCTCGTTGCGCCCGTAGCAAAAGTAATAGGTTAGTTATCACTGCAAATCCAAAGATACCAACCTAAATCGACCTGTACCGAGCTGAAAATAGAATGAAACATATTTTATAATAAATTTAGTTTATTAGAGAATATATTAAAAATGGTAAGTTATGTTATTCTAAATCGCAATTGCGATAAAAAATGGCTAAAAATCGTTTTTTTTTTTGTGGCTCGGACGATTCTTTAATTGATGTTTACTGATGAAACTTTTGAAAATATTTCGTTAAAGTTAGCTTTTCGTAAAAAAAATAATGTAACTACCATGAAGTTGAACTAACCAAAGAAGTACTCGATTTTGTTGGCTACCACGCCATCAATTAACTGTTTTTGCAAATAAATACAATGCAGAATTTGAAATTTTTCTTACAGAGTATTTAATAGGTACATAATATACGATTCATTGATTTATTACGTAATAAATAAATAAATATGTGACGTCCGTTAAATTTGTTTCTATCAAAAAAAATATTTGAAAAACTAATTTTTTGAGATACTTGTCGACTGCTTTTTTTTTTAATTTTAAAGAACATTAAAAGTTCTGACTCGTTCTCTATAGCGCCATGTTGAATTTCTCTACAACAAATTTTTTTTGGATCATTGTATGTAAATTCTATATGTTCTATATGTTATATGTTATAAACTCCTTTGAAAATACAGGACATTGCGAACTGGAAGAAAATGAGGAAGAATCTAGTAAATCAGATGAATTGCAGTATCACAGTCATACTTCTGATGAATCAGATATTGTATAAAAAAAGTATTTTTCATTATTATTTTCGTATTTATGCTGTTTAGTAATAAAATTTTTAAACGTAATACAAGACCTTTAAACTTATTGTTATTATTCGATTTGGTTTTTTAACGGTCCATTTTGTTTCTCTTATTTTTTAGAAAAAGCAAACAAATTGATAAAGGTAAAGTATATATTATTACATGATACACATACAATACAATACAAACCATACAAAAAATGCAAATAAACGAACTGCTTATTAGTAAACTCGGTCATGCTTTTGAAAAATAACAATGCTGTGATATTTTGAACACCAAATTAATAAGACGCCAAGAACTGATTTTAAAAATCTGACATCAAAGAACTGTCAAACAGCCGCCTTGACAAGCGAATTATTAATTCTTACAGGCGCAGCCTACTACGATGTTAGGAAATAATAATAAATATTTCAAACACAGATAGACTTACATAAGACATTAATTCTCTGCATGCTGTCATATTAGCCATATTGTTTTGATCAGTCGTGGAAGGGGTTTTTATTTTTTAAACGAAAACCGTACATGGGACTGAAAAAAATGAAGAAGTTATCGCAGAGTGTAAGAATAATTTTTATTTTAAGAGAAGTCAGCCACGTACCATCAATGTCTGCCAAAATAGACAGGTGAAATTCCGTACGCTCGGCACTGGTCTATTAAAAAAAAAATTAATACACTAAATAAGGCATCTTGATATATATATGTGGCAAATTTCATTAAAATATCAAAAGTGGTGTTGCACATATTATTAAAAAAAAATTTTTTGGTTTTCAAAACTTTACCACCCTGTTAAGACGTTTAGGACATATAGGACAAAATAACACTGAACATGGCAAACGGTAAAATGCACATAAAATCCACACAGGAAAATTGAACCAAGATGGTAATTGTCAAATATAAAACTATATCATTGTATGAAGCATACCCAATACCACTTACGGATATACAGGACGTTAAATAAAGATTAATAAATAAATAAGATTTCTATTTTGATTTTAAAAAAATAGAGTTACAAAAACAATATGAACTATCTTCTGCTCAACTGAATTTAAAGGAAAACTTATGCAATGATAACATATGTTTTTATTTTCTGTTTAATTTAGGAGCTTTTGTTTACGGCGAGACATAATGAGATAAAAAAATTATTAGAGAAAAAGAATCTAGTGGACTGTTGTCACTTTTTAAGACATTGCTCGGTTTTTTTGAATAGAAAATACGACTAATTCAATCAAAAATTTATTATCCAATCATTTCAATAAAAAAAGAAATTTTGTTTGTGGTCTTTAACAAGGGTACCCTTCTCATCACAGGTGCTAGGTGTCATCAACTGTTTGTATGTGTGCTTAGCCGCCTTGATTTCCAGGTTTAAATCCTTTCCATTATTTCATTTAGGGATATGTAAAAGAATTACTAGAATTAGACGTAAGAAATCGGATAACGGTAATGTCATAAGAAATAATCAATAATACTACGGACCTAATAATGCATAAGCTTACTATAAAAATTGCATTTTTGTTTTAACTTGTCTTGCTTACTTGTTGTGTAAGCAAAATGTTTTTCAAGCAATTGTATATTCATAGTAATTGTTTAGAGGACAATTGATAAATGTTGGTACACAGTACAACCGATTTTTTTTTGTTTTGTTGAAATTGTGAAAATTGAGACAAAAAGTTTCTAATATTTAAAAGGATATGAAAAAATACTCAAAAAGTATGCTTTTGAATGCCATAGTTTTCTTAAATAGGATATAGCAAAACTCCCTTTATTTTAAACAAGCCCTATTCGCCCTATTAGGTTTTTGGCAATTATTTAGAAACACCCTGTATTAAAGAATCCCGCAATAGCGTATATTATTAAGTAGTTTTTATGGATTTGAATTAGCTAGAAAACCAGTTTGAGATAATCTTTTTAAATGCCGACGACAACAAATAACACAAAATACCGGGTGTTTCACTGTTAATGGTAATTTAGACGTTTACGGCGAACGGTGCATTGGATTGTTCTGAAAATTTGGTTAGTTCCATAAGCGGCGATGTTTCATCGATCAAAAATATAGTATTAACATTGAAATTTGAACTGAGACACCGTGTATATCATTGCATTTTCCAATCCGCTAATACTTTTTAAACTTTTGAAAGTTTAATTGGAATTAAAAAACGAGATTATATAGGATTATATAGTCTTAAATAATAGTTAAGTTAGTTTATTTTTGGTTAGTTGGTTGAAAAACTTCGTATAATGGAGATTCCTTTATATTCCATGGCTGGATTGTCCTTTTTTAATGACCAGCAGTAATTTGCTATAATTGCAACTTGATATCTGTTTTCAATTTCTTTAGAATTGATATAAAAATACTAATAGTTAACACGTTTACACTACTTTGACATTTGGCAGGACTGTCATTATTTTGCACAGCCTTCTACGAAAAATTTTTCTGGGTCTTTATCGAATCTTTGGAAATAATGTTTTCGCTAGAAGAAGGAGACGAAACAACTTTATAGTAATTGAAGGCGTGGAAATTGCCGTTATTGTTATTATTTGCTACGCTCAAATAAAACAATAAAAGGAAAATGGAGTTTTATTTCGCAACCACTCATAGCCATCTAGTCTATAAGAGAAATGTGCTGATAATTCGGTTATTTTCAATTTTGCATACGAGCTTTATTGTTCTGTTGGTGAACGTTAGAGTCAAAAATATGCGGGGTGATAAATTTAAAAAGGGTACATGTTCCTCCTAGACCCTACAATTTCCATTGTTTTTCTCTTTTCACCACCGTAAAATGATTGTCTTGCAGCTCATATTCAATTGTCACTTTGTTTTTGGTTCGTTACTGTCTTCTAATGCGTCATTGTAATTTTTTTAAACCCTCGGTCTAAACATAATACTAAGTTTCTGGTTTGGTTTATTGAGGGTAAAAAAAAATTGTGGTGTGCTGGACTATACGCAGAATAAAAGTTTTCTCCTCAGATTTTAACGTGTTGCACTATTTGGCAACCCTGCACCACGGTAAACCTCATTGCATAGCTTATCGCTTTCATTGCCTAATCCAGCGGCACGGGAAGCGTTTCATGCCAAATCTTGGTAGCGATTTTTTTGGAAAACCGCGCTATTTATGAGACGCGACATTTTACAGCGGCGCCACTGCTATTTCAAGAATTTCATCGTCAATCGCGCAGTCGCTCCGCTAGATTTCAGTCCTAAAATTAAAACCAAACATATGCGAGCTGCCAGGGTGTGCTGTTATACACTCGTATAATGTTGACAAACATTTAGGATTTGAGTATCGGTGGAATAACCAGATCGCAATTCAGATAATAAAAAGTATTGATCGGGATATCTAGCCCCATTTGAGGTCAGCGAAGCGGAGAGGAACATCGGAGGAACATTTCCATGAGTCTCGAATTCCGAACCACCTTGTGAGGTAAAAGCAAACCCGACAGGTTTGTGTGAATTTCATGTCATTATTTTTGGGTCAGCAGAAATAAGTTCATTAGTCTGATAAAAATGTTTTGTGGAAAGCCATGACGATATGTTAAATATCTTTTTGCTGTAGAAATTGTTCTAATATTTTACTTTGACGCCATTCGTTCCGATCTCCTGTATATATGACTTTTAATAACAGTTATAGTCTATTTCAGAAAGCTTTAGACGAATACTCAAGCCACTTTCATTGTTTCTTATTGATTTCACTGAAAACTTCTTTCTTTTTATCGAGTCAGTTTGGGTCTAACTTATTGTTATCCATCCATCGAAATATGATGCTTGTGCACATATAATGGTTTTTTTTTTCAAAGAAACTTCGACAATAGTTTTTACAAAACTTCTCGATTCCTCCTGCATCGGTTTTTGCTGAGTCGAACTTGCTGACGTTTAAAATTAAAAATGAGAATTAGCTAACTAACCAAACATACTATTTACAAAACATTCTTCTTGCGTCGGTCGCTTACATGCTGACGTTTCGTCAATCATCCTGTTGGCTTCTTCAGAGCTTGACTGAAACTGTTTCAGTCATCCGAAACGGTGTTTTGACCCTCATTCAGCTCCGCCCTCCTCAAACAATATATGAGCAGGTACATTGTAAAATGTGAGCAAGTTTCAGTCAAGCTCTGAAGATGCCAACAGGATGATTGGCGAAACTTCAGCAAGTTCCGATTCCCAATGTAAATAGTTCTATCGCACCTAAGTGTTCAAGTGTTTTAAAATTAACGACGACTTTTCTGACACATAGGCACAGTTGGTAATTTGCCCAAAACATCTAAGTGGTTATGAAGTCGTTCTTTACGTTCATGTTCTATTGATAACTCAATTCTTCGTAAATAAGAACTAAAAATTCAGATTGTCACGAAATTATATATGTTCACATGACAATTGTTTCGACAACACCGTGTCTTTATCAAATATCAATTGTCATGTGAAACTATACAATTTCGTGAAAATCTGAACTTTTAGTTGTTATTTATTTTGTTAAATGGATTTTCATCTAGTAAAAGCCGCCTCAGTTCAATCAATTCTTTGTCTTATGTGTTACTTAGTAATGCTTATATTAACAAATCATGGCCCACTTATAAAATAATTGAGACCTAACTTTAAGAAGTGTGATAAAATCTTTTGTAAAGTATACCCATTTGGGTACTTTTACGGGATATCTCGGTGCTGCTACTTTTGTATGAAATTAAAAGATGCCTTCAACAAAATTATCATAGCCCTTTTGGTTTCTGAGATAAAGGATGAAATCCAAATCTATCGATTTTGGGGTCACCCTCGTATCTCCTTTGTCTTTAAAGTTATTGAAGAATTTAAAAATCGTTTATTAGTTGTGAAGCAACCTTATGGTTTTTTAATGTATTTTAATATATTAATTGGAAATCATTTAAGCCTTTCAGAAATATGTATTGGTGTTAAGTTGTTTTGAAAATTAACATCAAAATTTAATTTTTTTCACGTTTTTTGTTTTTATTTGTAGCAGTGGGCCATAGTAAATCACCTAAGTCAACTTAAAATATCATACGTGTAAACAGTTATTATTATACAAGATACTCTTTACTTATTTTCGAGAAAACAGAAAAAAAATATATATTTTTTAAGATAGTAATATCTTACGAATATGATAAATATTGTTATTATATTGTTAAGTTGGCTATGACTCATCCATTAAAAACAAAAAAGCAAGTTTATTTAATTTTATTTAATTTTCTCTAATAATGGCAGTGTATGAAAATTCTGAAAAATATAATTTATTGGTATGTTTAATAAAGTAAAAAATCAAAAAAATTCAATTTTGAACTACATGTTTAAAACCTCTTTATACGAATATAGACGTTTCAAAAGCTTAAATGATTGCCAATTAACGGAACAAAGTAATATATAGCGTGTTCCATGTAAGAAAATATATGTTTGCTTTATAACTAATAAAAGGTTAGGGCAAGTAAAAAATAATCTACCATAATATACCATACCATATAAATATAAATATAATATCTCAAAAGACCACGGTTAGGGTCCCAAAATCGATAGTTTATGATTTCACCGTGCATCTCAAAAACCAAGAGGTCCGCGATAATTTTGTTAACGCCATCTATAATTTTACACGGTGTCTAGTAAACAGGGATTCTCTATTTTTAAAAATAACTGAGATACCCCGAAAAAGTGTGCAAAATGGGACATGTACACTTGTGGGACATCACGGAACTGGGAATCTTACGCTCTTTCAAATAAAATCGAAAAATCGAATATGGCTTTAGCTAGAATGTGACACATCGTAAACAGGGGTGCCTGTTAAACTAAGCAAGATGATGGCACGTTTATATAGAAGCGGCAACACTGTGTGCTTGAGCGATAGGCCAGCTCCTCGTACACCACCCCGAATGATTCAAAATAATCGGTGCATTAGTGGCACATCCACTGAAATATTGAGACAACTCATACCAACCCTCCTACTTATTACTATATAAACTGAAAATAGGTTTTTTTGCCATTATTAGACCCAGTGAGTGATATATTAAAAACCGTATGCATAAATTCAGCCGTATTTATTGTACAACGTAACGGGGAGACATAACGATACAAAAGGCCATTATCGGCTTAGTCTGACAACACTAGATAACCAAAGTAAAAATATTTTAATTACAAATTTAAGCGTTTCAGGTACCGCCGCGTCGATGACATCTCATGGGAAGCAAAGTGACACTGGACGCAGATGGGTAAGTGTGCTCTTCTTCATTGACCGTATTCTGTAAGAGTGTCAAGTAGGGTCCACTTAAGATGCTCCTATACCTTATCTCAATAAATACGACACAGGAAAAAAAGTTAAATACAAAAAGTGTTTGACCCTAGTACAGTGTTTTTTATGTCATGACAGTAATCAAATTTATTTTTTCAAATGTAATAGTATAAATATTTTGAAAAATCTAAATTTTCGCTTGATTTTAGGTATTTTTTGTCAATACACGGCATACGACATTTTCAGCAGTTTTTGAGATAAGCGATGAGTCATGAGAGGTTTTTTTTGCGGAAAAACAGGTCATTGGAAAAATGTGTATTTATATTATTATTTGAAAATTAGAATTGGGAATTTTTATTATGAATCCATGGAAGTAGTTAATATTTAAATATGACATTTAGTTGTCACCATTTTTTTTAAAAGAAAAAATGACTTTTTACTAGTGAAGGAAATAAGAAATGGGGTCTGAGAAGTGTTAAATTATACGTGATCGAATAATGGGCCAAGTATTTTATGACTTAGTTCTGAATGGTGAGAGATTTTACATTCATTGGAGAAGTATGTTTTTGCATTAATTGGTAATCTGCTGGACAATATTAAAGAAGGAATTGTTTTTCAACACGACAGTGTGTCATATACCGTAGTGCCTGTTAGAAATTGTTTAAAGCAACGGTTTCCATTGGGGTTTGGTCGGCACCGGACCATGAAATGATACAGAACAAAATCCCAAAGCCAATAAACAAATTTTAAGAAATTGTTTTTTTTTTATTATTAATGGTCATGTGCGACCACTCTGTTTCGCCATAGATAGGACAAAACAATAAATATTGACCACTTCCATGGATCAAGCAAATAATGTAAATGTAAGAAGTGATATCCGCGCGCAACGCCCTCTAGAAATTATTCCCAAAATTATTCGCGAAAATGGATTTCTTATGTCAAAAACACGTTTTTATTTCGTTTCTTTGTTTTGGATGAGCGTTGAGCATTGAATTAAACTGCCCCTATTATTCTTAACTAAAGCAAAATTCAATCCGAAAATATCCGATTGTTTCCAAAACCCAACTCACGTGCTAAAGTGATGCTTTCCGCATGCTAGATCTTAGAGAAATGGGTAGAAAAACATAATAATAATTAAAATACGTGGCGTTGCCATGGCGCCATGATGATGCACGGCCAACTAAGTGACGCTTTTATTTTTGCTTAATTCTGCCTTAGTGTGAAAAGCAATTTAAAAAATATGACTTTGTCATATTATGATTTTCTGACATGCGTAGTATAAATATTTCTAAAATGAAAGGGGGAATTTTTATAATGGATTAGACAATTTTTACTACCTTGCTTTTACTTTTAAATCATACGAAATCAAACGGTTTTTGTCATATAATCACAACTGACGAGTGGAAGTAACAATGTTTTAAACGACCTGCTTTGTGTACTAACACAAGCTGTAAGTGCCGCGGTTAATATTAAGCTAACTGCAAAAAAAAAATAGATGCCTCCGGTAAGTGTCAGTGTCTGCTTTGTTGAAAGTTTACAACGCCATTACATGAATACTTAATTCATTTATTAGTTAACTACGCCATTGTATTAGAAAGTGGATTTTTTTTTGCAGTGACAAGGAAGAGATTGGTGATACTTATCGCTAAAAAGAGAACGGGCGAAACATTTTAATCCTGATGAAAGAACATGCCATAAGTAGGGAAGCTAAATCACAACTGGAGCTTCATCAAAAGCTGACAGAGCTAGTTAGTTAGTCTTTACTTCCAGGAAGTTATACATTGACTATGAACAGAACAAAGCTTATACGTTTTTATGGCTTGAAAGTGTGGCAGGTTTGCTTCGCTGTTTAAATAGTGGATTTAGCAACAAAAGATGGTCATTTTATCTGTTCTGATATTCTCGTGTTGTACAGGCGCTTTCTAATTGAATACAGATTAAGTTTCTTATCAGCGGACATAGCTTTATGCCCTGGATTTTGCGTTGATAGAAAAACCCTAAACAGTAACATATACCAGACGATCTTGTCAACCTATATAGGAGCACATAATTCTCCTGAAGAGTAAAAATAGACTGAAGCCAATGTTCTGAAGAAGGGTAAAACTGTGAAAAATTTGCTAAAGGCCTAATTACTCGGAGTTTATTCAGAAAGCATTTGAAAAGAGGACGAAAAGTCTTTGCTCTTTGTCCTATCTGAATAATCCACTGCATCTTTTCTAACAATCTGCTACAAGCATAGGTTAGAAGAAGAGAATATATTTAGTTTTAACATGAAATTTTCGACCACTGTATCATTTTTAGTTAATTTTGTTTGTGGTTAGCCTAATTTTTATGGTTAACAAGCTCTAAAATACATAAGCAATGATTTTTAACGCCATTTTGTTCCATTTTTTCATTTTCTAATTTTTATTTTCAGTTTTGTTTTGTTAGCAACATGAGTTTACGTTAGTATTAGTTTTCCGTTTGCCTTGTGTTTGGTGCTAGTAAACTATTAAAACGAATATTTTCATTTTTATTACATTATCTCAAAATTTTTTGTCACATTTTTTACTTCCACCGTACAATTGTATTGTCGATTTGACAAGATTTGAGAAAATTCGATATTATTTTTAGTTCTCTTTTTATAAAACATTAAACTCATTGTAAACAAAATAAAACAATACTTACTTTACTGTTTCTTCCATCTTTTTATAATTTTCTCCACGATAAGTTTTGCATAATTCACGATAGCGTAAAAGAGTTCGAATAATGCATTCATTTGGTATTGTTCCGCTGACAACAACTTAACTTTCCAACGATGTCGGCGATTTTCATACATATGGAATGGTCCTGACTAGTTAGCTATTCTGTGAACGCTGGTATGAATTATTAAATATTTCAAAACTGTCGCTTCACATTGATATATTACTGGGTGTTACAAGGCACCCGCGGCGAGTCACTGCTGTAACAACCACATGCAATAGAAATTTTTCAAAGAAACTTGCAAATTTGCAAATTTAGCAAACTTCTGGATTCCTCCTGCTTCCGTTGTTGTTGAATCCAAATACTCGTTAGGACATAGCTCAAATCAATAAGATCCTTCTGTCTCTACATCTTCAAATTTCTTCCGTCTTACCCCCATGCTAGTTCGATACCCCTCCAAACATGATTCCTAACAAAACGGAAAATCTTCGTTTCTTCTTCTCAAAATAACATTTCAAAATCAACCTTCCTTATCTACCAAACACTGGGTAAATGTATTATAGTACCAACTTTCTGACACGGAAAAATCAGTTGTTGCAATAGGTCCTTGTACCACGTATTGTCCCAAAAGAGGAAATCATTTCAAATGTCGAGTCGATTTGAAACCGCAAAAATCAGAACCTCCTTAAAGATCTAATATTCCAACGCCTGAACAGCTAAAGCAAAGGTTTTCATGAACACAAATGAAAGCTTCAAGTTATCCTTACACACAGATCCGCTGGAGGTCCTACTGAACATCCCACCAATACAGATCTATATACAAGGGGAAGCAAGATCCGCAGTATATAGATACATAACCAGCTTTACTTGGAGGTAAGGGCGGATAATGTTCTAGGGCTACCTAGGGCTAGTATTGATTCGTTAACCACTACAGGACTCAAATCCCTGCCAGAGAAGACTGGGAAAACGGGCCACCAATGAAGGCAGAAATAACCTGGTATGCTGATGGCTCAAAAACTCAAGAAGAAGTAGGAACCGGAATATATGAACCCAGAACGAAAAGGAAAATCTCTATTCCAATGGGTAAGCTAGCGATAGTGTTCCAAGCAGAGATCACTGTGCAAGAGAAATAAAAGCGAGGAAGATCCGTAACAAATCAATTGCAATTTACACCGATAGTCAAGCGGCTATAAAGGCCCTGCAATCTAATAAAACAACATCCAAGTTAATTCTGGACTGCCAGAAGGCATTAAACGAGATAGCAAGCCAGAACAAAGTTACTCTATCTTGGGTACCAGGGGACGGAGGGCATAAAAGTAATGAAGGCGCAGACGACGCAGCCCGCGAAGGGTCGTCAATGCGCCTAATTCCTAAGGGGCCCACTAAGCAATAATAGAAAAGCAGTAAGAACAATGGTAGGTATGTTGACGGGCCACTGCAGGCTTAAGAGGCATCTAAGCCTGATGGAAGTGGAAGAAAACACAGAATGTAGATTCTGCCAGGAAGAGGAGGAAACAGTCGCACACGTACTGTGCCACTGCGAAGGCCTATCGAGAGTGCGTTTCCATCTGCTGGGCGATACCAAACCAGAGGCAGAGAGCTATACGAGGGAGTCATTATCGAAGTTGTGGAGTCTGGTTAGAGAGACGAACCTGGAGCTATTTAGAGAGTCACCATATATCATCTGGGTCGCAGTGACGGACAGGCTGGCTGCTAGCTCTCCCAACTGTTAATCTAATCTAATCTACACTTAAAAAAGATCCTTTTTAATCTATAGAACGCAATCTTAAATCTGTTATTACTCTACAATTACTCATATTTACGGACTCCTTAAGATTGTCCCTTCGATCTGTTGTTAGCACCATATTATCTAGCAAAATATCTAGGTTTGTAATTTGTAAATAGTAATAGTAGTAATAGTATAGTAGCTTGTTGAAGTTTCTTTGAAAAAAAAGTTAATAAAAATGGAATTTTTAAGGGAAGTTTCTGTGGAAAACTATTACAAAGGCACATTTTTAGTGTACTTCCGGTGAAGATGTTCTATAAAAAACGCTCTTCGCTCTATCAATATTTTTTTTATTTAAATTGACTGAGAAAAAATGACACATCGAAATCTTTCAACATAACAAAAAATTTAAATTTACCTGCAAAATAAAGAGATATACAGTGTGTTTATTTTAAAATAAGAAAGCTGATTTTACTTCCGGTAAACTGAGAAGTGCTATTTAATTGTTTTGTATGTCAAAATGTGGCCATACTTTATTTATATAACAGTTTCAAATTTAACAGACATCAATAAATTTCTAATTATCTGTTTGACAACAAGCGATAAGTGATACTTATTTAATACGTGTTGAACTTGATGCTTGGCTGCCCCGTATACAATGAATGCGATTGTTACGTTCATTGAGGAATGTCTATTCAAGTTTTAAATGTAATGTCTGGTGAATTCTATTCAGCATAGGCGTGCCGTTGGGATATTATTTTCGTGTTAGTTGTTATTTGTCCTTGCAACATTTTCTTGCACAGTTTAAGCTTACGTGAGCAGCGATCAAGACTTACGCTAGCTTTCTCTCAATTACGAAGGAACGTTTCCGTTTCCAAAAAAACTAGGAGAAGAAGGAAGGAACACCCTGATCTATTATTACACAGAAAATATCTGAGTATGGAGGCGGTAGCTAAATTAATAATTACTCAGTACAAGTACAAGTGTGTCTGTCATTTTATTGTTGACTAAGCCATCACAAACCATAACCGCTATACTTTGGTTACGATGCCCACAGTATCTTCAATTTCCCACCGCCCGGCGTCAGGTCTCTTGAATTACACACAAGCTTGCACTAGATCTCTAACTTTTCATAATGCTATTGCATTTAACGATACTTTTAAAAACCAAAAATTGATCCTTGAGAAACTGCGGCGTTTCTCGGCACTGGCAACGTTGTCAAAATCTACCGACTTCGGCAAAATGTCTTTGTTTTAATAGGATGTTGAACGTGAACCACCCGGTATCGATGATACTTCCACGGCGATAACAACCAAAATTTGTTTATCCGTTCATTTCGACAAGCGACGATGCTCACGCTAGTTTGCTTTTGTGTTTTAGCGAGCGAAATTGTCGCAACCGACACTCCCATAATCGGAGTTTTGTCCCAGGAAACCTACATCATTTCCGGATTGTTTCCTAACGTCACGTACGACAGTTACATAGCGGCTTCCTACGTAAAATTTGTCGAAAGCGCAGGCGCGAGAGCGGTGCCCGTTTGGTAAGCGACAAGATACGCATACTTTATAGGTATAGTGCTTTCGCAAATAGGCGGTTTTCGCTTCACCTGAAGGGAGGTATTATGTGGCTCAAATTCAACGCTCATCATTGAGATTTCGGATTGAATAAAATGCCGTTCATGTTCATATCCGATGTTTTGTACACAAAATTCCATCAGCAGAATATTTATTTAACCATAATACTGCTCTGGACTATATTTTTAGTTCAGATGATAAAAAAAGAATACACTTGTGAAATTATTATCAGCAACTTTCATGAAATTAAACATAAGATCAAGAAAGTAGACAACATATCAAGTTACATAGGCAATAATTTAATCACGTATTCATAGAGATGATATTCTGCCTCGATGCATTTTCTTGCTTAGCTTAACAATATTTGTCCTAGTATTTGAGGGACGTGGGGTGTATTTTTAAGATATACCCAAAGGAAATAATCAAGAGGACTGAGATCTGGGCTCCTGGCGGGCTATCTCATAAAACTATTGTTTTCTATTAATTTATTAGGAAATACATGGTAAAGGAATTGGGTTACTTCCCTTCCATTGTGGGATCTCCTATTCCTAATCAAATTTAGATATCGTTAGTTAAGTTAAGGTCCAATAATTCTGTTGCTCCACATACCAATCTCATTGGATGAAGTTCTTCCTTTAACCCGTACCTGATGTTGATTGTTTCCATTGAATAATCCCCTAGTTGAGAAGCTGCATTCGCCCGTGAATATTATATTATTAAGTAAATCTACATTTTAATATATATTTTTTTACTAACTAGGCGCCTTTTTATGAATGTAAAGTATTTTGGATACGTTTTATGGGTATGTTGAGTTCATGAGCAAGTTTTCTACTTCATTTCTTGGGGTTATTGTTATTTTTAAATAGAAATATATTGTAAAAAAAATAAAAAATTCTTCATTAATAATCTGTTGCTATTCTTACAGTACACACTTTCTGCTTGGTTTATGAAAACTATCATATAGACACAAATCATTCGCCCATTTTGAAAGAAGAAAATACCATTTTGCTATTAACTAGAGTCAGAAAGTTATCTCTTTGAACACTTATGTTTATTGTTAATATGAGTGTCCATATGGTATGGCACAAATTGTTTATATAAACTGATTTGATGTCTACTTGTTTTGTAACCTATGTTTAATTTCATGTTAATAAAGTAACTTCCGCTGTTAGATGTCAATGAGTTAAATAAATATAAACTTTTCTGGGGATGGTTCTTTCTGTGTGAAACGTCGATATTTAGTGGTTTAAGAGTGACGAAAAGATTTAATTAAATTGAAAAAAAAATCAGGTCCTCATTTAAAAAAATGAAGTTGATGATGGTCGTCAGAACCAGAAGGAGTGCCCATGAAAATGTGGTTTTCAATTTAAGTTATCTTAAAAAATAAAGCCAGGAGACAACTTTTTTTTTTATTAAAAATAATATATATTTAAACCGAATAGTTTTTCCAATACTTAAATTTTTCTAAAACAGCACTAGTTTTGACATTTGCAAAAAAATTACGATAGCGTCATTATTTTTGAATTAGCGTTATTCGAAGAAGATATAAAAGATATATGCAATGGAGGCCATATTTTTATCACTTTCAATACATTCTGACCAACAACTTTTGTAGTAGTGAGCTAACATGTTTAAGCAAATTGGTGCACTTTTTTCCAGGATCGGCCAAGACGAAAGTTATTATCGCAGAGTTGTAGATTACACAAATGGGTGAGTACTGTTAGCCTATCATAAATATCCACGTTCTCAATATACAGGGCGTCCGCCCCATGGATGTTTTGTAGTAGTTTTTATATATGCCTCAGCTAAATGGCTTTTGTCTAGGCAATTGCTATCTCCCTGGCAGCTTCATTTCTGAAAAGGAATGTTATCCAGTGTTTCCTTACAATTTGATCGTTTGGTAAATAAAAAATTAAAACGTAAATTGAATGATACTACCTGGATAAGTGATTATTATATCAAAAATAACAAAGATATATATGCCAGTCTACAAAAAAAAAACAACCCAAACTTATACTAAATAGTTATTCACACAAGGGCACTAGGTGACAATCAGGAGTCAATGACATAGTTTACTTTCGAGCCAAATAAGGGTTGGGAAAATAGTCGGGGACTAATCAAGATTTCTTCTTTTGAAGTTTGCATGTAATATGTTTCTGTTTAATTTTTTTATTTATTTTGACCTAGAATTCCTTGTAATTCATAAAAATTTCCTGCAATGCCTTCAGACTTACCAAAAATATCCTGCACAAATATCGTTTCAATCCCCCACTTTCTGAAGCAATTATTTGTGTATTTTTTTATATCAACCGAAAGGCAAGCGTGATGACAAACGAAAACTTTCCCATATTGAGTTTTACAAGGATTTGTAATTGTCACGGGGTATTTCTGGTGCTCATAAAACTTCGAGCTCAATTGTTTTCTTATATTTTCTGTAATACTTGTACACTAATAAAACAGAAAAACATGATACACAATTCTTCGAAGCGTATCACAGAACGATAACAAAAAACAGAGAATTTAACCAAAGGTAATTAACCAACACAATTTACATGTGTTTTTGATACATTTTATAATGGATTGTCCGGGCTTCAAGCGGTGAGCTGCACACTAGCGCCATCTGTTTGCCTTACCACTAAACATTTTTTTAAACAATTGGGATACTCTACAAAGATCCTATTAGGTCTTCATATTTGTCGCGCTTTCGTGAAGAAGCAAAGTATTGAAACCACAAATTATACAAGTTTGTGAGCGGGGGTCCTATATGAACCACCTTTAAATCTTTTAAATTAACTTGTACCTAAGGCAACACTTACCGTATAGGCACATTTTTTCGCTTAGAGTTTTCATGATAAACACAACAAGTTTTCCACAAAAATACGGAAAATGTACCACAAACACCTAAAATGAAAACAACAATGGCACAGATTGTTAGTAATGTAAGTATTATAATGGGTGTTTTTTTTTTATTTAACATCTGTCAAGTTATTTATTCTCAGTTTGGTTTGGCAATTCATCATGAAGAGACTCACGCCTGAACAACGCTTGTAAATAGTGCAATTTTATTTCGAAAATAATGGTTCTGTGCGGAATACGTATCGCGCACTACGTCCATTTTATCGTCGACAAAATCGTCCATCAGAGCAGTTAATTCGATTAACCATGGAACGTTTTCGCACCAGGTTTACTCTTATTGATAACTCGCATCCCCAGAGACGCCGTACGGTGTGTACAGAAGAAGCTATTGCTGCTGTAGAGTGTAGCATTGAGGAAGACCCGAATGAGTCTATTCGCCATCGAGCACAAGAATCGGATCTGTGTCCACCCACTTTATGGAAGATTTTGTGGAAGCATCTTGGTTTACGTGCTTACAAAATCCAACTCGTGCAAGAATTGAAGCCAAACGATTATCAAGTAAGGCGTAATTCGTCGAATGGGCGCAAAACGAGATTGCCGTTGTTCCCGATTTTCATAAGCGAATTTTGTTTAGTGATGAAGCGCACTTCTGGTTGAATGGAGCGAAGCTAATCCTCAAGTGTATGTCGAAACACCTTTACATCCAGAAAAACTGACTGTTTGGTGTGCTTTATGGGCTGATGGTATCATTGGTCGGTACTTCTTCAAAAACGATGATGGCCAGAATGTTACAGTCAATGGTGATCGGTATAGAGCTATGATTACTAACTCTTTCATTCCTGAATTGAATAACCACGATGTCCAGGAGATGTGGTTTCAACAAGACCACAATCGATTTATTGAAAGACACGTTTGGTGACCGCCTAATTTCACGTTTTGGACCTGTGAATTGGCGTCCAAGATCTTGTGATTTAATACCGCTAAACTACTTTCTGTGGAGCTACGTAAAGTCATTTGGAAGACAACATTCGCCGTGGCGGTCATATGCCAGAAATCATATTTAAAACGTAATGCCACAAGATTTTCTTTCGGATAAATAAAATTCATGTCAATCGAATAATCCATCGTTGTTTTATTGCAACTTAAAGTTCTATACATTGAAAAAAAAACACCCACTATTAGCATTCCAGAGACTGATTTCACGTTCTTATTAAAATTGGTCAATTTTTTGTGGCAATGTGGCAACTCAGTCGTTTTAGGAGGTGACGCATGACGCTACGAAAATATCAGCCACCTGCGGCGCACTATATTATCTATGCGGTTCCCTCATAGAGGCGACTAAGCCCGTAGAAGATCGATTTTTACTTTCTTATTATTTCAGTCTATTGTTCCCGGGCGGCGGAACTTACTTCAACGAAACCGGAGGTTACGGCGAAGCCGCCACTTATCTTTATCGTTTCGCCATCGACTCGAATCGGAGTGGAAACTACTACCCGATTTGGGGAACTTGCCTGGGGATGCAAGTTCTGATGTATGCGAGTTTGAACGGCACCAAGGACGTCAGACTCGACTGTTCGCTAACCAACGTGGCCATTCCTTTAAACTTTAGCAAAGGTGCGCAAAATTGAATTTTTTGCTGTTATTTGTTGGCCATTGAGACCAAACCATGAGAGGTTGTGCGAGGCAAAATTGATTTCGAAGGAAATATTTAACTAGTAGGGTAAACTTAGGATGATTCAAATGAAAAATTGAAATGGATGAAGGAAGAACGAAGCCACGAGTATAGAAAACGGGATTCAAACAGCATTTATGTAAATAAATCTGAATTGAATTAACAAAATGAGACATTCAAATGTAATGCTTAACGATCAATTAGATTTAAATACCTCTCCTTTACTGAACTTAAATTCTCGCAACAACATTGGTCATTTTTCGGTATATATAGTAGCAGGTAGTTTGTAGATATTACATTTGATAAAGACACGGTGTTGTCGAAACAATTGTCATGTCATAATATATAATTTCGTGAAAATCTGAACTTTTAGTTCTTATTTATTTTGGTAAATGTAGGTAATGGGAATCACTTAAGCCAGAATGAAAAAAAAAGGAAAATATATTACTCAATTTATAAATTTTACTTGCCTAACTATCCATTGAGAGCAATTTTAATCACTTTGGTTTATAAATTAGGGTACAATAAAAGAAATGAAAAAAAAATACGTTTGATCACGATTGTCAACACCGGTTGGCAGTGATGATCAGCATGTGGGCAATGGTGATCAGCACATATCTCACACTACAGTCAGCATGAGCCCAGAGCCCACAAGAAGTGCAACGGTTTCATTGTTTCGTCCAAATTCACCACACACAAGACACAAGTTGTTTGCATCTTCTGCGTCGTCATTTTCGTCATCCTGACATAACTGTCATCGTCCTGCAGAATTTTCTTAACTTTCTCACGACTAACCTGCGGTGGCTTGCTTTTCTTTCCTGTTCTTTTCCCTTTTCCTTGCTTTTTCACAGCTTTTTAACTAGGGTGTACATGTTAAAATCGTTGCGTCATATTTTTTTCTTCCTTGTCTTGTCTCGACAACAGGCAAATGATTGAAATTTTGAACACTTAGCAGATCCTTAGATGTTGATGATACGGAATGCATAATCTTGAACAACAATTGGCTCGGATTGTAGGATTTCTGCTGCGTCATCGGAAAAAAACGAAGCAATTATTCTTTGTGAAAATTGTCTCTTCATGAATAAATCGCATTGTTTCCTTTATGCAGCTTTGAATGGACTAAAAAATGACACATCTAGTGACCGCATGCGATGGGATATACGGGGTGGAAGAGATAGCATATGGACATTGTTTTTCTTACAATACTCAAAGATTGCCAGAGAAATGTGGCTTGCATGACTATCCAAGACTAACAGGATTGGTTCTTGTGCAGAAGGTTTGGTATAGCCGGTGAAGTGCTTGAGTCATTGAAGGAAAAGTTCTTCCGTTGTCCGAGAATCGGGATCATTCTTTTTCTGGGAAAAATAAACATATTCAGAGGCATATTCACCTGCAGCACTCATAGCGCAACTACTTATGCACTCTACTCTCTTATGTCCCGTTGCAGATAATATTTTTCCAGGATCTTGGACGGTGAAGATGCCGGTTTCGTCACAATTATATATGTTTTCCAGTAAAAAATTGTATTTTCCCATTAGTTCTTCCAGCAGCTTGTAAAATCGTTGTACTTCAGTCTTGTCGAAGGCTGTAACCCTATTGATGCTGATAGCTTCTGGCTTCCGTACAGAAATATTATTTCTGGTGAAGAAGGAAAAACTATTTGTTATTTTTGGACTTACCTTCTTATTTATCCATTCTAAAAATCAGATGAAAGTGGCATAAAACTTTCAAACACATGCCACAGTCAACGGCAACGTTCGAGAATCGAGTAATGCTAGCGCGTAGTGAAGTTCTCGTCGGTTGGTTGCCTTTAGTTTGGGCTGATCACCATTGCCAACTGATTCCTATTGCCTGTATTATCCCAGCTAATGGGAGCCTTCTCCTCTATCTTATACTCTTGGGTACACGTAATATCCAGTAGTTTTATAAAAAGTGTTATTGAAATTCAATTAAATTTCAGATTACGAAAACAGCAGGATGTTTTCGAGGACGCCTGATGAAACAATCAACATCCTAAAGTCCAAAAACGTCACTTACAACCAGCACAGGTACTGTCTGACCAAAGCCTCGTTAAAGGAGAACGATTTGCTGGACGACTGGCAGATATTAGCGACCAATATCGATAGCAACGGTTTGGAGTTCATATCGGCGATGGAGCATAGAACTTACCCCCTTTACGGGGTTCAGTTTCACCCTGAGAAAAATCAGTTCGAGTTTAAGAAAAACAAGGGGTTTCCGCACTCCGAGCAGTCCGTCCGGGTGGCGCAGCATTTCGCAAATTTCTTCGTCGGAGAGTGCAGGAAAAACGCTAACCGGTTTCCCAACGATGACGTAGAAGTGCGCTCTTTGATTTACAATTTCAATCCGAAATATACGGGAATGAATAACAGTTACTACGAGCAGATTTATACCTTTGTTAAAAAAGATTTCGAACGGGTCCAATTGCTTTAACCGGCATTTGCTCGTTCAGTTTTGTCGGGGTTGTAAAAATATATGGCGCCCAATAGTTAAACAGAAATGGAAAAATAGTTTTCTTGAATAAATAAAAGTCAAAGAAACTTGCGCAGGCAACTGTAAAAAAGATTACCGACTGAAACTGAAATATCCCAACAAGTCAAGAAATTTTCGCAAATCTAGTTTTGCCTTACGTCGAGAAAAAACTTATTAGAAAAAAATAGACCCCCATTGCCCCCCATTAAATGAAACCGTTGGGTTTAAGTGCTTACTTAAGTGATTCTTTTTGTCTTTTTTTTGGAAATCTAGTATACAAGTAAATATGGTCAGAAATAATACATTTATATTATACAGGGTGAGCCATTTTAAAGGGCCAGCCTACTAATTTGGAAGACGTCCTTTTCAAAAATAATTTCTAAACTCCAGTTTTAAAAACCATTTTTTTTTAATGTCTGTATTTTATTTTAATAGAACATAAACATTAAAAAAATTCAAAATAGAGGAAAGTAGTAATAAATTCACCACAAAGTCAACAAATTAAAAATTGGAGTCAGTTTCTGAGTATTCGTCATCAGTTTCGGTAACTGATATGTCAGAAACAACAACAAAACTTCTTGCGGGAATACTTTAAAAAAATTTTTGTAAGGATGTAAGGATCAGAACTTAATAACATAACATTAAAAACATCCTCATTGGATTTCTGGTGCCTCCCGGGCTTCCCCCAATGGAGGTAAAAACGAAGAAATTATTTTGGGTCCATGGATGAGCAATTTATGAATTATGGGAGGCATATAGAACCGTGGATATTTTTCAACAAACAATATCGCAGGTTCAAGAGCAAATAAATTTTGCTACAATGATATTAGTACAATAGAACTAAGTTGCTAGTAAAGGGGCAAGGTGGAACAAATTTTTATAAAGCTTCCTTTTTAACATATAAAAGTCCACTGATGTACCTTTCGCCAAAAGGCCTCAAAATCTAACCGCTTTCGAAAATCGATGAAAGTATCTGCGCTCGTATAAAATTTTATGTCTCCGTAACGGTATTGGTACAAAAATGATCACCGCCGAAAAAATAATGTTTTTTTGTCTGTTTGTCCGTTCTCCGTTCTCGTCTTTTGGTTTTTCCTGAATAACTTTCGAACCATTGGAGCTACAAAGTTGAAATTTGTTGTTGAAAATCTATCTTGTAAATGGGATTCCCGACTTTGTATTGAGTATTGCTGATGTTATAGATACCGTTTCGGGTGATTGGAGGCTTCATCACTAAATAATATTATCCGAGAAATCCTTGAAGGGTAATCGGCAGGGTTAAAAGCTTGTGTAGGTAGGCTGTGGCCCGGATACAACTCGAAATTGTGTAAAGTTCTCCATATTTCTTAGAAAATGATATTTATTTTGAATTCAGTTACAAAAAAGCGCAACTTTTGGAACTCCTAAATTCATTTGCAATTAAAAAACAGAGCATTTGTGGAAACAAATAAAATCAAAGTTCTCAACAGGAAATGTTACTCCTACTTGAAGTCTCAGTGATAAAAAATGTAATTAATAGTATACCAATTGAAAGCGAAATTCAGTACAGCAGACTCTACATTTCTATACGAAACAACATAAACCCTATAATAACGACGACTCTGATAGTGACACAGAAGTATATTTACACATTTAGAATAAAAATATAATTATGTAATTTCTAGCTATGAATTTATTGTCTATATTTAATGTCATTGTTTTCTCTTGTGTGTGAAATTTAATACCCACCTAAATAAAAAAAAAATATTATTACCAACACCTTTGAGAGTGTTTACCTAATGTTCTGCCCTTTAATTCCTCAGGGACCTACGGGGCCTACGGCTAGTAACTTCCATAATTGCGCATAACTCATAACCATGCGTTGATAAATCAACAGATCGCATGGCATTAAAAAAGTTGGAAAAAAAATGTCAAAATTAAACATGCTCGTCTAAGCGCGTGAGGTGAAAACTTCTTGTGTCAGCCCCAAGCCCCAGCCCCATCTATCTGCCAGGTAGAAGTGATAACGTAACGAACAACAATATACTTGTGGTTGAGAATGAGAGTGGATGGAGCTCTCTCCCACCGCAGGTAACTTGTCTCATTAGGAACGAATACTAATTGGCATTCGTTGGTTCAATGCCTATGACAAATTCTATTTAATACAAGAGTGGATACAATAAAAGGTAATGCAAGTTAATGTTCCTGTAATAGCAGCAATTTGCGATTTATTTCGGATAACCGAACCCCTCTGAACAGGTATTTACACTGCGAAATTAAACAAAGAGATTATAATACCTTCACGCGTAGTAACACAAACGATGTTCTCACTTCGACAAACAAAAATAAGCCCTCGGTTTGCATCCATGCATATAGCGGTTAGTTATTTGAAATGATCACAGTTCAGTTGGAAAGGCCTGATTGAACTACAACATATATATAACATATTTAAACGCATTTTTAGGTTATGTTTCACCCAGACACGTAGAAACAGTTTCCCGAATAAGGTTCATTGCATTTTGCCACACATTTTGCTGTACGGCTAGGTTGGAAACGATTTCGCTCTCCCCTCTTTTCATTTTGTTGTATGTGAGTGTATCACTGCAATAAAATGGTGCCCAACTTTTATTAGATTTTGTGAATGCGTATTATAGTTTGATGAAACTTTTCTGTAGTACCTAGACACCTTTAGAACCATTTAATTTATGTATCATTTGAAAATAATAGAAACATTCAAATTATAGAAATTAGAATTTATTTTTTAAATGTTTTTTGATCAATCATGAGAAATAGCACTAATAAAATGAATCTTAAGTTTATTTTTAATAAAAAATATATACCTGTTTTGCATTTCCGTTCTCTAGAGCATAACATTTTTTTTCAAAATTAGTTAACAAGTTAATTGGCACCATAATTTCGTGCCTCGATTTTTTCAATTTCAGAAAAAAAATGTCCTTTTTGTATGCTTCGTCTTTAACTAGAAAATTAGCCTTGTTGCCGAGTTGTTACGAGAATATGAAAAACTTCTTTTTTAAACATTTATAATAATTTTCATAATATAATAATTTATTGTGGTCGTCTACCTCTTTGTGAAAATAAAAAATTTCATCCACATTTTTCATTGAATTATTTTTGGTTAGTTGCCATCTATAGTTGATGCCAAATAAATTTTTAACCACCATCAAGGTCAACGCATCATTTTAATTAATTAAAATATAAGCAATGTTTCAGAGCTCGATTTTATATTTATTTATTTATAAAAAATACAGATTTTATATAATTCGATTGTATTTGTTTATTTGTGAATCAACAAAAAACATATGAGTATTCCTTAATACTTCTAAATGTTAATAATTAGATATTATGACTACTTGCATATATGGAGAATATTTTTATTTACTGTCACTGAAATCACTAGAATCACTAAATAATGTATATGTAATGCTTGTGTATGTCTAATGGAACACACTTCAGGAGTGACAGTTTGCACTACATCTTGCCACATTTTGAATAAACTATCTTAAAAAATTTAAGTTATAATATTTATTTGTAATTCCCCAAATCAGTTCAATTGGGTTAAAAGTTCTATTTCCCCACGATGTTTGTCACGTTGCGTTTTCGACCAAAATACAAATGATGAACAAAAAACGGAACCACGCACCACTACTTGAAAAGTGGAACCAAAATTATTTTACTCATGAAATATCTATTTCCTAAATTTTCCGATAAGATTGTGTTTTAACACACAATTTTATTGAGACGGTAGGACCATACATTAACCCGTGTACGCTCGTGGCTGTTCCCTAGCATGCTAACAATTACATTATCATTTTTCCTTATCAATAAGGGCGTTAAGGTAGGTATTTATAGCGTTGCGGCATCATTACACTAAAATATAAATTTTTGTTTTAGGTACCTACCGAAAACATACGTAATGAATCTGAAGGAATCCTATATCTTTTAAAAGAAATCGGACAGTTCCTTGTTTCTTTTTAAAATGGGATTGCAGTTTGCCATATTGTCGGGATTTTGTGCATCTGCAGCTAGTGTGTTTGGTAAACTGAGTGGGTTGTCTTCATTTGAGGTAAATATTCTTCCAAATGCACTTATTATAGACTGGCGGATTCGCCATAAACGTGTTGCTTGATATAATTTTCGTCACTCCATATCAACTCTAACTCTTTTTCCAATTTTCCAATGAATAAAGACGGACATGTCTCTTTATCTTGCTCATTTATATAAACGAGAGAAATTTTTGTCTTTCCTAACATTGGAAAAACATATATTTGTGAAAATAATATAAAGCAAGTCTCTTTGCCGTTGGAATTGCCATGTATGGTAAAGAAAATCACTCGTCTCGGTCTAAATAAAATTTGCCGCACAAATAACCCAAACTGGAAGTTCACTGCTATCTATTGAGCGTTTTAGGAATTATTCTTCATGCGAATTATATTTTTTACGGCCATGATCGTTAGCAATGCCGGAGTTTGGACGCTTTTCGTCAAGGCTTTGCACCAATCCGATTCGTCTCTGATTGCCACTGTCGTCAGCTCCGCTTCTAACTACATAGTTTCTGTAAGTATACGGTAGCACTTAGGATAATTATTTCCTAACCTCTCTGCACCTCCTGTTGAACTTCTTCTTTCAAATCAAATAAAAATACAGTACTTCGTAGTAGCAAAAATAAAATTTGTACCTAAAAAAAGAGTAATTCTTGAGATAACGCCTCTATATAACATAACATTCTTATAGTAATAAAGATATAAGATTTTTGTATGTTTTGGTATCTATAGGGAGAAGTTTAAACATGGAGAACTGACGCTTGTAATTGGTAGATGTTTTTGGGTCATAAAAACCTGCGCCATTCGCAGAATTCTTTTTTAGTGCGCAGCTTCTTAATTTCCAAATTTTCGTACATGGAGCCTTTCTCGACAGCTTTAGTTTTCCCCGAAAACTCTTAAAACTGTGAGATTGATGGGATATTTTTTAATTTGGATGTAGAACTTCGAACATCCTGTACATCTTTTTAATAAAGAGTTTATCTGGCAAATATGACCTATTTTGTATTATCTTTTAAACGGTGACGACTTTGTCTTGTTTTAAACAAAGCAATGTGCGATTTAATACATTCCTAGGTAGTGCTGTCCATGTTTTTGTATTTTTTTCATCCGAGCTTATCTTTTGGAGGAGCTCAACTTTACTTTTGGGAATGCTGTGCACTGCCTTAAAAAACTTTGCACATTCATTAACTCCTTTGACGATGTTCTCTCACCCGATATTAGTCACTAATACTTCGCTAAGTTTTATTCATAATTTTTGAGCGACACTGTAGCTATCTTTTTATTTTTAGGATTGTCAGCCATTTTAAAATGCTAAACATGAAAATTATCACAGCAAAATGGTTCAAGAGAGAAAAAATAACCGTTTTGACTGGACATGGTCGATTTATTACGTTTTGCTTTAGACATTCCGCGTTTCCTCCTTATACAGCATTAGAAAATAATACTGTAAAATGTGATGTTATTCGATGTTTGGTTTTTGCCAATTGATGGCGCCAGTAACTCATTTTGGATCAAAATTGGACATTCCCTGTTTTCTCCTATCAACCTTCAGATGAGCATATCCCAGGTGACGAGTTTAAGGAAATGTTACTCTCCGAGTTTTTTTAACTTTCAACTAAATTCTGGTTTTTCCCTGTTGCTCGAAGCATACGTTTCCATTTCACTATGTACAGCGAAGACTATATATTGCAAAGAAAAATTTGAAGATTTGGATCGGGCAATGTTGCAGTGGTTCCAACGTCTTAAAAATCTACCACTCTCTGAACCTATCGTAAAACTAAAAGAAAAGTTTGCTGAACAGCTTGTATTATTATATTATTACCCGTAATGTCGACAGAAACGGAACCGTCGATTTACAAAACTAGCAGAAAAGTTTTCAGTTCAGTTTTAATCTTCTCCTGAAGATGCCAACTTGGTTGGCGAAACGCGCGTCGTGTACGTAAAATGGAGTTTCGGTTTGTGGTAAAACGCTTTAGTGTGGGTTAGTAAAGTGCCCAAGGTTCCATTCAAGAGTTTGAGAAAGGTACCCTGCTCATTTTTTACAAAATGACGCCAGATAAAAGACTTAAATTTCGAAGCGAACAGTGTGTGGGTGGAAAACTTTCTAGGGAACGTATAAAAGTGTTAGTAGCTGCCAAAATGAATGGGAGACAAAAAAGAAAGGTAGTCCACTAATATCCTATATGCAGTCAACTTTATTAGTAAAGCTTGGAAAGAGGACTTGGAAAATGATCAGCCACTAAACAGTTTCAAACAACAATTACGTTTACAAGTGAGGAGGTGCAAGATTTTATGTTGATAGATCAGGATTTGCCTACAGCAGCAGACTTGACAGAGGAAGCCATATTACAACGAGCAAGAAACGGTGAGGAAGAGCACCAAGAGGAAGAAGAAGATGAAGGAGTTGATCTGAGACCACCACCAACCATTCAACAAGCCCTATATTCAGTTAAGTTGCTAGAGAATTAATCGAATAAATGGTGAAAATGCAAGTCCAAGTACGAGATGCGTATTGGCATACTAAAAAAAATCAAAAGAAAATGACCGATTATTTGAAATATTAAATGTAGTTCTTTAATATTTATATAAAATGTTCCTAAGTAGAGGTTAAAATGTGTATATAAAATATTTAAATATTACAGGACACATATGCGTATTGTTACTTTTCAAGTGCCTATAACTGTTTATAACAAAAAAAAAGCAGTCCCTTCAATTTCGCTATATAGAGTTTCAACTTACCTCAATGAAATGTTTCAAAACTCTTTTTACACTAGAAAAAAAGACACACACAGACACACATATCACTCTCATTCAGATCTAAGGAATCTTAAAATCACCCGCTATACAATATTCTTCTTTGTCAAAGACGGCTTAAGAAACCTAGTCTGCTAGACGCTGTGCATCTATTGCCACCTGTAGGAAACAGAAATCTGACATGTCTGCGTTTATGTTGATTTCAATTTGGGTTCAATTTTAACTCGAGTTCATTTTCTCTGCGTACAACTGAGCGACAGTCTCCAGAGCGTCAAAGATCTACGGTTAAAGAAAATTTCGTTTATAATTCGCTATTTCGTTGTATGGACAACTTAAATAATATTTTGCAACAACTTGATGAACGTGTTGCGTACTGCAGTTTTCCCACGATCATTAGTTTTTTGGTGTACTGTTGCAAAACAGCACAAGTGACTTATGTCTTGACCTGCTAAACGTCAAAATACCATCTCAAAACAAAAAATGGCTGCCGAACCCGTGACTGATGTACCGGACATGTCCGAAGTAGTTCGAAGAATAACGAAGATTAAAATTATGCTAGACAGCTGAGCTAATATTCTGTGGGCTGCGTAGCTTATAGGCAAAGTAATTCATTGCAGGATAATTGTTACTCCAGCAGGAACGCAACAAATATGGCCATAGATCAACACTAAGTGTGTCCCACATAAGTTACGTAATTTGTTTATTCTTATTTGTATTTTAATTGTTTTGGGCTCCGTTTGCAAATATGACCCTCACAGATTGTTTTTTGAATTTCTTTCTTTCTTCATAAAGAATCTATTGAAAGTTTTATGTGAATGCAACAAGAATACATATTTATGTTTCAGGCACTCGTTGGGTTTCTAATATTTAACGAGGTAACATCCCTATTTTGGTGGACTGGGATGCTGTTTATTATTATCGGTTTAGCGTTGATACTTTCCGATCAGACGGAAAATAAAGAAGAAATAAAGTCAAGTTAATAATACGCTGTAAATATTTATTTATATAATATATATAATATTTTTTTTACTTTTCGTTATAATTGGTTTCACTGGCTTCTTCCGCATTTCTTCTGTAGTAGTAAATTCTCCATAATTTAGAAAACGAATATGTGCCTCCGGTAATATTTGAGTAAATTGCATTTGCCTTATTTGTACGAACACGTGCCCCACTTTGGCATTTCCACTCTTCAATTGGGCCTCTTTGGAGTGGGGAGTACATAAAAATTATTGACTAAAATTTTGACGCTGATTTGTCGTCATGTCGTGTTTTATATCAATAAAACGGTAAAAATCTCACAAATATTGTTATTCACTATAAACACATTAAAAAAAAAAAAAACCTTTTACTGCTTTTATGGAAGGTAGAGAAGCGTATTTATTGAAGACGCGGGTACCTCAAGCAACGTTGCCAATCCAAGTATCTGAATCTCCGCCGTGACAGCTGCATCTTCCCTGAAGAAAATTTTGATTTAGATAGACCTTAATTTTAAAAATTTGAATAGATCTGTGCAATGAATTAATTAATAATCAAGTAACTAACATATTTGGAATACAATTTTTATGTTTCTAAAACCATTGCACTTGGATATACTTTGAACCAAATAAAGTTTTTTCCATGGTGACTCTCTTTCAAAGGTAACTTTTGTCATAAAGAGGACCCTAAGAACTCAGCATTTTATTATATTTCATTTAATTAGGTAGTTTTGCTGTGCGAGAGCAATTTAGAGGTTACTGCAGTTAATAAGAGATCATATTTTATATAAAATTTTTACAAATTTTACTCCCTTACCAGAAATCTATTTCATTCTAGACGAAAAAACAATTGAATAGGTACTTTTGAGTTGGAAAAATCTGATTAATTCGAATGGCACGCCATATTTTAAATTTAAAAATACACAACTCTGACGATAATTTTGATGTTTTACATAATCATTCAAAAAGCAAAAAACTAAATTTGTTGGAAGCAATGGAGATTAACAAAATGAGATATTCGAATTTATTACTTCATGGATTTAAATGCGTCTCCGTTGCTAAATTTAAATTTATAACCCTATACCAGTAATTAAAAATATATTACTACTAGTTTTTATATATGTGTCGGAATATAGTGATATTTTGTATTTGACAAATGCACGGTGTGAAAATCTGTATATTTTTTGTTCTAATTTAATTTGCGTGATTTTTCAACACCATTTGTTTTATTTCTCCAACGCTTTCATCAGTTGTTCGTCATCGGCGTCTTCTCGGCCATCTTGGAACAACTTTTTGCCCGAAGTAGATTCACCATATGCTGTTGTCAACATTTCAAGTGTTTCAAGCACTGTATTCCATTATTTACACAAAATGTTTTTTGTTCCATTTTTTGTGACAGCAGAAAATCGCCCAGAACACGTCTAACGTTTTTGTGTCACAAAAAAAAAAGTGTAAAGATCCAATGTACGTATCCCGCAAACGTCACCTTATTTTTTGAACACACCACGTATACTTTGAGACACACTATACCTGTTCCACAAAATTAGTGCCAGCTTTTCGTCAGGTCTCAAAAACGCCAAAACTTTGAGATCGGTATTCGTCGTGACATCTACTCGAACAGAACCGGGAATGACGAATTTTGAAAAGTGACCGAACCCGTAGAACATCGGCTGCTTGTAAAACTCTCCGGCAGTGGCGTTCGCGATGATGGGGGCGTCTACGTTATTGTCCACCCAGTTCGGACCACCTTCGGTGTCTAAAACCAAGTTCCAATCGATCCAACCGACGACGTCGTTTTCTAGATTCTGCAACGGCCATTATTAGCGATTTGTTTTCCATGAACAGAAGCGAAATTGATCGAAATTCAACTCAAAAACATACGTCCTAAAAGTCTTAACTTTTGAGATACAGGATGCTAAAATTTTCAAAAATAAAATATATTTGTTTAATATCTGTAATACCACTTTAGATATTTTAATAAAATTTGGCACATTTGCATTTATCTTGATAACGTTTTAATTGGCTTTAACTTTTTTGTTTTTGGAGATATCAAGGTAAACCAAAAAACAGTATGTAGGATTAATAGCCAACTTTTTTTCCAAGTGACGTATAAAACAAAACACTATCAATTTTTAGAAACATAAGCCTACATGATATTTTTTAAATGGAACGCCCTGTATATTATATATGTGTTTGAGAGAATATCTTATTGCCATTATAATGATGTAACACAATTTATATTTTAGTCCATTCGTTTTTGACAAATCGGCAAAAATATGACATTTTTACATAATTTCAAAGAGTGCCCTGAAAAATTGTTTATGTTTGACATATTAGTAAGCAACGTTGAAGGTTGAATTATGGTCCAAGTCATTCTATTAGAGCGCTGAGCTCCTTCAAAACAGATATTTCCACGACTTACAAGGAATTTTGCAGAAAACGGTAACGTACTAAATGCTAAAAAGGTATGCCGAGATAATAATGTTTTCAACGAAGGAAATAAGGCAAATATATTAGGATTCTATGAAGCACATCCACTTTCCTCTATTACTAGAGTATTTGAAGAGTTTAAATATAAATATAATGCATTTAAATTTCGTAAAACTCAAAAACTAAGCGCAGGACAATATCAATATTATTTGGATTTTTTAAATAGGGTAATTCGAAGATAGATGGCCCAGGTTTTGAAATTTCACGTTAATATATTTGTGAATCAAATTATAACTGCAGAGTTAGAAATGCGTATAAAATATATAAAATCAATATAAAAATAAATGTTTCAATTCTTGAAAAAAATAAAAACAGTTTACAAAAACCATCTCTCCCACAGTGCTGAGGTGAGATGGCGCAACAAAAAAAAAAGTTTTTTGGCCAAAATTTCACTTTGTTTTACACATCATAAAACCGCATTCATCGCAAAAGTTAACAAACTTGGAACAGGAATCATGAAACCACTTGGAGCAACGTAAGCATTGAACCCAGTCGTCAGATTTTGTGGTTTGGGAATACTCCTCGCTACGACCAGCGCATCTGAAGAATCATCGAATATTGGTGCTTCTAAATCAAATCGTCGTCTGAAGATGAGCTTTGCGTAGTTTTCTTAGTTTTCATTTTAGTAATTTTTAATTTCTTAATAACTGGTTCCATTTTACTAATGTTGTTTCCTTTCTGTGTTATCAGTTTTTTTCTTTTTCCTGTTGTCTCTGTAGTTAAAATTTCTGCCAGCTGTTTGCCCCTTTGTCGAACAGAATTAACTTCAGCAGAAACAACTGGAACAGGCGAGATGATATCCAGTAAAGCGTACCAGGGGTAGTTTTATTGGTTCTTGCAGGAGGTTTATTTTGATTTTCTGGTACAAGTGCATCTGCAGTCTGCCAACTGCAGCAGGGCTGTTAATTATCATCAGCTAAACCTTCAGGATAACTTTGAGAACCACCATTAAGATTCTGTTCATTTTGTACTGGATGAGGGATAGGATCAACTACGTTATTATTTTCAGTCAAATAGGCTTCATCTGGGATTGCAGAAGGATGAAAAGGCACAATTTCAGTAGGCTTAAGTGCTGAAGTCCCATTATTTACAGGCGCAGACTTATTTAGCTGCAGACCAGTCTCATCCATATTAAAAATAAGTCCAGGTTTTTGCATAAGATTGTTTTCGGTGAGAGTATTTTCTAACAGCTGGAAATAAACCTGTACGTCTTTTTTGTTCATACCCAAGGATCAATTAATGGAGACCCCTTCTGCTTTTCTCACTGATAGCTCTGGATATTTCTGAAGAAATAACTTAAGCCACGGAAAACCAGCTAGTCTCGATTCCTTCCCAGCTGTTCGGCCAATTTAAAAGCCATGCTTCGCACGTCGAATCGTGTAGGAGAAAATCCGTTTTTTTGAAGTTTTAGGATGTGTGTAACCAACTTTTCTTCAGCAGCGTCGCCTAATGTTGACGAGGGTCCAAGAGGGCCTTTATTCACATAATTTTTCGCTTTTCTTCTTCGTAGAGTAGTGGCCGGTACTCCAAAATTTCTCGAAGCCTTATTAACTCCCATTCTTTTTTCATTAACGGCTTGAATGACTTCAGTTAACTGTTGTTCAGTCCAATTAGCCCTGGAGCAACTTCCGGTGTGCTTGTAATTGGTCGGCATACTCGAAAAGAGAAGAAATATTACTGAGCCATCTCAACTCAAAATAAGTGAACATCTATCCCCGTCGTGGGAGGGGAGATGGCGTTATATCAAAACGTAGATGTTTTTACTTACCTAAGACGATAACTTGCCTAAAATTATTGTTAAAATCAAGGTCAATCAGCACTAAGCAGGAATTCCAAATAATATTTTCGTCCCAACCGAATCACAAAAAAATAATAGCAAAATACGGGTATAACCGGTAGACACACACAGTTCGTACATCATGGCGTCTGGACTCTAGCGATTGCGCTGTAAAATCATTGCGCCATCTCACCTTCTGCGCCATCTATCCTCGAACTACCCTATGCATAATCAGAATAATAATTTTTTGAAAAACATTTTATGGACTGATGTAAGGTCGTTCACCACAAGAAATGGTTGCAAAATACGCGACATTGGTCTTTAAATAATCCTAGATAATATGAATATATAGAAGATCGACCCCTAAATATATTATTGGTTATTGGCGGCAGACAATGTTGTGCAAGTTAAACATTTTCTTAGTATTGAATATCCCAGGGGTATTTAGAATAGTTAATGAATTTTTTACTTTAGCGTGTTTTGTCATTTTTCGTGTTTTGGTTCTGCTTTAATTTGTAAATAATTTTTGTTCTTGCGGTCAGTCACGGCACTATTTGATATTATATAAAATTTTCCTATTTTTGCCGATTTGTCAAAAATATAAAATATAAAGTGTGTCACATCATTTTAATAGGAATAACAGGGTGTTCTATTTACAAAAATATGATGTAGGCTTTTATACGTCACTTGGAAAAAAATTTAGCTACTAACCCTACATTTTGTTTTTTTTGTTTACCTGGATATCTCTATAAACAAAAAACTTACAGCCAATCAAAATGTTATCATGATAAATGGAACGCACGGTACTAGTTTCATTACTTTCTTAAAGGAAATTTATGGCGTACCGCTCTGATCGTCTATGAAGAAATAATATTTTGGTTAATTAGCTCGTCACAATACTGGTTAAATCGAGATTTTTTTTTGTGAAAAATAAAATATCTAAAACATAATATCTACTTTTTAGTTACCAATTAACGTTCTTCGGCAAAAAATAGAAGACTGTTTTTTCACTTTTACAATTTTAATGAAATAACAAAACATGATAATAATAATAAAGATTTCAAAACACACCTCTGAGTTTAGGTACTTCGTATTCGTACTTTGATGTTTTGAAGTGTCAGAGATTAGAGACTGTAAGAATAATTTTTATTTTAAGAAAAATCAGTGGTGTAACATCCGTCAAAACGGACGTGTGAAATTCCGTGCGCCTGCCACTGGTGTGTACACTAAATAATTCCTCTTGATATATAGTACATGTGTGCCAAATTTAATTAAGAAATCTAAATATATAATTATAACTACAATACTGAACCATCTAGCAAAAAATAAAAAAAAAACTTCGAAAGTAAGGAATAAATTATTAGAACAGTAGTTTTCAAGAGAGATTTAAAGATATTTCGAATGTATGGTACTCTCCCAGGAATTCAGATATGAAAATAGAAAACTGTTAAAGAAGTGAGCATAAAGAATTGGACGAAATAAAGACTTCTAAAATGAAAATTACATTATTTTGGAAATAAAAGTCATAAAATAAAGGAATATATATGAAGCAAAAATTATTCGGGATACTGGAGTCCACAACACTCTTATACTGTACAGTTAGTAAGTAATTTGGATATTTTGTAGTTTCAAATTTTGATGCTGTTTTTATGTATCCACCATATAACTGCCCCGATTCTATTTTGTCTTAGAAAATTATTTCGCGACGACAAAACTGCATCTGAGATTGCATATATTCTTTACAGATTTTGACAAACTTACTTCGAAAATATCTTTTATATAAGCGACTCCTCGATCCCAACTTCCTATTTGCACCGCTGGTTCCAATCCTTGGGCATGAAGAAATCCTGAAGATAACATAATACATGAAGTCTTCTGCTGCATTTTTGACCATGACCATGGATAATAATGGACTTACCGTTGCATGCTTCGGTGGAGAGTTTGAATAGGTCTTTTTTAGAGGTAGATGCCAAACTCAACGCAATAGGTGGTATAACGGTATCCGAATACCAGTGAATTCCGACACCATCCAAATAACCGACAACGTCATCGTTAGATAAGGTGAACTGATAATTGGACAAATATTTTAAGTTGCTATGCGAAGTTACAAATGTTACGAAAGCACTTAAGACTAAACAATACAATATACGTTTTCAAAAAAAAAAAAATCAGAATTTCTAAGAAACAAGTCAGAAATTTTAACTGGAGTCAGCATTTCTAAGGAATATGTCAGAATTCCTGACTTAAATCGAAATACACTTTTAAATGTAAAACTGTTCTTATCGTAAATAAGGAATTTAATTATTGAATAACCAGAAAGCGATAAAAATGGAATGTTTAAAATTCCAAATTTCAAAGAAATATTTTAGTCGTAAATGAGCGCATAAGAAATTCTACACAATTTTTATATTGTATTTAAATTAATCTAGCTCAATATATTTTCAATAAAAAAAAATACATCACCTTTTGTAACAAAAAGACAACAAGGTAGGCAAACACACAGAACACGTAAAAACTGGGTATGTATAAAACAATATAAAACAGACAATAATCTAATTTAGTTATTGTTTAAGTTCTTTAAATTTGATTTTAATTAAAAATTACCAAAAGACTTATTGCCCAGGCCAAACGCTTATTAAAGATCAAAACATGGCACATAAAAACAAGTACACAGTGTTAAAACTGTCTAAAAATTAAATCGAACAAATAAATAGAAAGGCCTCAATAACAATAATAATACGTTTATAAAATTTTTTATTATTTATTATTATTATTATTATTATTATTATATTATAGTTATTTTTTACTAATATTTGAAAACAAAAACTTCGCTAAAATCTCTGACTGCCGCGTCTAACACGTAAGTTTTTGTAAATCATTGATTACCAGATTAAAGAATAGTAGTGTAATCCTAGCCTCATCATGGGCAATGATTTTCAGATCCGAATAGCTCGAGTTCCTGACCCTTGGACCTAGATTGGCGGATATCCACTTGTTCTGAAAAGAAGTTTTTCTTTAATCAAGGGTTCTCGCAGAATCAACTAAAAAGGTGTATTCGATAATTCCCATAATGATTTGAGAAATGAAATATTTTCTTGTAATAATAATATGCCGCCCATCCCAAAGGTCAGTGATGAAATTCAGCCAGGAGTCAGAGGTCATTTCTAATAAGTAAATATTTGGTAATATTGTAGTATGCATCTTCTAGGATAAATTGCTGAAATATGGTTGGTTGTTACTTTCTAGTTCTTCTTTTTTATTTTTTTAGCAAGTATATTTCCATTTGATATTTCATTATTTGAGTTTCAATTTTTGTCCAAATCAGATACAGAAAAAAAGTGTTAAAGTTTGACAAAAATTTTATTTATTTTTGTTTTGATTTTCTGTACATGGAAAACGAAACAAGTATAGATCTCCTGAAAAATCTCTTTGTATTGAATTGTGAACCATCTTCTATGAAAAGTAACACAGTCGATAATTTGAATCTCTTAAAAGTGGACTTGAAAGGCAAATACCTCGTGCATCTGTTTAAAAGAGTCAAAATCTTTGTAACAGATGCAATTTTGAAACCGTTTTTTGCCTCATCACTTTGTTAGGGGGATTTGACATCTAGAAAATAAAGAACGCAATATTTCCCAAAATAGTAAAAGTAAATTCACAATTTATGTCTATACCCAATGATGGAAAAAGGTCTATTTGAAGAAGAGAGAAAAGAAACAATCTTGTCTTCCTCCACACCGATTCACTTCGTTTTGAATATTTTTAACTTACCATTTGATTTGGTAGAAATCCCAGGTTATTGATGTTGATTCCGATTATGCCATTGATAGGTTCGTTTTGCGTAGTCACTCCCCAAAAGGATATGTTCTCCTGTTTGTAACTGTCGAAAAATTTGATGTAATATTCGGCCCACAATCCGTAATATTCATCCTTTAGCTGCCCGAAGCGTGTGTAACTAAAAGGACATTTAAAAATGAAACATACAATGAAAAAAGATTGTAGAATTTTCCATTTTTTTTTAAATTTATTTTTTGCCTATTTGTGAAATGTAAAAAAATATAAAGAATAGTTATTTATAATTTGTATATTAATTTATACGCGACCAACAGACATACATTCCTGTAACAGATAATAATAACATAAAGGAAAGTAAACATTAGAAAGACAACTATTAAAACAATCATTTGGAAGTGAAAAAAAAAAACAAAACTCGTAGACAAACAAGTCAGTAATCTAGATCTAAATTTTTTGAGTTTTCTTATATACTTTTTAAATGAGTTAGCGGAATTAAATTCAAAAATGGTAAATATAAAAATGATTCGTTCAAAATATTGTTTCTCTTTAATTTTCAAATTTTATTTTTCGAAATGTCTAATGTTATTTTGGGCGATATTTAAATAATTATTGTTATATATGTTGACGACTTTTGTGTTGTTTGGATGTTATTAACTTCTCCACATATAAATATTACAATCATCCAACCTTGAATATCGTCCCATCAACGAATCAAATGAAACTTGTTAATATATTCCCAGTATTCCGAAAGCAATGTAGGGCGTTTAAAAAAAATTGATATAAAAGTAGGTCCGGAAATGTTGGTATTCAATAATTTTTGTCGGATGTACTTGAAAAAAACTTTTATAATGGTAAAGGGGTGGTTTTGAATTAACTAGATAAAAATAAGGGATCCAAACAAATAGTATTGCACGCCCCTCACTTTTATTGTAATTTTGTCATTTGCGTATAAATCTAATCGATCTGCGTTTTAATTACGATACGATATTTTTTCTCTGGCCTGAGTTTGATGAAATTGGATAAATATAAAATAAATAAATACCTGTCTGTAGTTTTCATCCACAAAGGAGCCGACCAAGCGGTTGCGAACAGTTTGAACGGATCAGTTCCCTTTAGGTCAATGGCCTTTTTGATGTACGGAATCTTAAAAAGGCAAACTTCATTTGTTTGCAGAACTATGACTATGATGAACGTATAAAAAAAATACATAATAAAGAAAAACATAACAGTTTGTTATAATTTTTTACAAACAAAGAGGAATTATTTAACCACAAGGGTTTTACAGTATTAAATCAATAGAGATTGAGCTTAAAACGCTTTGATGATCATACAATCGTTCTTACGCAACTTCACTGATCATTAGTGAAAACCTCCCCACTAATTATTGACATTCAATTAGAAAACACCCTGTAGAGTTAAATTTACATATGGAATATGGATTTTTGGTTAGTGTGCTAGTGTGAGAACATTGTACTAGTGATGTAGATATAGTAGTAGTTGAAAAGTATTCCGCCGGAGGTTCCAGTTTTTGCACATCCCCTGGCGATTTGATGTAAACCAAATTAGATACCGAGGTCCCTTTAATTAGTGATTTGATTCTAAAACGTATTGAGCCGATGAGATAAGATAAGAAAACTTCAATTGAGATGTTTGTGGTTTTTTTTCTCACCTGATTACGAAAATCTCGGCCGCCGGCTATATAAATCAGATTAAATTTGAACACGAGTTTTGAACAAAGAAGTAAAATTGACAAAATAAATAAAAACTAAAAGTTCAGATTTTCACGAAATTATATATTTTCACACGACAATTGTTTCGACAATACCGTGTCTTTATCATTTGATATAATTTCGTGAAAATCTGAGCTTTTAGTTCTTATTTATTTTGTTAAATGGATTTTCATCAAGTAAAAGCCACCTCACTTCAAGTAAAATTGAGTTTATTAGAGAGGATTTATATTGAAGATCAAGCAATATAAGTATTCTTTATATACTATGATGCAATATTGTGGCAACGTAGCATTTTTTTGGCACTTTTATATTTAAAATGACTTTATCTATTTACATATTTTCAGTATTTCTCCTGAGTAGATTGTTAATACTGTTTACTGACTGATTCCCATATTGGTGATAGCTGAAACACTGAGTAGGGATTAAGATTTTCGGTTGCTTTTTTTAAAATTTAACAACGGAGACGCATTTAAATCCAATTGGTCATTAAGTAATAAATTCGATTATCTCATTTTGCTGATCTCCATAGCTTACAACAAATTTGGTTAGTAGTAGTTAGTAGAAAAAAACTAAATTTATTGGAACATCTGAACATTTTTTGTTCTAATTTAATTTGTGTTAAATGGATTTTCATCAAGTAAAAGCCACCTCAGTTAGATATTTAGTCATGTGAGATTTTGATGAGTAGTAAACTGTCATTACGACTTATCCAGAAGATTTGAAAATATTATTACAGTAGCCTATAGAAGTTTCTTTGAAAATCACTTGATTTGTTCGGCAATATGGAACCAAATTTTACAAATTTAAATAACAACTTATTATAAAACGGAAGTCGTGGATAAGATGATAACAGACTAAGAATCCGCGCTAATCTGTGTCAAAGATTCGAATTACTATAGGAACGACTTATGTGGCTATACATCCTCAAAAATAATAGGTGTATATGCGTATAACTTTTGTAAGTAATCCTTAAAAAGGAGAGATCTTTCTTTGTAATAGTTCTTGCAGTTTTTGAAAGAACTGCTAGTAGCAATGTGGATTTGCATTCGCATTACCACCAACAGAGTACCTTCAATGACTTAACATTGTGTTGGTAGTTCGCATCCTTTTCTGAATGGTATAATTAGATTTCGACAAGAAACTCGCAGTTTTATAGTAGTCCTTTACACGAACGTACCTTATATTTGATGTCCTCCTCTTGCAAAGCAAACGATTCCAGGGTTTCATCTTGAGTATCGCAGTAAGTATATCCTCTAGTTGAGAAGTCAGTACCGCCGATAGGCACTCGGCCCATACTATACTGGACACCATCTTTCCCGAAATAGCTCTCTAATAGTTTATCCTGAGCGTCAGCCGGAAGCAAGGCGATATTTATCCCTGCGGCATCTGTGAAAGCACCTCCAAAACCGATGATTTCCTGGTACGTGGTGTCGAGGTCCGAAATAGTTACGGTATTAGCGGTTGTCGTCGCTTCCACAAACTTTCCGGTGCTCGAATAGAACCCAAGCTTATCTTTGCTGGTCGTATATAACTGGTATTCCCCCGAAGATAGGCTTAGCACCTCGGGAACCGTATCGCAATAGGTAGAGTTACATACGCACACGCTACCATCCTCCACAGATCTAAGGTCACACTCATTAGCGGCCTCGACCGCATAGAGTGCGGAGATTAGCAACAAAATTTCGCGGATGCGCATTGTCGAACTACACCGTAGCGTTTCTGCAAACAGGATGGCAAAGGTGCTTAAAAAATGTGCGATTAAGTACCTCCCAGTCGCACTGTGATACTATTATCTCCGGTTATTCATTGCGCGTGTGAATAAGCGCGTATTCGAAATCTCGGAGGATATTGAAGTCGAATGAAAACACATATCTTTTGCGTTAACATTACTTTGCTAGGATGTTTGATGATGTTGGACACGACACAGCTTCGCTTCCCCTAATCACTTCACTGGATATAGTATTTTTTTAATTAATTCACTTATAATTATAATAATATACGATTTACTTTAAAAAAGTGGTTTGACATAAATGAATGTTTATTAGATGTTTTGGTTTTAATGTGGCGCTTAATATGTCACTTAAAAAATAAGCGACTTCTTGAGCAGTTGGTTAAACAGTTTGGCACTTTCATTTAGTACTGTACTGTATCTATTTATGAAACTGAATCGTATAACAATAAGCACTTTCTGGTATAACCTTGAGTTCTTCCAGCGATTTTTTCTTTATCTCTTCAGTGGTTCCAAACCTTCCAAATCTTGGAACGGCTTGTACCACCTATAAACATTTTTTTCTTTGCTCAAAGTAGATTCACCATATGCCGCTCACCATTTTTTGCACATAATTTATGCAAATTCTTTGTTTAATTTTCGCTTCCGTCTCACAAAACAAAGTAAACATCCAATCTAGCTGAAACTGTGAACATATGTTAGGGGGACGTGTACCAACATAACAAAAAAATTATCAAAAAAAGATCGAATGTACGTAGCGCACCAATTTCAAAAATCACCTTATTTATTGATCACACGTTGATTTGTTAGTATATGACTTAAAGGGAGATCGAATATTAGATATTAGAATATTAGACATCTTGATCGGTGCATAATCGAGTGAGGAATGCGTACTATGCAGTGTTGCATACTATAATTTTTCTACGACCGTTAGTTTTCACTGACATGACCATCAGAATTGACAAACGTCAAAATTCAACGCGTGGTAAATATCTCCGAAAAATTCCGGAAATGTCCGAAGTGGCTCGAATCCCTGGGAAACGAAGCTGACGTGGTAAAGTGACGGTTCCCGCACGCTAGATCGGTGTATAATTTGGTATTTTACAGGCTGGAGTAGAAAAATTTATAAACGAGTGAGATAAAGTTTAGTCAGTTAAAAATAATAACAGATTATCGTATTACTAAATTTCGTAACATTCAAACTAAACGTTTACTAGTGGTCATTAAACCAATTCGTTTGTCATTCCGATCAGTTCTGCTATTGTTGTCTCTTTCTAACTGTGTACGTTAGACAGAGAGTGCTATATTGTTGGACATTTGATTGTTGGACGGTATGATGTTTATTTAACTATTACAATTGATCATTAATTAGTTTATTTAAAGAAAAAGACTGTGATTAGAAGAAAAATCATTCAAGCATTGAACTATTAAGAGGATTAAATTTTTAAGACCGTATAAGCAAGAAAAAGCAAGTCCGAACATTCAATTTTGTTTTGTTTGTACTGATGAGACATGGACATTTGAGAATGGTACAATTGGTCTTGGCAAGGTATTAATATAAAAACTATAAAAACCACTAAAATTTATGCGAACGGTATATATAATTTCTGTGGAAAACTTAAATTACAAATGTCACTTTAGTTACCGACTAGTCCATTAGGGATACAATTTAGCAAAACAACACGAATACATTCACTGACATAATGGTCAGAATTGACAAACGTCAAAATTCAAAGCGTGGAAAATATCTCCGAAAACATCCGATTGCTCCCGAACCCGTGCGGTAAAATCCCGGAAATGTCCGAAGTGACTCGGATCCGTGGGAAACGAAACTGAGCTGGTAAAGTGACGCTTCTCGCACATTAGATCGATATGTAATGGGGATTTTTACAGACGGGAGTAGAAAAAAAAACATTTACTTTATAAACTTATTTATTTACTAAGCCCATATTGTAAACTACCTTCCCGCAATTAGGGAAAGTAGAGAAGCGTATTTAGCGAAGATGCTGGGACTTCGAGCGATGTTGCCGATCCAAGAATCTGAATTTCCGCGCTCACAGCTGCGTCGTCCCTGCAGAAAATTAAGTGGGCTTATTACTTCGGGAAATTGGACAATTTTTCGACTTATTTTATAATTTCTGGGACTAGTTTTATTCTTATGATATTTTCTTTCTATTTGCTAAGAGAAGAGCAAAAGTCAGCAGTCAGGATAGATGTACCCCTGTTTTTGTGTGCGAGTGGGAGCGTAGAGACAGACAGCAGCATTGGGTGGAAAAGAACTGACCAAAAAGGGTTCATTTAATATGCTTTGCGATAGTCTTATTGATCAGCGAAAAATTCTCTTACCAACGTTGTCTATTAAATTACTTTAAATGGAGATGATACAACTTTTGTAGGTCCTCAAATAATTTAAAAAAAAACTTCCACAGGCTACTGTAATACTTTTTATAAAACCTCTAGGTTTCTGCTTAATTAATTCTTTCAATGTCGATAAAAAACCTTACAACAAAAATGAAAAAAATATTTTCTCATCAAACTGCTTAACATAGGTATTCTCGGTTACACCTAACAAAATTCCGCGTCCATAGTTTCCTTTGTTAAGACCAAACTTATTTATTTATATCCTCAATTATTTTTTTAGAAACTAATTTATTACTTAGAAGCAGTTGAAATTTAAACAAAAAATTTTTGTGAATAATTTACAGCGAAATTGCAGAATTGTTATTGGCTTTAAAGTGGATCTGACAACCTCAAAATTTGTCAATAATACGCCTCTCGCTGGAAGTTTCTGATAAGCCTTCTAGTTTGAAATATCCTTAATAAAAATAGTTTTTGCTGTTAACTGTGGTCATTTAGTTTAATTGCGAAGATTCTGTGCTTATTACTATGAAAAGGAAAGTTATGATATAATATTCAACACAAACGTAATAAACCTGAAGTTTGTTATTGTCGAACTTGTGAGACAAGAACAGACAGACAGGAAGACACAAAAATCAAAACTGCACATGAATTTTTAAATGAACTTTATTTTTATTACTTAACGTGTATATAGTTCTCTAGTCCAAATTTTCAAAGAGCTCTCACAATTGATCAGGTTATTCCATTTTTATTAAACTTGATGTGATGCCACATTTTTTAATTTAATTTTTTTATCAAGAAATTTAATCTCTAAATCATATCGTAAACCTTTTTGTTTACCTTGTTCCCCCTGTTAATCTTTTCTTGTAACATTCTTAGGCCCGTTTACTTTGCTGAAGTCTAAAAGTGTTGCAGTGCACAGTGGTTGATAATGTTATCGAAAATGCCTTTTCTATTTTTAGCAAAAATGCCTTCCAAATGTCATGCTCATATGTAATACAAGAAATTTAACCAAAAAGAATAAATTAGACCTCTAATGGTGTGCAGATAATGACTGATAGTAGCAAAGTTTGCAACATAAACAAAGAAATGAAATAAATTGGTTACATGTGGCGTTAACAAGTAATAGTCGACTTTATTATCCACTAAAACTTCTACTAAAAGAACCACTAAAAGTGAGATAATAATAATAATAAGCGTTATTGTCTAACAGATATAATATCCAATGACAAGACAACTAATTCGCCAAGTTCAGTTGCCAGGTCCAATAAAAATTCAGAATTCCAAGAATGTACCAATAAACAACAAGCAACCATATAAAGAGCTTATATAAAAAAAACTCAAACCCAATACTTGGCACGTAAAATTAATCTTTTAATGTGCTAAACTGAGCCTGTGTTATATCATTAACATCTACATCACTACAAATACAATTGAAAATGTCCATTGCTTTAAAGTGTGGACTTCTAAGCGATGGGAGAGAGCTGGTAGGATATCGATAACAATTCAGAGCAGTCTATAAAAGATAATTTCGAATCGCATTTGGAGACAATTTTGATCAGAGCATCTTTGTGGAAATATACCATCGCACTTGATGACTTCCTAATGGCAACTGACACCTCGCTTTACTATGTATCTAGAATACATATGTGCATGTGATTTGGAACAATCTTTAATTTCCTTTTATACGATTTTAAGTAATTTTATGTATTTTTTATCATGTGCATACGATACCACAAATTACTATTTAGGGAATCAATTCATGACCTGAATCTGAGACATCGAGCCGCGCTCGCTATACCGTTACATACTCCTCCTGGCTTTTATTTAAAAAGGCATTTACTTCTTCCCAAGCGAAATAACTAAATTGTAAAAACCAAGTGTCAATTTATATGTTATAGTAAGGTTCTTTTTTGATGTGTAACCAAAATTAACCAAAACTAACCAAAGTGTGAGTGTGAGTAGCTTTAAGGTCAGAGTTCGCCCATGTAATTGTAATAAAGACAATTATTATTATCATTTTTGTTATTATTATTATTATTATTATTATTATCGGTCTCAGATTTCTGTGTCTGGAGTATTATAGCCCTCAGTTTCACGATAAAGATAGCCCTTATGAAGCCACTGTAGTGATGATGTTTTGTCTATGAAAGGTGTCTTCGAGTGTTAGAGGGTGTTTACCATTAGGCGCTTTTTCTTTTAATTTTGATTTTTATTATTATTACAGTTCCAATTGCAAGACTTTGGTGAAATTTATGCAAAATTCGAATCAGAATTCAGCAATTTTTCATGTTTTTCATCTGTGAATGACTACATCAAAATATAGGAAGTTTGTTTCAATTGACACATAAAACCTGTTGTAGTTTAATATCTATTTTACATTAGCATATTTTTTTTGAGGATATAGTTCAAATCACCCACCACCGAAAACTATCCACCCTACTTACCTATTCCACAAAATGAGTGCCAGTTTTTCGTCGGGTCTCAAAAATGCCAGAACTTTGAGATCGGTATTGGTCGTGGCATCAATTCGGACAGAACCCGGGGTGACGAATTTCGAAAAATGACCCAGCCCATAGAACATCGGCTGCTTGTAAAACTCTCCGGCAGTGGCGTTCGCGATGACGGGCGCGTCCACGGTGTTTCCAACCCAGGTCGGGCCACCTTCGGTGTCTAAAACCATGTTCCAATCGATCCACCCGACGACGTCATTTTCTAGATTCTGCAAAAAGTGTTATTAAGAAATGGTTGATTAAACTTTTTGACAGATGTTTTTATTTTGATTTTATATAATTTTGATATCCGGCTGTGTGTGTTTTAACGTCCTGCTGTAGTCCGTCATCACTGTTATGCTCCATCTCACATCCCATCTACCAAGAAACTCAATTACTTCTTGGTGATTGTGTTTTGAAAATCCTTGCATTTGCATAATGTTCTTATCTTATATCCTCTTTTATCTGGGCATCGGATATGGCTGGAAATATCTCGCATGAATAGTTGAAACACTGTTCATTTTTATCTAGAGCTTTAACAAACTGTTTCATCAAGCCAAGTTTGATATGAAGAGGAGGCGGTAAAACATTTTTGGGGTCAACTAAGTTATCTCTTAATACATGCCCTCAAAAATATACAAACAAGCAAACAGCTTTCAAATATGAAAATCGCTGTAGGCTTATTTAATTACATTAATTTTAACTGTGTTTATTTTAACAAGTATATGTTACCGAAGTTACTGCTTGCTGACATTTAGCGGTTAATATCGACAGCAAATGAATTGATGAAAGACAGAACAATTATCGGTCACACTGGTCGATGTCTGAGATACACAAGTCATACACAAGGTGTAATATAATTTGTACTCGACCTCTACTGCAGTAAATAGTGATCAATTGCTTGAAAAGTCTCTAGCAATAAGTGAAGGAGAAGTTAATTGCTTTTATTTACTTCGAGATTAGTGCTCTGAAATCGTTTTTGATGTTATTTTTGCAAAAACTAAGTGCGGTACTTCTTTGGACTATATATTTTTAAAATTTTGTAAACCAATGGTATCGCAATCTCACACTACGGCCATTGCAAATTTATAATGGTTTACCAAGATCATTTGACCAGTTACGAACGTTAAAAACTGAGTCATATCTGAAATATGTGGAAAGAAGTTGAAATAGTGCATTCAAAAAGAGTAGCTGCAAAAGAAAATGTACTACCTTAAGCAACAAAAATGTTGCGAACTTCAAAAAAAAGTTTTCTGCGCCCAAATCGGTGATACCGTAAGAACTAAAGTCCATGACGGTGGTCCTGCAGATCCCAGAAATGTGTTAGCCAATGTTGTTGTAATAGAGGATATTTATAAATAACGACGAAAAAAAAATTTCGGTAAGAGAAGCAAATTCTGTCAAAAAGTGGATGGCAAGCCTATACCCGCCATAACTGCAAAAAGATGCAATAAATAAGGTTGCCATATATCCATTTCGTTTTTTTTTTAAATTTTAGTTGAAGCAATAAAACGTATGTTATTTTTATATTAATATTAGACATGATTGTTGTGTTTGTTTTAAGTGCAATAACTTCTTCCGTGTTTTAATCAAAATAAATAATAATAAATAGAGTTTTTTTTTGTTTTCTTTTTGTAAAAACATCCTTTGGACATACATATGGTGAATGTTGACATTCGACAGTCACAGTTAGAAATAATAACATTTGATGAATATATCGGATATACGCCATTTCAGAATAGCAGTTGTATAAAAACAAAAGACTTTTTATACATTGAAGTTCCAAATTTGAGGAGAGCAGTTAAGGACGTTAACTGAAAGAGCAGAAATTACTGTATATATTTCGAACCGCCGTTAATAGCTTGTTGAAGAATTATATGTTGCTGCTTGAGATCAAATCTCCAGAGATGAAGCTAAAAATTTGAAATTTGGTAATTAAGAGTATCAAAAGCTTTCGAGTAGTCTGATAGAGTGACGGGGAAAATCTGGTTATTACCTAATTTTGACTGGATACTTACCTCCAAAATATCTTCGATATAAGAGACACCCCTCTCCCAACTTCCTAATAGCACTGCTGGTTCCATTTCAAGGAAATGGGCAAACCCTGGAGAATAAATCCGACAATTAAAAAGGCGATAAGTAGATACTCATCATCCATCTTCATGTTATTAAATATTAAACTTACCCGTGCATGCTTCAGTGGAAAGTTTGAACAGGTCCTTTTTACTAGTAGACGCCAGTTCCAACGCACTAGGAGGTATCGCATTATCCGAGTACCAGTGAATTCCAACCCCATCCAAATAGTTGACAACGTCGTCGTTGGATAAGGTGAACTGACAATTACAAAAACATTTTAAAAATTAAAAAAATTAAATCCACCGTACAAAACATCAACATTCTACGACAGTGATGTGAAATAGGGGCTTTAAGAAGAACCATGTGATGGCGAGAAACGACTTCCAATACTCCCTTTACTGCTTTTAGAGTCGAAGAATTATAGCTCATAGACTACAGTCACAGCGTTCTAGACTAGTTTTGCCATTAATCAAAAGTCATAGAGATTGTTTTGTTTGATGAGCTGATATTGGATGCAACCAATTGGGCGAATTAGTATCTTCAAAAGATGTGTCTAAACGTTATTGACATTGGATTTCGCAACAGATCAGCTGATGATTTGAAACGCCAAAGTTTTTTTAGACATAGCGCTACCTTCTCAAGAATGCCTTGTCAACAGATTACCCGATCGAATAATGTACAATACAATTGAAAAAATAACAAGGCTTATGGGAGACATAAGAAAAAACACAACAGAAAAATATGTACCACTGTTTCTAATTATGGGGACATCAGCCAAGAAGCCAATACTGCTAGCAGACATTGTATAAATGGTGGTGATGAGAATTGTGAGATTCGAGTATCGCAAACATCACACCAGTGGGTCGAGAGTTCTGCAGCTCTAAAATCGCCAAGCAAAGGGTACAAATTAGGCTGCCTGCGACATAGGTACAGAAAAACCAAATGAAAATGTCTCTATTGCAATATTCTAGGCCCATTTTCCAAAGATGTTTGAAAAAGATATTGATATATGATTTTGATGTTTTCCGAGTCTCTCTTATGGTCTACAGTATAAAGGAATTTCTGAGGAATTCCTCTCCTACAGCCCTATTTCACATAATAACTCCTAAATTCTAATATGTCTTTGATGTACCGCAGTCTTTGCATTGAGCAAAATGATGTGAATGATTTCATATCGTTTATTACCTCATTAAAGAATAGTAGCGAACCTCTTGATTCATCATGCGCAATGATCTTCAGATGCGAGAAGCTCGAGTTCCTGATCCTAGGACCTAGATTGGCGGATATCCACTTGTTCTGAAAACAATAAAAATTTGCAACTTAGCCTGATATTTTCCCACCCAACCTATATTTTAAACACATAAAATACTGATACCCATCCCAGTCCGACACCGACGTTATATCTCTCTTAGTCATGTTTCCCTGGATGAAAATTGCTTTCTTGTACTTCTTCTTGTACTAATGCTGCTCCATATGAACCATTTTTACTTCTGATCGGAGGATTTGGTGTTTCTTCTCCCATGCATCCTGGACAATGTTCTACATTATTTCTATGTTCCCTAATTCGAGTTTCCATAGATGAACACCTCTGGGAGTTATCTTAAAGATTCCGCATTTCTAAAGACTGATAGGGTCACCGACGGAGGCGAACCAACCAAGCCATGAATAACAAAACACCCTTAAGAAAAGTGCTATGAGAATTTGATCGTTATTCTCTTGATAATGGTTGGAAATAAATGCCAACCGAAACTAAAGTAAAGTCAATGTAAGTCCAAACAAATAGTTTTAACTTTAAATAAACATGTTTCTTTATCTTCTATAGTATCCATCAACTGGGATACCAACGTGTGAGATCTATGATTTGGTCTACGTATCTCATCAGTGTCCATTCTCTTGACCTTTTGAATGTATAAACCCAAGAAAGTTAACGCTTTCGTATCCTGAGAATGGCCCAACAGAAGGTTGTTACATCGGCATAGAATCCAATAAGATTTTCTTTCGCATAACTATTACAATTGATCATTAATTAGTTTATTTAAAGAAAAAGACTGTGATTAGAAGAAAAATCATTCAAGCATTGAACTATTAAGAGGATTAAATTTTTAAGACCGTATAAGCAAGAAAAAGCAAGTCCGAACATTCAATTTTGTTTTGTTTGTACTGATGAGACATGGACATTTGAGAATGGTACAATTGGTCTTGGCAAGGTATTAATATAAAAACTATAAAAACCACTAAAATTTATGCGAACGGTATATATAATTTCTGTGGAAAACTTAAATTACAAATGTCACTTTAGTTACCGACTAGTCCATTAGGGATACAATTTAGCAAAACAACACGAATACATTCACTGACATAATGGTCAGAATTGACAAACGTCAAAATTCAAAGCGTGGAAAATATCTCCGAAAACATCCGATTGCTCCCGAACCCGTGCGGTAAAATCCCGGAAATGTCCGAAGTGACTCGGATCCGTGGGAAACGAAACTGAGCTGGTAAAGTGACGCTTCTCGCACATTAGATCGATATGTAATGGGGATTTTTACAGACGGGAGTAGAAAAAAAAACATTTACTTTATAAACTTATTTATTTACTAAGCCCATATTGTAAACTACCTTCCCGCAATTAGGGAAAGTAGAGAAGCGTATTTAGCGAAGATGCTGGGACTTCGAGCGATGTTGCCGATCCAAGAATCTGAATTTCCGCGCTCACAGCTGCGTCGTCCCTGCAGAAAATTAAGTGGGCTTATTACTTCGGGAAATTGGACAATTTTTCGACTTATTTTATAATTTCTGGGACTAGTTTTATTCTTATGATATTTTCTTTCTATTTGCTAAGAGAAGAGCAAAAGTCAGCAGTCAGGATAGATGTACCCCTGTTTTTGTGTGCGAGTGGGAGCGTAGAGACAGACAGCAGCATTGGGTGGAAAAGAACTGACCAAAAAGGGTTCATTTAATATGCTTTGCGATAGTCTTATTGATCAGCGAAAAATTCTCTTACCAACGTTGTCTATTAAATTACTTTAAATGGAGATGATACAACTTTTGTAGGTCCTCAAATAATTTAAAAAAAAACTTCCACAGGCTACTGTAATACTTTTTATAAAACCTCTAGGTTTCTGCTTAATTAATTCTTTCAATGTCGATAAAAAACCTTACAACAAAAATGAAAAAAATATTTTCTCATCAAACTGCTTAACATAGGTATTCTCGGTTACACCTAACAAAATTCCGCGTCCATAGTTTCCTTTGTTAAGACCAAACTTATTTATTTATATCCTCAATTATTTTTTTAGAAACTAATTTATTACTTAGAAGCAGTTGAAATTTAAACAAAAAATTTTTGTGAATAATTTACAGCGAAATTGCAGAATTGTTATTGGCTTTAAAGTGGATCTGACAACCTCAAAATTTGTCAATAATACGCCTCTCGCTGGAAGTTTCTGATAAGCCTTCTAGTTTGAAATATCCTTAATAAAAATAGTTTTTGCTGTTAACTGTGGTCATTTAGTTTAATTGCGAAGATTCTGTGCTTATTACTATGAAAAGGAAAGTTATGATATAATATTCAACACAAACGTAATAAACCTGAAGTTTGTTATTGTCGAACTTGTGAGACAAGAACAGACAGACAGGAAGACACAAAAATCAAAACTGCACATGAATTTTTAAATGAACTTTATTTTTATTACTTAACGTGTATATAGTTCTCTAGTCCAAATTTTCAAAGAGCTCTCACAATTGATCAGGTTATTCCATTTTTATTAAACTTGATGTGATGCCACATTTTTTAATTTAATTTTTTTATCAAGAAATTTAATCTCTAAATCATATCGTAAACCTTTTTGTTTACCTTGTTCCCCCTGTTAATCTTTTCTTGTAACATTCTTAGGCCCGTTTACTTTGCTGAAGTCTAAAAGTGTTGCAGTGCACAGTGGTTGATAATGTTATCGAAAATGCCTTTTCTATTTTTAGCAAAAATGCCTTCCAAATGTCATGCTCATATGTAATACAAGAAATTTAACCAAAAAGAATAAATTAGACCTCTAATGGTGTGCAGATAATGACTGATAGTAGCAAAGTTTGCAACATAAACAAAGAAATGAAATAAATTGGTTACATGTGGCGTTAACAAGTAATAGTCGACTTTATTATCCACTAAAACTTCTACTAAAAGAACCACTAAAAGTGAGATAATAATAATAATAAGCGTTATTGTCTAACAGATATAATATCCAATGACAAGACAACTAATTCGCCAAGTTCAGTTGCCAGGTCCAATAAAAATTCAGAATTCCAAGAATGTACCAATAAACAACAAGCAACCATATAAAGAGCTTATATAAAAAAAACTCAAACCCAATACTTGGCACGTAAAATTAATCTTTTAATGTGCTAAACTGAGCCTGTGTTATATCATTAACATCTACATCACTACAAATACAATTGAAAATGTCCATTGCTTTAAAGTGTGGACTTCTAAGCGATGGGAGAGAGCTGGTAGGATATCGATAACAATTCAGAGCAGTCTATAAAAGATAATTTCGAATCGCATTTGGAGACAATTTTGATCAGAGCATCTTTGTGGAAATATACCATCGCACTTGATGACTTCCTAATGGCAACTGACACCTCGCTTTACTATGTATCTAGAATACATATGTGCATGTGATTTGGAACAATCTTTAATTTCCTTTTATACGATTTTAAGTAATTTTATGTATTTTTTATCATGTGCATACGATACCACAAATTACTATTTAGGGAATCAATTCATGACCTGAATCTGAGACATCGAGCCGCGCTCGCTATACCGTTACATACTCCTCCTGGCTTTTATTTAAAAAGGCATTTACTTCTTCCCAAGCGAAATAACTAAATTGTAAAAACCAAGTGTCAATTTATATGTTATAGTAAGGTTCTTTTTTGATGTGTAACCAAAATTAACCAAAACTAACCAAAGTGTGAGTGTGAGTAGCTTTAAGGTCAGAGTTCGCCCATGTAATTGTAATAAAGACAATTATTATTATCATTTTTGTTATTATTATTATTATTATTATTATTATCGGTCTCAGATTTCTGTGTCTGGAGTATTATAGCCCTCAGTTTCACGATAAAGATAGCCCTTATGAAGCCACTGTAGTGATGATGTTTTGTCTATGAAAGGTGTCTTCGAGTGTTAGAGGGTGTTTACCATTAGGCGCTTTTTCTTTTAATTTTGATTTTTATTATTATTACAGTTCCAATTGCAAGACTTTGGTGAAATTTATGCAAAATTCGAATCAGAATTCAGCAATTTTTCATGTTTTTCATCTGTGAATGACTACATCAAAATATAGGAAGTTTGTTTCAATTGACACATAAAACCTGTTGTAGTTTAATATCTATTTTACATTAGCATATTTTTTTTGAGGATATAGTTCAAATCACCCACCACCGAAAACTATCCACCCTACTTACCTATTCCACAAAATGAGTGCCAGTTTTTCGTCGGGTCTCAAAAATGCCAGAACTTTGAGATCGGTATTGGTCGTGGCATCAATTCGGACAGAACCCGGGGTGACGAATTTCGAAAAATGACCCAGCCCATAGAACATCGGCTGCTTGTAAAACTCTCCGGCAGTGGCGTTCGCGATGACGGGCGCGTCCACGGTGTTTCCAACCCAGGTCGGGCCACCTTCGGTGTCTAAAACCATGTTCCAATCGATCCACCCGACGACGTCATTTTCTAGATTCTGCAAAAAGTGTTATTAAGAAATGGTTGATTAAACTTTTTGACAGATGTTTTTATTTTGATTTTATATAATTTTGATATCCGGCTGTGTGTGTTTTAACGTCCTGCTGTAGTCCGTCATCACTGTTATGCTCCATCTCACATCCCATCTACCAAGAAACTCAATTACTTCTTGGTGATTGTGTTTTGAAAATCCTTGCATTTGCATAATGTTCTTATCTTATATCCTCTTTTATCTGGGCATCGGATATGGCTGGAAATATCTCGCATGAATAGTTGAAACACTGTTCATTTTTATCTAGAGCTTTAACAAACTGTTTCATCAAGCCAAGTTTGATATGAAGAGGAGGCGGTAAAACATTTTTGGGGTCAACTAAGTTATCTCTTAATACATGCCCTCAAAAATATACAAACAAGCAAACAGCTTTCAAATATGAAAATCGCTGTAGGCTTATTTAATTACATTAATTTTAACTGTGTTTATTTTAACAAGTATATGTTACCGAAGTTACTGCTTGCTGACATTTAGCGGTTAATATCGACAGCAAATGAATTGATGAAAGACAGAACAATTATCGGTCACACTGGTCGATGTCTGAGATACACAAGTCATACACAAGGTGTAATATAATTTGTACTCGACCTCTACTGCAGTAAATAGTGATCAATTGCTTGAAAAGTCTCTAGCAATAAGTGAAGGAGAAGTTAATTGCTTTTATTTACTTCGAGATTAGTGCTCTGAAATCGTTTTTGATGTTATTTTTGCAAAAACTAAGTGCGGTACTTCTTTGGACTATATATTTTTAAAATTTTGTAAACCAATGGTATCGCAATCTCACACTACGGCCATTGCAAATTTATAATGGTTTACCAAGATCATTTGACCAGTTACGAACGTTAAAAACTGAGTCATATCTGAAATATGTGGAAAGAAGTTGAAATAGTGCATTCAAAAAGAGTAGCTGCAAAAGAAAATGTACTACCTTAAGCAACAAAAATGTTGCGAACTTCAAAAAAAAGTTTTCTGCGCCCAAATCGGTGATACCGTAAGAACTAAAGTCCATGACGGTGGTCCTGCAGATCCCAGAAATGTGTTAGCCAATGTTGTTGTAATAGAGGATATTTATAAATAACGACGAAAAAAAAATTTCGGTAAGAGAAGCAAATTCTGTCAAAAAGTGGATGGCAAGCCTATACCCGCCATAACTGCAAAAAGATGCAATAAATAAGGTTGCCATATATCCATTTCGTTTTTTTTTTAAATTTTAGTTGAAGCAATAAAACGTATGTTATTTTTATATTAATATTAGACATGATTGTTGTGTTTGTTTTAAGTGCAATAACTTCTTCCGTGTTTTAATCAAAATAAATAATAATAAATAGAGTTTTTTTTTGTTTTCTTTTTGTAAAAACATCCTTTGGACATACATATGGTGAATGTTGACATTCGACAGTCACAGTTAGAAATAATAACATTTGATGAATATATCGGATATACGCCATTTCAGAATAGCAGTTGTATAAAAACAAAAGACTTTTTATACATTGAAGTTCCAAATTTGAGGAGAGCAGTTAAGGACGTTAACTGAAAGAGCAGAAATTACTGTATATATTTCGAACCGCCGTTAATAGCTTGTTGAAGAATTATATGTTGCTGCTTGAGATCAAATCTCCAGAGATGAAGCTAAAAATTTGAAATTTGGTAATTAAGAGTATCAAAAGCTTTCGAGTAGTCTGATAGAGTGACGGGGAAAATCTGGTTATTACCTAATTTTGACTGGATACTTACCTCCAAAATATCTTCGATATAAGAGACACCCCTCTCCCAACTTCCTAATAGCACTGCTGGTTCCATTTCAAGGAAATGGGCAAACCCTGGAGAATAAATCCGACAATTAAAAAGGCGATAAGTAGATACTCATCATCCATCTTCATGTTATTAAATATTAAACTTACCCGTGCATGCTTCAGTGGAAAGTTTGAACAGGTCCTTTTTACTAGTAGACGCCAGTTCCAACGCACTAGGAGGTATCGCATTATCCGAGTACCAGTGAATTCCAACCCCATCCAAATAGTTGACAACGTCGTCGTTGGATAAGGTGAACTGACAATTACAAAAACATTTTAAAAATTAAAAAAATTAAATCCACCGTACAAAACATCAACATTCTACGACAGTGATGTGAAATAGGGGCTTTAAGAAGAACCATGTGATGGCGAGAAACGACTTCCAATACTCCCTTTACTGCTTTTAGAGTCGAAGAATTATAGCTCATAGACTACAGTCACAGCGTTCTAGACTAGTTTTGCCATTAATCAAAAGTCATAGAGATTGTTTTGTTTGATGAGCTGATATTGGATGCAACCAATTGGGCGAATTAGTATCTTCAAAAGATGTGTCTAAACGTTATTGACATTGGATTTCGCAACAGATCAGCTGATGATTTGAAACGCCAAAGTTTTTTTAGACATAGCGCTACCTTCTCAAGAATGCCTTGTCAACAGATTACCCGATCGAATAATGTACAATACAATTGAAAAAATAACAAGGCTTATGGGAGACATAAGAAAAAACACAACAGAAAAATATGTACCACTGTTTCTAATTATGGGGACATCAGCCAAGAAGCCAATACTGCTAGCAGACATTGTATAAATGGTGGTGATGAGAATTGTGAGATTCGAGTATCGCAAACATCACACCAGTGGGTCGAGAGTTCTGCAGCTCTAAAATCGCCAAGCAAAGGGTACAAATTAGGCTGCCTGCGACATAGGTACAGAAAAACCAAATGAAAATGTCTCTATTGCAATATTCTAGGCCCATTTTCCAAAGATGTTTGAAAAAGATATTGATATATGATTTTGATGTTTTCCGAGTCTCTCTTATGGTCTACAGTATAAAGGAATTTCTGAGGAATTCCTCTCCTACAGCCCTATTTCACATAATAACTCCTAAATTCTAATATGTCTTTGATGTACCGCAGTCTTTGCATTGAGCAAAATGATGTGAATGATTTCATATCGTTTATTACCTCATTAAAGAATAGTAGCGAACCTCTTGATTCATCATGCGCAATGATCTTCAGATGCGAGAAGCTCGAGTTCCTGATCCTAGGACCTAGATTGGCGGATATCCACTTGTTCTGAAAACAATAAAAATTTGCAACTTAGCCTGATATTTTCCCACCCAACCTATATTTTAAACACATAAAATACTGATACCCATCCCAGTCCGACACCGACGTTATATCTCTCTTAGTCATGTTTCCCTGGATGAAAATTGCTTTCTTGTACTTCTTCTTGTACTAATGCTGCTCCATATGAACCATTTTTACTTCTGATCGGAGGATTTGGTGTTTCTTCTCCCATGCATCCTGGACAATGTTCTACATTATTTCTATGTTCCCTAATTCGAGTTTCCATAGATGAACACCTCTGGGAGTTATCTTAAAGATTCCGCATTTCTAAAGACTGATAGGGTCACCGACGGAGGCGAACCAACCAAGCCATGAATAACAAAACACCCTTAAGAAAAGTGCTATGAGAATTTGATCGTTATTCTCTTGATAATGGTTGGAAATAAATGCCAACCGAAACTAAAGTAAAGTCAATGTAAGTCCAAACAAATAGTTTTAACTTTAAATAAACATGTTTCTTTATCTTCTATAGTATCCATCAACTGGGATACCAACGTGTGAGATCTATGATTTGGTCTACGTATCTCATCAGTGTCCATTCTCTTGACCTTTTGAATGTATAAACCCAAGAAAGTTAACGCTTTCGTATCCTGAGAATGGCCCAACAGAAGGTTGTTACATCGGCATAGAATCCAATAAGATTTTCTTGTTCTATTAGCCCTAATGTAGGTTAAAAAGTGATATATTATTGGGCGCTTACCATTTGATCAGGCAGAAATCCCAAGTTGTTTATGGGGAAGCCGAGTATTCCATTGGCAGGTTCGTTTTGCGTAGTCACTCCCCAAAAGGATATGTTCTCCTGCTTGTAACTTTCGAAAAATTTGATGTAATATTCCGCCCATAATCCGTAATATTCATCCTTGAGCTGTCCCAAGCCTACGAAACTAAAAAGATGTTAAGAATTGAGTGATGGTGACGAATGTTCTCCGAACAGTATTTTACAAATAAGGTTTTATTATATTTAATCTTTCAAAAATCCCTAATTATGCTTCTCTCCCCTTTGTTAAATTATCCCCGCCTTTAGGTTGAAGACCTAAGCAAAATAAAATTTTAGTGCATTCTTGAGAGATCAATTCAACAAAAAAATAAATCAAAATATAACCAAAACGAAGGTACATAATTGTGTACAGTTCATGAGTAGGACACACTGTATACCAAATAACTGATCTACAAAATAGAAATAGGCGACTTTGTAGAGACATTTACCCAAAAAAACCGGAATCATTTTTTATAAAATCACAGAACGACCTTATCCCCTTCAAAATACTCTCCATTACAACTAATATATTTGTCCCAGCGGTGCTTCCACTGTTCGAAACATTTTTTTCTTGACCTCTTCAATGTTGTCAAATCGCTGTCCTTTCATGTCCCTTTTCATATGCGGAAATAAGAAGAAGTCACACGGACTGAGATCAGGCGAGTAAGGTGCATGGGGCAGTGGAACCATGCCATTTTTAGCCAAAAACTGCTTAACAGAAATGGCTGTGTGTGCAGATGCAGGTGGTGAAAGAACCAGTCCCCTGTCCGCCACAAAACGGGTCTTTTTTGTCGAATATTGTTGCGCAATCTTCTTAAAACTTCCAGATAAAAAGCTTGATTAACGGTCTCACCGGGTGGAATGATCTCTGCATGAACTACGCCGTTGATGTCGAAAAAGCAAATCAGCATCGTTTTGATGTTTGATTTGACCTGACTACATTTTTTTGGACGGAGAGACAGTGGTGTCTTCCACTGGCTGGACTGTTGCCTCGCTTCAGGGTCCTAACCATAGCACCCTGACTCGTCACCAGTAATGATCTTTGAAAGAAAATCTTTATCCGTTTAAAGCTGTTGATTCAAAGCACGACATGTTTCAAGTCGATGTTCTTTTTGCATGTCAGTCAGAACACGAGGAACAAACTTGGCAGCAACTCTTTTCATTCCCAAATCTTCGGTTAAAGTTCGCTGAACCGTGCTCCAAGACAACCCACTAATCTTTGATAATTGTTCAATTGTCCGTCGATGGTCTAAGAGCACAAACTCTCGAATCTTTTCAATATTTTCGTCGATTCGAGCAGTTGATGGACGTCCAGAACGAGGTCGGTCATCAATTGACTCGTCGCCATTTTTGAAGCGAACAAACCACTGGTACACTTGAGTTTTTCCCATCGCATCGTCTTTATAAGCTGTTTTTAACATTGAAACAGTTTCAGCAGCACTTTTACCGAGCAGAAAACAAAATTTCACAGCTGCACGTTGTTCCTTTAAACTTGCCATCGAATAAAACGAAATAACAAAAAAACAGCATTAACAAAAAATGGCACTGCAAGTAAACAAAACAAGTTAAATTTAAAACGAAGGTGGCGTTGAACTTGCAATAAGTTGTACTATCCACAACCTAGCGGCAGAAAGATGTACTATACAAGCTCTGCGCGCGGCAATTCAATTCCGGTTTTTTATGGGTACCCCCTCGTATAATAATAAAAGACAAAAAAATATATTTTTGACTTAACGTTGGTTTTCAGATTTATTTCAACAGTTTGCATTACTGATTTGTAACAAAACTTTGAAGAAAATTGGAATGAGTCCTATTTCATTAATAAATTCGTTTACCTCATAAAATTATGTGGAACTAGAATCAAGGAAGTAGTTACTGTGGAGAAAAAGAACAGAAAAATAATTAAAATTTCCGAAATTCTTAGAAGTTATAAGAAAGCAGCGATCTAAAAAATTTTAATTAAAATATTTTAGTTTAAATTGTTGATGCTATATAGCAGAAAAATATTTGTGAATTTGCAGTTAACCTGACAAACTAATTATTGAAGCAAATTGTTGTCAATTTTTTGCCAATTCAGAATGACTAAAATCATTTGAAAATTATACGATAATATTCGCACCGTTGTTTATTTAATATAAGAAATAAATGAAATACCTGTCCGTAGTTTTCATCCATGTGGGTGAGGACCAAGCAGTCGCAAACAGCCTGAAAGGATCTTCCCCCCTCAACTCAATAGCCTTTTTGATGTACGGAATCTTTAAAATTAAAGTGATAGGATTGTAATTGTTTTTTAAAAGCTAACTATCAGGAGTGGTTTGTTATATAAATGGATCAATGGGTTATGGAGATATCACACTTCAAAGTTGCCGAAAAACTAATATCTTTATGTTTAATCGTACAAATGAAAATAAACAGAACATATTACGGAAGTATTAATAACATCTATACCACACTTTTTACATTTTTTTTTTTTAACGAGCGATGGGTTTTAATTTAGTCTACACATAGTATTCTTAAATAATTAAAAAAAAATGTGAACGGACATTATTCTATGTTCTATTACTGCAATTTTTTCATAATACTCATAATTTCCAAATAAAAAAAATCAAATGTAAAGCAAGGCATAACGAACATTAACCACATAGAAAAACTAGCTGGTTGCTGTCATTTCTTAAACCACTTTTTATTATGGACAAGACAATGATTAAACCGTGATAGTACTGTGATAGCCTTTTAGTATCCTGTGTAACGACTTCCATAATTTAATTCTAATTTAATTTGCTTGTAACTTGCTCTCTAAATTTTAGCTTTGAATTTAGAATAGATGTTAATCTTTTGCAAGTGCTGCAAAAGGCAAAACAGAGTTCCCTATGTGTCAAAATCATGCTAAAATCAAGCAAAAACCAAAACAGTGATTTTGGTACCATTATAAGCCTTAAAAATATCATCAATCTGCAAGAGTGCTTTCATATTGTTTGGTTGTTTCGGTGGTAAAATACTGGAAATATTGAGAAATTCTCTTACTTGCTTGTCTATTATTTTCTCTAGAATCCTAGAGAGTGACCTTATTTGGAATTAGCGTAGGTCACAACTAACCAACGATTGGCCTCTTCTTTTGGCAACTGTTTTTCTATAGTCGACAGGGTACATATGGTCAAAGATATCATTTGTATCAACCAAATATAATGACGTTTTTGGTACGAACTTACCTTGTATTTAGTATCCTCCTCTGGCAAAGCAAACGACTCCAGAGTTTCATCTTTAGTGTCGCAATATGAATAACCTCTAGGTGAGAAGTCAGTACCGCCAATGGGAACCCGACCCATACTATACTGGACGCCATCTTTGCCGAAATAGCTCTCTAATAGTTTATCTTGAGCGTCAGCCGGAAGCATGGCGACATTTATCCCTGCGGCATCTGTAAAGGCACCTCCAAAACCAGTGATTTTCTGGTACGTGGTGTTGAGGTTCGAAATGGTAACGGTACTTGAAGCTGCGGTCGCCTCCACAAACTTTCCATTGCTCGAGTAGAACCCAAGTTTATCTTTGCTGGTCGTATAGAGTTGGTATTCGCCAGAGGACAGGCTTAGTACCTCGGGAACCGTATCGCAATAAGTAGAATTGCATACGCAGACAGTACCATTCTCGACAGCCCTCAGGTCGCACTCATTTGCGGCCTCGGAGGTATAGAGTGCGGAGATTAACAACAAAATTTCGGCGATGCGCATTGTGCAATATTAATTGAGGCGCTCTTTTACGCGGAATAACAGATGCGCCTAAACCTCTTGCTTAAATACCTACGAATTGCCGTCTGATTTTGTTATCTCTGATTACTCATTTTGCTTCTAAATACCGTTTTCGATAAGGACGAGAGAAAGCTATATTTCGAGTAGGATATTTTGAAGTTTCCAATTCTAAATACGGGGAGCAAATGCGGAAACAAACAAACTGTCCAGTAGGATCAATGTGTATAACGATTCAGACCAAACTGAATGTCATTGAAAACTTACCAGCAAAACCGATTGAATATTTTTATATTATTCTGCAGGGTTTGCGAAAAGACGTACACAATGAATCCCAACCCTGTACTCAGGGTTCAGTGGGAGCAATAAAAAATGTCACTTAGTCAATTATGTGCAAAAAAAAAAAACGAGTAAAAAGCAAACAAACCATCGAAGCGATGCTTCTTTAAAACAATCCTCTGTAGGGTGAAAGAGAAAATTTATCTATCTTGTATTTTAAACTCCCTGTATCGTATCGAGACGACGAAAACAGAACGTTTTAAATGTTTGTACTTAGAATCCAGTGGCGTAGTTTTCTGTAAAGTGTAATTGTCTTCTTCTTCAGCTGCCTATCCACTACTATTGGATGTTGGCGATCACATTTCCGTATGCTACCCTGTCCATTGCTGTATGTACAAGGTCCTCGATATTTTTCAAGCCAGTCCATTCCCTCAGGTTTCTAAGCCATGACATTTGTTTCCTTCCAACGCCACGCTTTACCCTTTACCCTCGACGATTAGCTGGAGAAGCCGATATTTTGGGTTCCTCATTATGTGTCCGAAATAGGCCGTTTTTCGTTTTTTTATGTGTAATAGAATTTCTCTGTCTCTGCCCATTTTTCTCAAAGTGTAATTGTCTAAATATATTTTTTTAAAAACATTTATTCTAAAAATATTTTTTTCTGCTTAACATATTATTATTATTCTTATTATTATTATTATTATTAATATTATCATCATTATATTAGAAACAATAAAAAAAAGCACAATAGAAATTTATAGTAATAATAAGGTTGTGAATTCCAATGCCGCACTGTGGGCCCCATGCATAAACTAGGTTGCAATAAATCATTATTAAAAATGCAAAATTTGTCAATGTTTTTAAATTAAGAACATATTGAAGTATGTAAAAACAATATTGCTTTCTTTCAAGAATTTTTTATGAAGGCACAATGTCAGATGTTTAAAAGAAAGTCTCTTTTTATTGCAATCTCTTCAATAAAATAACGAAGTTTTCGTACATTTTAAATGGCTCAGTAGGCATTGAAAACAAATGCCCCTTTAAGTATTTGACAACTAATGTCAGTCCTGTTAATTAGTTTAGACCCGTACATGCGATGTAGAATGTTTGTGTTTTTTCTGCGATTTGACAAGAAGTGACGGGACAAGTATCATTAATATTTAATTTTTCAAATTCTATAGATTAAAAAAATATGAAGGCCAACGAGTGCCAAGTAAAAATATACATTTTTTATTAGGCAAGGGTGTAAACTACTAAAAACTGTTAGCCAAAAATGTCGCAAATGATCGTAAAACTTATGCCAGTTAAACATGTTAACCTCTGAATGATAAAAATATTAACAATTAATATGCTCTTAAAGTTATTTATCGCATGTATTGCTTGCGCAATGAGCCAATTATAATGCATTATTTTTATACATATTGTTTTCATTTTATACACCCGTTTAAACTCAAAATTGCAAGACTACTTTTGTTTTTTTGTTTTTAGAAATGTACGAAATATCGAAAAAAACATTGTTCCAATTCTGGAGTGTCTCCATTAAGAAAAACCTTGTAGAAGAAATATTTAAAATATTTAACTCTTTACTCGTGGTATTATATGGCCATAACCGTCCGCAAACTGCTGTACCATTCCACAGATATTATTAAACATTGTATTGTGCCTGTTGGGCAGCTCTCTGAGGAGGCCTAAGAGGCACGTCACAATGATTGTCGGCGATATCGCGAGCATCACACCCAAAAAAAATTGCGAATTGCCACGAATAAAGACTTGATGCGAATGTTATCAGTGTCCTCTGACCTCGTTATAGCCAATTACCAACAAAAAACTCTAACATCAAAAAAACAACTATCACCTGATATATTGGCTCTACTTAAAAGTCCAGAGCTTCCATGCCTTACAAAAAATGACAATTTTTCGGAGACCTCCGAATATGACTGGAAGTGTAAGGGTAGTGAGTCTGACATGTCATGACAGCGAGAATGACTAAAATTATAATTGACCTAGTGGGTTTCAGGGTTAAAAAAAGTATGTTAAGTAGAAAACATCCCTGCCAAAAATTTATTTATAAGCCAGTTCTAAGGCTTTTTCTTATCCTTTAAGTTTTTTGTGTTTTGTTTGATCCCTTGCTTGCTGTGTTGTTTGAATAAAATAGTTATATTTTCGATAAGTTCATTTAATTTAGGTATCTAGTTCATATATTTGGAATTTGTTAACTAGTATGTTTTCTGTTTCCTTAAATACAGTTAAATTATTTCACGTGACTGCAGAAGCTTTTTGAATGAAACTGGGCAGTAATTGCAAAATGTTTCCAATTTTTTTTGTTCTAGTTTTGGTATATCTTTAAAATATACTCCAAAAAATACTAATGTGGCAACGCTGGAAAGTTGAAAAAAATTGTATCATTATTTACCGGCAATGTATAACAATAATAAATAATATTTTTTTGATGGTTTTTAAGTAACTAAAAATAATCGAATTAATGCAACCTAGTTTGGGCAACAGGCCCACAGTGTGCCGCCAATCAGATGTTATTATCACAGAGGCTTACATCATTTACTCTTCTGCAAGTTCCGTTATTTGCTTTAAATAACCTACAAAAAGTACAACTCTTGTGACTCTTGAATGTTTGTATATTGCATCGATTGCTAGTGAAAAAGTCAAAATAAGGCGAATTGCAAAAAGGTTTTTCTATGAGGTTTTGTCGACACTCTGGCTACAATTAACACCAAAGTAAATGTTGAAAATGACCACCATCAGCTTTAGACTTTGGGGATTTTCGCACAAACGCTTGGTTTTTTGAAACCCTCTAACTAGCACGACCGGTTTCTGAGTAGCTGTCGCAAAATTTGGTTACCATGACATTTGTCAACATTATTAATTAATAGATTATTATTATTATTATTATTATTATTATTCATTAATAGATACAATAGCAGAAATTTCCACAGTCTGTTTCGCCAATCATCCTGTTGGCTTCCTCAGAAACTAAACAGTTTCACTTAAACTCTGAAGGAGACGGCTGAAGGATTGGTAAAACGTCGGGAAGTCCGATTTACCAAGAAGATTTCGTAAATAGAAAAAATACCGATTTAATACGAGACAATGGTTTAATATACAGGCTGGCAGTGGCGTACCATATATCGCATGTACCATATATCGAAAACTCAAGGTACTAGGAGCTTGAGAAAATAATTCTATTAACGAAGTAGAAAAAAGAGGAATGTTGTAATGTGCCTGATGTACCGTGCGTTCAATTTATCTTGAACATTCTTGGCTTTCTTGTTTTTAGAGATATCAAGGTAAACAAAGAAAACAATAATAAAAAACAAGAAAACACTGACGTATCATATTTTTTCAAATGAACAGCCTGGATATTATATGTGTTTAAAAGAACATATTATTCCGATTATAATGATGTAACACACTTTATATTTCAATCCACAAAACTAACCAAAACTCAAAAAGTAGGTGCAGAACAATGCAGATATAGATTAACTTTAATGGATTTTTTTCTTTTGGGAAACATAAAAAATCACGTGCACAGAACTCCTTCTAATAATGGCAAAGGATTTCAGAGACAATCAAACAGTTACGAGAAAATCCATCATGCAATAAGGGCGTATCAGAAATCTTAAACACATATGTAATATTCAGGGTGTCTATTTTGACATGTTGTCAGCCATCTTCAGTTTTTAAGATACAGGGCATTTTGGGCCGCCCTACCATCTCCATTATCTGTTACATATTTGCTAGATTGTAGATTATAAAATTTGTTTTTTTTTTATTTTTTCAAAAACATATAATAGTATGCATCTGTTCTCAGAAAAACGCAAGTAAAGAGACTTTTTTTCGAAATTAATTGCATAATTTAATGGTATTGCCGAGCAGTAAGGTTTGGGTCACTCTGTAGACCCCTTGTAATTAAATAAACCCTTAGAGCAATATTACTTTTAATTGTTTTATTGTCATATTGAAAATATAACATACATACTATTATCTAGAAGTAAAAACCATCAAAAGTTTAACAAGTTTTGTTTGGAGCAGTGCCAGCTACCAAAAGCTCACACATTCCTGAAAAAATGTAATATATACTGCGGTGGGGGTGAAACCGTGGACTAGCAGCGACCGATCCGAATCTGAATTGCACTTGGAGACAATCTTAGACAGATCCATTAAATGTGTGGGACTCGAACATCTCTTAGTAGCCATTAGGAGTGCAGAGTCAATCTAAAAGAAGCAATTATAAAGATTTCCTACGCTCGCACGGGTTTTTCATGCGACTTTAGTAAAAAGCGAAATACGTTATAATTCGCACTATGTAAACAAGCGTAACAGAAACCGTAATAGGAAAACTCAAATTAGTTTGCCGCGAAACCCATTAAAATTAATTAATTCATCAACGTAAAATAATTACGAACCGAGCGAAAAGTGAAGTGAGGTCAATCAGTTCGCAAGGATAACTATTTCGAGAACAGATCTATTGCGATTTAATATGCACATTAGGGTGTAATTTTAGTCGGTGTGTTCGAAAAGCAGTTTCTGGAAATCCATTATCGAATGAATTACCAAAATAAAAATATGATATATGCCCAAAATTTTCTCTCGTTCAAGATTCAGATTTATTATATATATTTTTTAATTACTCAAAATCATTTTTGGCATAAATTAAGCACATTTAGTCACGACAACAAAGCACTGTAATCATAAAAATAGTAATGTGATAAA